GCCACTTAAATAACTTAATAACATTTAAAACCCATAGTAAAAATTTTTATTTAGTAAAAAATTATTTAGTAATTTTGACCAAAAAAAACATTTAGTTGTTTTACTACTTTTAATGGTATTTTAAAAATTTTTGTTAAATAGTCTTTTAAAGCAATTGTATTTGAAATTATCTTTAAATCATAGAGACTTTATAAATCATTAATTCATATGAATTAAATTTTCATAAAAATATCAGTAATTAGTTTATTATTATTATTATTATTTAAAATATACATCATTGTTTTTTTTTTAAAAATCCCCGATAAAAAATATATTACAAGTTTATCTCATTATCTCAATAAAATCATAAATGATATAAAGTTTTATTTAATGCAAATATTATTATTATTTTTTTTTTGTTTAAACAATATTGTTTATTATACTCAAACAATTTATATTACTTAACTAATTGTTGGCCTAAACACTTGGGTGGTATTATCTTTTGAAAAAAATAATATATAAATTTATATTATAAAATATTTAATTTATACTTGTATTATATACTGTATATATAGTTGATAACAATCTACTGTATATATTTGCTAAAAATATTTTCAGCTAAGTTTTAGTAATATAATATATAATTTTCATAATTTGTTATTAATTTATTGAAAACTATTTTTTTAATGTAAGAAAATAAATTACACATTATTTTAGTTGAATTAATAAATTATAATTTATGCAGTCAATATAATTTTTTTTAAATGTAAAATTTTAAAATTTAACAAAAAAAAATCAATGTTAATAAATTTAAATTAAATTCAATGGTACTCAATTCATTTTATTATTATTAAAAATAATAATCAGATAATAAACAGTTTATCTAAACATTTTTATTGTATTTTTATAGTATATTGAAAGTAAAATTCATATTTAAAATTTGTATGATTTTAAAATGATAAGTATAACACTGAAAAATATTAATTTTTTTTTTTAAATAAAAATTGTTTGACAATTATCTAATAACAAATATTGTTAAACTGTTAAATTTAAACATTTAAAACTAACAGAAAATTATTAAACAAAAAAACAAACAAATAAATCAAGTTTTAGATTTTAAAGTAAGTATCAAAAAAAAAAATTTTTTTATCAATACTATCTCTACATAAATATTATTTATTAACTGTATATGCATAGTAAATCTCATTCACAAAAAAAAATTTAATGGTTGATTATATACGCTTAAATATATTAATATAAATTATATATATATATATATATAATTTTTAATTTTTATAAAGTTATTATTATTATTCAAAATAGCCAATTGTTTTAAAACATATTAGCAGGTACAGTAAAAAATACATAATAATTAAATAGGTCATATATATATACAAACATAACATAACTAAATGGTAAAATTTTTGTATACAGTTTCTTTATATGTAAGTTGTTTGTATAAGTGTAATGTGTGCTAAATTATATAGATTTGAAATTAAATAATAATTATCATCAAAAATATTTTTATTATCTATATATTTAAAAAAAATAAGTAATAACTAATATAGTTATGTGTAAACACACACACACACACACACACACACACAAGTAAATAGTTGTGAATAATTAAAATAAAACATTATATATATATATATATATATATATATCTATATATTTAGGCAACAATTAAAAGGGTGTGTTGTTTGTTGTTGTATATGAAATTAAATGGGTTGTAAATATTTTTTTAATTAATTAATTATTGTAAATAATTATTTTTTAAAGATTTACACCAATTTTTTAGCTAGATCATATTTTTTGTGTTACGGAAATGTGATGTCATACTGTAAAAAATGTCAATATATATGGCTAAATGCACTTTAGATAATACATTAATAGTGGGTCAATGGCTGTATAATCAATGTTTAAATATACCGTTTATACAGTATTATATAATATTAGCCAATGTTTTATAACCTAAATAATAAATCTCTCTCTCTCTCTCTCTCTCTCTCTCTCTCTCTCTCTCTTTCTAAACTTTTTTTTGAAAAATAGTGTCCACAAAATATTTATTTATTTTGATAATTAAAAAATTTGGTAAGCAATCAACATTTATTTGTTGCTAATTATTAATTTTGTATTATTTCAAGTGATTACAATAAGTGCAATAATTTATTATTGCCAATAAATGATTTAGACTATTGGAAAAATACGGTTTTAAAAAAAATTATTACACAATAACTGAGTTAAAATTGATTTCAATAACTAATTATTTTTTTTATAGATAGAAGTTTTAGTATATATATATTTATATATATATTTCTTATATGAAAAAATAATTAACTATTTTATTTGTTATTATTATTTATATAAAAAAATTGTTTTACATTTTTCAAATAAACTAATCAATGGCTGAAACTTTTTATTTTTTAAAAAATCGCTTTTAATCGTTGTTTAGATGTATTGTTCAATATATACTGTATATACATTTAACATAGTATAAGAAAAATGTTAGTTATTGTTATCCATAAATCAAATTTTCAACAACAAAATTGCTGATTGTTTTGTTGGCCTCACAATTTAGAGAGAGAGAGAGAGAGAGAGAGAGAGAGATTGTATGCACTTATGGCGGGCACTGATAGACCCGATGACCCACTAATTGTATTATTATTATTATTATTACAATTATTATTTGTTGTTGTTATACGTAAAGCACACAACAATTTTATTTAATTTTTAAAGTTTCAATTTTACTTTTGAAAACAATTTTTCCGCTAAAATATTGAAGTTTTTTCCCATTATTATTATTATCATTATTACATTAGACAACAAAAATTATTTTCCATAATTTATAAAAAAAAACTTTGTTATAATTTAGTTATATAACTATTAGAATTATCTAATAATTATTTTTTGTTTAAATTAAAAATTGTGTGTAAATACTGTAATGGTATTTTTTTAAAAGAAATATTAATAATATATTTAAATATATAATTTAGTTAAAAATAAATTTTTTTAATTTCAAAACTATGTTTGACTACCATATAGTGAAAACACTATTTCAACAAACATTAATATTTTGTTTATCATTATTATTATTGTTGACTAACTTAATAGAGTGTGAAAGTAAGTAATAATAATAATAATAATAATAATTTCTATTTAATATAATTTTTATCTTTTATTATTTACATATTTTTTTCCAGTAATTATATTAATAACATTACTTTACTATATAATCAACTTATGCAAAGTATATATATATAAAAAAATTTAATTTAAATATTAATTATAAGTTTTAGGAAACTGGAAAATGTATGACTCATTCAAAAAATATAAATAAATAAATAAATAGTATTTATGTATTATATAATCATAGTGTCTAATCTTAAATAATAATATTTAGATATAATTTTTAGATAAAACTAATATTTATATAAACTACTACTGTGTGTAAATATATATTTAATATAATTTTAAATGCGGATATTTAATGCTTTAATTTAATGGTATAATTAGATAACAAATTTTTTTTTGAATTTTTTTCATAATTTACACTTTAATTGGTTTATAAAGATATACATAACTAATAAGGCAAATAATATATATACAGATATATTAATATAAATTTATATATATAAAGTATATTTAAAATATTATATTAGTTAATTATTTTTTATGCCAAAATTTTGTTTGCCTAATATTATTATTTTTTCTGCTAATCAATTAATGTTAATATTAATGATGTGAAAAAATCCCCGAAAAAATTTTAGTATTTTTAGCTAACATTTTATATATAGAATATATAAATATATATATAATTAAAATAAAATACTTAATTATATACTGTACTGTATTTTTCTAAACTTATATCATATATAATATTATTGTATAATAGATAATACAGAGGACTTGATGTGTAAATGTATGGACTATTGGCAGTGTGTGACCACTGGAGGACAGTTATACTCGTACTGTGCGTTCAGTAATGAAGGTAACAATTAATTAGTTAATTACTATAATTATATTCAACAAAAAACAAATAACTATTATTGCATTTTAAAGTCTGTCTATTAATTAATTAATAATTATTTAAAAAATAATTTAAATCATTTGCAATTATCAACTCATCATATAATTGTTTTGTCAATTATTAATATATATATATATATTTATATATATAGTTTGTTGTGTTAACATTAATGAGACGACACTGACCTATGATGACAGCCTAACTGATGATTATAATACAAGAATATTATCAGAAAATTGTGGTAAAAAAGAGTTTGACTCAAATATCGACAACTTTGCCGAGTTTGGTGAATGGGGTTGGCATGTAATGCAATACTTTTTTATTAACTATTATTAACTAAATATTATTATTAACTTTAATTAATTACAATATATCTAAAAACCAACCCTATATTTAGGCGGCAATATTAGTGGCCGACCAGGACTTATACTTATGCGGCGCTGAACTTATTGACCAGAAATGGCTGTTAACTGCTGCCCATTGTGTCGACGACTTGTAATTAATTTTTTTCAAAAAAAAACATTTTCTATCATTTTTTTATTTGTTAATTAATTAATTGACTGATAATTAATTAATTAATCTAAAAAAAACTTTTTATCAGAAAACCAGATACTCTGAAAGTAAGAGTCGGTGAATATGATGTGTCGACCAATAAAGAGCCCGAAATACATGAAGAATTACCAGTGAATGACATATATCTTCATCCAAATGTATGTCCCAAACAAAAAACCAAAACAATTATAAGATATGATTATTAAATAATTGGTATATTATTATTATTATTATTATTATATATATAGCCGTATATGTCGTGTATATTTTGTTGTTGTCGGTTACTATAAAATATCATTTATATAAATCATTTAATTAGTTATTGTTTTTTTTAGATTATATTTTTCTCATACGAATGAATTTAATTGAATGGATTAATGAATGAATGAATGAATGAAAACAGATATAAATAATCTATAATTATATTGTTTGATAAATAATATTAAATTTTTTTTAAATTTTATTTGTTTTGAAAAACAAAACAAATAGTTTGATAACAAAACWCTTGTCAATGACATCGCACTGATTCAACTGAACCGGTCGATCACTAAGAGACCAAACGTTAACATTGTTTGTCTGCCAAACAATGACACCTTTGCTGCCGCTGATGATGACGACTATAACAGCCAATTGATGGACACCAAGTGTTTCATAACTGGTTGGGGAAAGAGAAATGAAAGTATGTCTACAAGTATTTATATAWATAAAAATAACTATTTTTTAATTAAATTATTTTTTTAAAAAAATTAAAATTAATTAATTATAAGTCATTTATTATTATTATTAAACAGAATTTAAACAATTATAATGCAAACAATTTACTAAATTATAAACAAACAAACAAAAATAATTAATTTAATTAATTAATTAATATATARTACAGTAATAGAAAAAAACTATTATTTATAGGAGATATCATTTAATTTTTTTTATTTACTATTTTAAGTTATTATTAGACTAATTATGATTAATAGTACCGTAAATAACAACAACAATAATAACAAATTAAAAATAAATTGTTTTATATAAATATTTTATTATTTTTAATTATTTTTATAATTGAATAGTAATTAAACTAAAAATGACAATTAATTAATTTATACTAAAATTAAATTAAATTAKATAATATTTTTTTTGACTGAAAATAATAGGAGACGACTATTCCCGGGTATTAAAGGAAGTGGATGTTCCCATTTGGAACCGAACCCAATGCCAACAGTCCCTGAGCGTACATTTAGGGGCCAGCTATCAGTTTCCCGATACGGCCATATGTGGCGGCGATRTCGGACACGACGCYTGCGATGGCGACGGCGGCGGCGGACTGTTTTGTCCGCACCGGGGATTGTGGTATCAAATCGGTATCATTAGCTTCGGTATCGGTTGCGGCCGTAAGGACAGTCCCGGTGTCTATACAAAAGTTGGCTCGTATTTAGATTGGATTTATGAGACCATAACTCCCCACTTAAGATCTCAATGAATAATTAATAAAATTTGAATTAAATTAATGTATTTATGAATTTTAAATTTATACTTTAATTGTAATAATTTATACAATATTATTTTTTTTTTTGTTAAAAAAAGTCATTTAAATATTTTTTATGTGTGTGTAAAACTATGTTGTTTTTATATAATTTAAAATTAGTCATAAATTTGTTTTTTTTTATTTAGATATAATTTGTTTTTTTAGTTTAATTTAAMTTATTATTATTATAATAATAATACTGAAGCATAACATTAATAAATTACAAAATAAATGTGATTACAAAATGAATATATTTATAATTTATATATATAATGAAAATTTTTAATTTATAAACTTTTTTTTAAATATACATATTTTAATATACATTGCAATACGGGTATACCATTGACACCATTAGTGCTAAAAATAAAAATAATATTTATATATATATATATTTTTCGTTTAACTCATTTGTGGCCAATAATCCTCAATCGGTTGACCCGTTTGTTTTGTAATCCACGGCAAAAATTGTGAGACTTTAACATAAACTCCGGGCACACCTGGCTTTCCGCAGTCAATACCCCAACTAAAGGCACAAATTATTATTATTATTATATTAAATTTAAATTAAATTTAATATTATAGTATAGCTTATATGTTTTTGTTGTTGTTTTACTGTTAATTATACTGACAAATGATTAAATGGAAATTAATGATAGTAAACAAAAAAATATTTATTTTTTTGATGATAATCTCAATGGTATCACMAAAAAAAAAAAAAAATAAATTAATGATAAAATAATTGAGGGGGGGCTCATTAACAGTTCAAGAGCACAGGGATATGTAAATTATGTGGCTTTCTATAGAAATTATAGACACTATAGTGTATATCAATAATATTGACACTTACGCCACGAGTCCGGCCAATGCATAGGTACCGTCACTCCGGTAGCAGACCTTTATATATACAGTATATAAATGATATAATAATAATATTGAATATATAATACATTATTTGCATCATTATTATTGTTATTATATATRTATATATTTAAATTGCTTGACAGTCAATACATCTCAATTTTATGATAATTTTTTTTTGTTTTAGTTTAGTTTAGAGACTTACAAGAGGTCCGCCTCCATCTCCCTTACAGCTGTCGACCCCTTTCTCACCTCCAGCGCATAAAAAGCTATCGTGAAGTCTACAGACAAACAAACAAATAAAATACAATTTATTTTTATACAATAAGAAAAATATTGATATATTAAAAATATTTAAAAAAAACAATTTATAATACTAATATATTGTTTCATATGTACACATATATCAAATAAAATACCCATATTTTCCATCAACACAAAAAATTGATATAAAAAGGGTATGTCAAAGGGGGAGGGGGCTATTTTCAAGACATTTAATTTCAACTCTACCCCCCAGTGACTGTACCCCCTTATTGAGRCCCAGTAAGTAAACTGAACCGTTTGAATTGAAATATCATATTTTTTTAGRTTGTTGTTGTTATTATTGTCTCAACAATTACATAAACATTTATAAATATATATATATGGTTTTAATACCTGAAACGATTGCCCAGTCGTGTTTGTCTTAGTGCTGTTTGACAGTCATAATGATTGAGCACCGGTAGCTTTACTTCCTTTAAGATATTTGAATAACTGCCCCCTTCTATATAATGAAAATAAGTTTTGATGTGTTAATATTGTTGGGAGAAAAACATTATATATATATATTTTTACATTTATTGTAAATATAAAAATGACAAAAAAATTATAATAAATTATTTGATTTTTTTGTTGTATTTCTATGGTTTCTTATATAATTTTTTTAATATAAAATAATAATAATAATCAATCAATCAATCACTATCACTACTGTAAGCACTTTTACCCCAACCGGTAGTCACGCAATCCATGCCATCAAAGTTATCCTGAGTGGATGTCGGCAAACAAATGCTATCGATATGGGGCTTGAATTCAACTTTTTTGTTTAGTGTCAATACGGCGATGTCGTTCCATAGGCTACCGTTCCTGAAGTTCGGGTGCATCGCAACCGATTCGACCGTATAGTCTTCGTGTGCGTAAAATTCGTTGGTATGYTGKGTATCCCATTCGCCCAAACGGACTACCAGTTCATACTGTTTGCTATAACTGTTTGTTTGTTTTTTAATTGTTGAAAAAATATATATATAATTTTAAACAATCAAAAAAACTAAATAAAAGTTATACCGTTTTACCCTAAATACATAATCATATTATATTTATAAAAAAAAACTAATTATAGAATATACGGGACAGGTATGTGAAAGTTTGGACAGTATGTGTGTATAGATACTCACGCATAGGGAGCCACACAATGGACAACCGTTAGGACGTGTTGGTGGTCGATAAGTACACCGCCGCACTGAAACAAATTGATACCGTTTTCCACTTTGAGTACGGCCGCCATCCACGGCCACTCACCGAAATCGGATTCGCCTTTTGCATCGGGCGACAAAATTCGCCGATTAATACCCGACGGGTTTCTGATACCGCACTGATGAACGTACGGTTTAGTAGTGGACGCCTCTGTCGGGTCGCTACAGCATACGTGAAATGTACCGCAAAACGGGGGCTTATAATTGGCGTCCTTTTAAAACAATAAAATAAATAAATATATTTTTTAACATTAATGACTTTTTAAAAAAAGCGGATAACTCTTACCAATGGGATCTCCTTCTTTGGTATCTTTCGCGGATCAATAATACCGGATCCGTCGGTTATAATGTTTCCGTCGTCGCACTGATAGTATGGCACACATATGCATCCGTTGGCACCCTTTTTTTATTAGCAATCATATCAATACAGTATTTTACAACTAATTTAGTATTATTATTATCAGATTATAACTTTAAAAATTTWATATAAAATACAAGAAATTTTATCCCAAAATAAAAATTCATACAATTTTTTCGTCCGAATAATTCTTGACTACTTCTTCATCGTTTTCATCATTTGTTTCGTCATTTTGTACTGGTTTCGGGTCATATTGTTTTGGTGGTGGCAGCGGCTGTTGTTTGTTTTCGGGTACAATATCTACCGGTTTCTCAACCACTATAGTCGGCCGTTTGTTAGCACCGGGAGGTACACCAGCGTCTTCATCATAACTGCCCGGCTTAGAGTCGCCGCCGCCGCCGCCCGGATAGACATTTATGATTGTATCGTCTCTATTGGACCGACCGTTTAGCCGCCTATTATTATTATTATTATTATTGGGGTTAGGGTTGCGGTATCGTTGACTTAGTATATAATTTTGTTGCAAACATATCAATAGCAAACATATTGATATGCTATTGAAAATATTGAATGATAATTGTAGTTTCATATTTTTTGTTAAAAAAAACTATATTTTCTCAAATAATATATTTAAATATATATATATATATCAACAATAATTATTATACATTTATTAATTGAAAAGTTATATTTTTATTATAATAATAAAGAGAAACTTATATATTTTATATGTTTGATTGTTTTTAGTTGTTTGATATTACTTGTATAACAAAAAAACTAGTAATAGATTTATATATATATATACTGAGTATATCTATATTATTAATATATTTATAAAAGGATGGGATGTATTACCCATACAAAGGATGGATTATTATTACTACTATTGTTATCATTATTATTATTATTGTTATTAAGCCATCAAAATGTTTRTATATATATATATGTATTGAATTCAAGGTTTCTTTCTATGAAATTATTACAGACAAAACAAAAGTTATTCAACAAACAAAAAAAAACTAATGCAAGAAATTCCTAATAACTTTAAATTACTTATAAATAAATATATWTATATATATATATATATATATATATATATATATATATATATATATAACTTATATTAGAAAAAAAAGTTTGAAACTTAAGTTATAAAAATTACTTCAATCACGTCATACCATTATATACCATACTATAGTATAAGGTTATACTGTATATATCAAAACTAATTGGTCTCAACCTTAATGTTGGCATTGTTTAGAAAATTTCACAACTATTATGATAATATAAAAAAATTTAGCTAGTTAAAATTTACTATAGTTAGCACAAAAAAATAATAACAAAAACAAAATTAATATTTAAATATATATTTTAATTACACTAATGTACAATTAATTTATTATATATATATATATATATATACTGTAAATATATATATATGATATAATATTATAATATATAATTAACAGAATAATATTAATTGTTTTGTGTTTGATTTATATTAATTATAGTTATATGTAAATAAATGATTTGTAAATAATAAAATGACTCATTTTAAATAAATAATAATAATTATTATTATTATTTCACAAATTAATAACTATAGTTAATTAAATGTACTGTACAAATATAWWTAAATTTTTAGGTAATTTCCATTTTTTATTAATTTTATTATTAATTAAATATTAATGTAAATTTTGTTGTTGAACAATCAAAAATTACTTACATTATTTCTATATGCAAATATTAAACAATTAAATTAGCATATTAAACAATTTTTGTATCGTACCGAAAAAAAATCATTATTATTATTAATTTTATTTTTGTTTGTAAAAAAATCAGATAAACAATATAATTGCCAATGTTACTAAATATAAACAAAAACAAAATAAGTTTTATTTAATATTTTTCATTAATATTTATTATGCAAATTAGTAGCAATAAAAAAAACGTGTTGAAAAAAATCTAATCCTAAAATTAATAATAAAATAAATTGTTGGCGAAAATATAATTTTATTAGTTATAGATAAAGTGTGATTTAATCCATAAAATTATTTTTTTTTTTTTGTGTAATAGAAAAATATAATTTATAACATAAATGATTCAATACTTCCGATTACCGGTAAAAAAGAAAAATTTCAAATATAAAAAACAACATTTTGTTAGTTAAATGTTATTATAATTTTTATTAATTATATTTACAAAATTTCCATATAATTTCCATCTATTGTAAATAAATGTCACATATTTTCATAAAAAAAATATTGTTATCTCAACAAAAAAATAGAAATAAAACAATGATTTATGAATTATGTGTTAATTTATTTGAAAATTCATTGTCAATATTATGCCGATAAATAATAACCATTAGAAAGTTATAACTAAAAAATTATATATTATTATTAAGTTCAATATATTTTTACTATTATAGTTTTATAATTATAATAAATCATTAAATTATCTACAGTCTAATTAAAATATTGTTAAAAATAACCTGTATTAAATCAGTAAAAATAACCATTTATTACACAACAATGGATCAATGAGTTTAAAAAATTAAAAAATAAAATCAATGTCTAACAAAAATTATATATTAATATGAATTTTTTTCAAACAATTAAACATTATTTTTTATTTATATATATATATAAATTTATATTTATTTATAACTTTCTTAAAAATATAACTTTTTAATTTACCGATAATTTTTTTGTTAGTTACTAAAAATAGGATATATAATAATAATAATACCATAACTATTGCTAATCAATTACATCAATATATTTATTGATTGATTGACTGACTGACTGATTGCGTTAAACAATCTTATTGTTAGAATTAAACATAACTATATATGACAATAATAAAGTAATAATAATAATAATAATAAGTTAATAATAAATAAACTGTTTTTTTCAGTTAAATTAATTATTTTTAACTCATATTAATAGGACATGAAATTGTATGACCAGTTTTTAAGGGTGGGGGAGAGGAGGGGGATTTATTTGAAATATTTATACAGATTGTTTGACACTAAAAATATGATAATATCTTGCGATTGCCGATGTTATCGCTGACCAACCGATATCTAACCGAAATAATAATAATTAAATCACATTATTTGATTAGTATTATACATTTATTTATAATAAAAAAATTTATACAAATCAATCAATACTACAAACATGGAGTTAAATTAATAATAGTTATTTTTTATTAATAAATTAAAAAAAATAAGTTAACTAATCAATAATTTTTTTTTAAAAATGACAAAATAAGTTATTATTATTATTGTTGAGTAGACTACTAATGATGAGGCAATTGACAAATAATTTATGAAATGTTCAGTTATATGTTATGTTATATAATAATTTCATAATTATTGGTAAAAATGTGTAAACATATTACACACACACACACACAGGTTTGGTTAACAGCCAACTGGTAGTGATTGTTGGGTAACAATGGAGTCGATAGATGTCTCAAAAAGTATCGGCGATTTCTTGTCCAAAAAGTATAATAATATAAATGATGCGAACGTAAAAAATAAGCCAATGATTAATGTTAGCCATTGTTGTAGAGGACTGGGTATTATAAATAGACGAACGCTAGAGCTGGTCCATCGGCTCTCAGTCCATGTCGAGTATAGTTCCGGATCGGTTACCACTCCTTGACTTAGAAAAGCCGGCGAAACGGCTTCGGTTTGAAAGGCTTGCGATCTAATACATACACCGGTACCTGTCGGGCCAGATATCCAATAGTAGTTGAATTTCTATAAAAAACAAAACAAAAAAAAAAATTATCGGTAATTAATGTTTTATGTAATCATGTCTTTCATCGATTAATCGGGAAGACCCTAACCTTTGACTCTTTGTTGTTCTGTTCGCACGTACTTTTAGTATCTGTTTTGTTTGTGTCGCTAACAAAATAAGTTAATAACGAATGTGTRTATATTCGGTAGAGATTGGTTGCCGCCGACACACCCACATATGTTTGATAGGGACGTCCGATTTCTATCCGTGTGTGTGAAAAAAATATATTTWAACCCATAATTAAAACAAACAAAACAAAAAAAAAAGAGAGATTTACTAACGGTCTGGAAATTTTTGGTCGGGACTGGAAACTCGTTTAAATAGATCACAGTATGAGTTATTAAGATAACAGTCGAGCATCTCTTTGACAAGTGTCTGGTTGGCCACTAGATCTGGTCTGTCCTTTTGTGTGGCCAAACGATAGACAACACGCGCTACAGTTGTCGCTATATTAGCCAATCGTTTGGCAAGATTTGGATCAGTTATGTTGACATTGGCCCAGTCGTTGTCGTCGTGCATACTGTTGTAGAACTTATTTGTATACTCTTTCTGGTGATTGCTTAGCACTACTCCTGTCAAGTCTTTATATTGCTTATGAAATGTCTGTAACGATGCCGGCGGTAATGGTCGACCATCTTCRACAGCATCGACAGYAAGATCGGCACTTTTGCCACTATCTAYCAGCAATTGTCTTAGTGTTTTGAATCCGTCGCTTGAATTRACATTTTTATGAATCCAAACAGTKTCCGTATTTGACGGATGCGGTGCCAATTGATTSAGTTCAATAAAATGTGAAAACTGATTGCCACGTATTTGAGCCAAATCGGTCTCCGAGTCGTTCTTTACGGGAAATTTACCAGAATTCATGTCGAATAGTACACGACTGGAACCAATGTAATCGAATGCTTCGCCATCGAAGAATGCAAACAATATATTCTTGCCATTTGTTCTTTCYTTTTGAAACTCTTCTCTGACATCATTGAGAGTTTTGGCTACTGCTAGAAGTGTTACAACACCGGTAATGACAGAGTCGGCACCGGGCGATATGTTGTCGAACATAGAGTACGAGTCCAGWCGGGTGGCCAACACAATCAGYGAATCTTTTTCGATTGTATCGTTTTTCGATGTCCACAATAATGTCGAAAATATATTTCTTCCGCCCAATGGATCGCAATATAAAACTRTTATWAAAATTGTTATTAAATTTAGTTTTRTTTTTATATAATTAAGACATTAGGAGTGAGACATACGCGGACTCAATGAGTATGACTGTGTYGACAGATCAGACCGTCTGATACATGTCTTGGAATCTTTGGCCGCATTCATAGCTGAGTCCAAATGTAGGCCACATATGGGATATGACGGTCCGCCAAACTCTTTGAAACACTATTTTATTTTATATAATAATAAAATCATTCAAATTATTATTATCATAATTAACTTTAAAAAAATCATACAAATCCACAAATACATACTTTTTGAATGTTAGTGATATCAGTGGTATTTTTGATGGCAAATATAGGGAACGGCCAGTCCTGATACATGAGTCCTGTACTGTGCGGACCATCTATTAGATTCCATTCCTGTTGTTGACAGTGACGAAACTTTGTGTCGTTGACATACAAATCAAAGCCATCGTTAGGACACGACTGGTCATCAGTCAAACCCGTCAACAACGACCTATTAGGCGATCGCACGTCCAGTACGACAACACCGCTGACCCTATCGGCCGACTCTTTGAATCGCAATAATGTCTTTCTGTGAATGAAAAACACAAAAACAATTATCTCAGTGTAATCTCAGTGGGACTAAACTAATTATCATTTGAATATGGTTACATACAAATTCAAATGTCTTGGATAAATAGCAGCAATATATGGATCAAGTGAGCCACTGGTSACCACATGATCGATATCTTTGTCGTCGTCGACAATATGAACAGTACCGACATTACCACCTTCTTTGGCTGTTAATCAACAACAACAACAACAACAACAATAACATTAAGTCTAATGATATATATATATATATATATATATATATATCAATGGCCAGATTGTGTGACCATCGATGATGGAAAATAAATGGCTTACAATTGCATCCGATCTGATGGCTTGCACTCAGTCGACGAAAGCAAAAGAAGTCACTTTCAATTGATTTATATATCTTTTGTTTAATCCGATCGCCGTTTGCTAAATCAATAAAATTAAATACAATTTATAAATATTATTATTATTATTATTATTAATCAATCAATTGATATATGATATCAATTATAATTAGTATACTACTTACACATTGACATCAAAATACATAAACATAWWAGCAATTTGATTGGCAATGTCTTCATCATTAAATTGATGATAACTGATGGCAGCAATAATTGATGACAACTAATGGTAACCATATTTTTTTATGGATATATATATCACTTAATTTAATCGTTAATTATATGATTAAACTTCAAAAAACAGTTGTCATATAATAATAATGTATTTAATTATTTTGTCTCTAATATCATATTTAATATTTTTTTTAATATATAAAATAATTAATATTATAATACAATTAATATTATAATTATATCATATATCAGTATTTTTGTTGTTGTTGTTATTAGATATGATATGAATCACTAATACTACTAAACTTTTATGATATTAAATACAATATTTGTTTTTAATTTTTATAAAACAAATGTCAAACAAAAACAATAATAACAAACAAAACAAKCGATGAATTTCATTCAATATAACTATTAGTATAGCAATAGTGTTGTCATTCAAAATAGAGCGTTCAATGTATAGGTATTACTACTACCGGTATATAACTGTATATAACTTTTTTTTTTGTTTTACTTGTAATTTATTATWTAWAAATATTTTATAATAATAATAATAATTTAAATTTATGTCCAATCAATCAATTATAATTAATAAATTGTTTTTTTTAATTTTAAAATTATATTTGTATTATATATCATATATATATATATATATATATATACAATAAGTTTAGTTTTTAATCTATAATAATAATTATTATTATTATTATTATTCAAATATTTCAACAAAATTATRATTAGATGACACATATATACATAGGATATAAAGTGTTRATAATAATTATAATAAAAACTAAAAATTATAGATTTWAAAAAATATATATATTATAAATYTATAAATTAGGGGTACTTTAAAAAAAACAAACCATTGTCAATGGATCAATAAGTTTTTAGAAAAATTTCTAAAAAAATCAATAAAAATCATTGTCTATTATAATTGTATTATACTTTATACTGGTATACTTTTTTTAAAAAACAAATTATGCAAAACTTATCAAACAATTGTATGTCAATTATATAATAAACATATTTTTTTTTCTTTAGCTAACCTTAATTTATCGATAATTTTTTATACATTTAAAAAAATAAATAAATTTAAAAAGTTATTGTATTATAGTTACTAAAAATATACCCATTATATATCAAATATAAATCATACTAATAATAATAATAATAATAATTAAATACCGGTAACACATAAATCTATTGATTGATTGACTGATTTAACTAAAACCTCTAACTATTGTTATTACATTAACCATAACAATACACATACAAAAWAATAAWAATAATAATTGATTTTTAATAAAGTATTGAATTAAATAAATCAAATAAAAAACTTTTTTATATTTAAAAAAAATAATTTTCAAATTTTCAAATTTTATTTGCATTCAATTCAATATTTTGTTTTTTTTAACACATTAATTGCATTAAATAATTTTATACTAAAAATAAACTTTTAGTATACAKTGTAGAAAAATTTAATGAATTTTTAAATTTTTTTTTTTTTTTTTTTTTTTGGTAAATGAATAGCATTGCCATCTGTACAGTACTGACCGTCACTACAAATATATATACAGTACTGTATGTTTGAGTGGAGAGTCAGAGCACACATACACTATAAATAATACTGTATTTTATATTACATTACAAAAACTGCATGTATTTTGACATCCATTGCATTTTGATTGAGTCGTCACTTACTGTAAAATATTATAATCAATAAAAATACTATACATTACACTGTAATCAACACAACAACAAAAAACAGTAGTAATAAACAGTATTATTATTATATTAACGTTAAATMTATTACTTTGAAAAACAAAATAATAATAATATTTTTAGTTAATTAATAGTTATGTCATTAAAATCAGTACTGATTTGCTACTGATTTGTCTCAATAATAAAAAATAATTAATTGATTGATTGATTGATTTTTTTGTTGTTGAAAAATCAATAGTTTTATAATTAATTAATTAATTATTATTTTATTATCAATTGTTTAACAAATATATATCGTGTCCACACATTTGATGCCAACAAAAAAATTAATTTAGTTTTGACTAAAACTAATGTAATCATCAAAATAATTGCCAAAAAATTATTATTATTGTGTCCACTGTTGTTGTTGTTGCGCGGGGGGTATTGACCATCGATGATGATAATAACAATAATAATAATAAGTGACATCATCACCATCAACAACAGCAACATATGATCCGTTAATACCTAAAAACAATGGACAACTCGTTTGGAAGTACCACTTCTTCGTCATCGACAGCGACAACCGATGCATTGCTAATGTCGTTGATGTCGGCGGCCAAGAGTTACGATTATGTATTGAAGTTTTTATTGGTCGGCGATTCGGATGTCGGCAAAGACGAAATACTGAACAACTTGGACGAAGACAATTCGCCGCTGTCGTCGACCAGCGAACCGTCGTTTGGCCGAAATCCGGGTGTCGGCTATAAGACAACCAATATATTGCTGGACGGCCGACGTATTCGCTTACAGGTTTGGGACACGTCTGGTCAGGGAAGGTTTGAAACGATATTCCGGTCCTATTCGAGAGGAGCTCAAGGAGTCATATTGGTATACGATATAACCAATCGGTGGTCGTTTTCGGGTCTCAATCGTTGGCTCAATCAAATTGAAGAGGTATTTATCATTTGATTTCATTTTTGTGGTTATATTTATAAAAAACTATTTGTATCATTGATTTTAAACTAATTGTTTGTTTGATTGATTGGTTATTATCATTACCATCGACAGCACATTCCAGGAGTGCCTAAAATCTTAGTCGGAAATCGGCTTCATTTGGCATTTAAACGACAGGTCAGCGAATATACGGCTCAAACCTATGCCAACAAACATAATATGACATTCTTCGAGATTAGTCCGCTCTGTAATTACAATATTAGAGAGACCTGTGCTCAGGTATGTCTTGAATTATCTTTAATTTACAATAACACTTGTAATTGATTATCAAATGATCCAACAGTTATCTCGAATGGCTCTTCAGCGGAACGGTATGGAGAATATAATGAAAATGAATACCGGTTTGTATTAATGAATTATTAATCCCAAAAATCATTTACCAGATAATATACAGTAATTATATAATGTCCACAAAATCTTTTTATACGGTTCCAATCAGTTCCATCACTGCAAGAACTCTGTTGTCGGGCAATTGTCACCCGAACGACAACCTATAGTATTGAACGACTGCCGCTACCGAAATCATTGAAATCATGTCTGGTATCGTTCTCATCGGTGGACAACAGAATATGGATACCATCGCGACATCAGTATATGTCGCCAAAAGAAAAGAAAACCATTGCCAAGAAGGCTAAAGCCTTTTTCTCGTGCGATAACCTAACAAAAGCATTGTCCACGACATCCATTGCGTACAATACTACTGCATCCATTGCTCATCCGTCGACGTCCACTAATAATCGGTCATTTAGTGGACGACCCGCTGCCGCTCATCACCACCGATCAGATCATCACCGCAACAACAACAGCAACAAGCACTGCACCATTTCCTAGTCCTTCACCACCATTGATATCGTAACAAATATTTTACTCAAACTTTTTTTTAAAAAAACCGAAACAAAACTTTTTGCACATATTGTAATGTAATAAACATTTAAAAAAAAAATCTTATATATTATTAAACATTTATTTTATTTGGAATTAAATAATTATTATTTATTTTAATAAATTTTTTTTTGGTGTTAAATGTGAGTAAAATCTAAAATATTAATATAATTTTTTGAATTGTTTTCTTATAATAATTTTGTTTTGTTGTTAATGTTTTATTTTAACGAGTAGTTAATACAGTGATGGATAGTTTTTTCTCTATGTTTGGCTAACCTATTGGCCACCGAAACCCCGGAGGCCACTCATCGGTGATTGCAATGAATTGATATGTCGCAACTGCGAGGCCAACAATTCCTGACTGCCGACATAATACGTTGCAGCGGTAGTTGGATGCGACGTCTCGACGGCGGCAAACTCGCTGCCAGAGTTGGCCAGTATAGTACAGTGCATCGGCTGGCGGTCCAGCAGCCGATTGTGATATGTTTTACACGCGTTGCGTGCGTCGGCCAATGTTTGGTATACTACCAATGCGGCCGAACTGGTCACTTTGGATGCACTGACCAATGGTCCGATTGATCCGAAAAGATCCTGAAATAAGAATATCAATAGAAATTGTTATTATTTTCTTTAGTCGATGATATCGACAATTATTATTATTATTATTATTATTTACATTAATATCTCTTTGGGTTATCGATTGGTTGAGATTCGAGACCAGAACCGTACGGCTCGATTCGTCGGCTACTGAACTGTGAGCGGTGCGGACAGCTGTCGGTGAGGTCAACACATAGGTTGCGTCCAATGGTCGGGTAATCAGCTGAAGATTACAACAATAACAACAAATTAATCAATTTTATGAGTCTTAAGGCAAACTAATGAGGAGAGAGAGAGAGAGAGAGAGAGAGATAGAGAAAGCAAAATAGTGGACACAAACTTCGGGAAAAATTATCGACTGATTATTCGGTGATACAGTGCTTTTGGTCCCATTTTTGGCAAAATCTTTGCGATTGTGTCTTAAATTACTTGTCTTTATTTAATAAACAAAACATCAAATCAATTAAAAATCAGTTAAAAACTAATTTAAATAAAAAAATTACAAACATTTTGTCTGTTTCGCGAATTATTGACATCGATTTGCGACAAATCGACCATAACTTTGGGAATCAGCTGATTGTTGCGTGTCTTAGTCAATGTCACGATTTTCTGATATATCGGACAAAAAAATTATCGGTAAAAATAAGTGATCAAATCAGTCAATAGTTTAAACTGATCCAAACAAACTAGACATACATTTGTGACTCTTTGTTGCAATGCTTGGCCACCACCGCTGCCGCCACTACTTCTTCGTGCGTTTCGTTGTTGTTGTTGTTCAACATTAGCCGTCCTTCTCGTCGTCTTCAATACGACTTTACCATTGAGTCTCATCCGCTGAACATTGTTTGGACGACCACTTCTTGCAGCAGTAGTAGTAGTATTAATAGTATTGTCTCTATTGGTAATCAATTGTCTCAAATCGTTAACCCTAGTCGTCGTCGTCGTTGTCGTCATCATCTGTCGGCTTGTCATCGGTTTTCTTCTAATGCTTCTCATCTGATTAGACTTTGGCCGCGATCTGAACCGCATATTATTAAGTCGTTGTCGGGCATCCATTACGATGTGATGAGATAATCGCCGGCGAAGTGTCCAATGATGATGATGTCCAACAGTTCCCGTTCGCCGAATGACTCTTATATATATAAGACACGCCTTTTAACAACTGATCTAAAGATGTTTTATAATAATAATAATATAAACAAAGTGTAAATAAATAGTATATAAAAAAGTCTTTTTTAGTTTACAATACATTGCAGACAGTCTTCAGTAGGGATTCTTCAGTCAGTCATATGATTGACACATAAAAGACGTCTTTTTCTGTTGTTCTTCTGTTGTTGTATTGCAAGCAGGGTTTTAAAAATGGCAGGCATAAACAATAGATGCCTATTTTGCCAAATGCCTGCCTTGCCTCTGCCATGCCCAGGGCATCTATTTTCAGGTGGTGACACCTATTATTTTAATTTTTTTATTATTAATTTATTTATAAAAATTGTTTTATCAATATATTTGTTTGTATTTTTGTTTTGTATATCTTTACTTTAAAGATAATATATTAGAAATAAGTATATTAATTGTAAATTTAATTAACAAGCTAAAAAACAGTAAATTAAATTAATTTTATAAATACAGTTGCTTTTTAGCAATTTAAATTGGCAGGCAAATAAAATAGATGCCCAAAATGCCAGGCATTTATGGCATCTATTTGGGCATTGCCAGGGCAGGCATTTATTTCCTTAAAACCCTGATTGCAAGAGAGAGAGAGAGAGAGAGAGAGAGAGAGAGAGAGAGAGAGAGAGAGAGAGAGAGAGAGAGAGAGAGAGAGAGAGAGAGAGAGAGAGAGAGAGAGAGAGAGAGAGAGAGAGAGAGAGAGAGAGAGAGAGAGAGAGAGAGAGAGAGAGAGAGAGAGAGAGAGAGAGAGAGAGAGAGAGAGAGAGAGAGTTGAATGTCTTGTATATTAGGGATTTACCGACCATTTTGTGGCCACACAACAAAAAATTACCGAAAAAATAAAATAAAATAATAAACAGTTTTTGTTTGTAACTGTTGTTAAATAGCTGATCCAATCAAGTGATAAACAAGTTGTTTAAAACAACATTATTATTATTATTATTATTATTATTATTATTATTATTATTATTATTATTATTATTTTGGACTAAACGTGACGTTTATATACAGTATATGTTTGTGACGAAAGTCTTTCACCAAAAAACATAATAATAAATAAAAACGTTTTGTTGCGAAACAATTGAGTTGTTTAGTGATTGTCTTTATATGGGATTTGAAGACTGGATATCATCGATGGTTCAACACATTGGGGATCAATTTATTTGGTGATAATTGATTGTCCGATTCATATCAATCATTTCATAACATAAAACTGAAGACTGAAAACACAATCAAATTATAAAAACAAAACTAAATGTTTGGACAACAAAACTCTTGGAGTGGTTTGCAATCAAACAAATTAATTATCACTTTTTTTGTGGATGTGATCTATAAGTGTCTCAGTGATCATTGAAGTGTCATTTGATTAATTAGTAGGAATTAGAAAAAATCTTCAGCAATAATAATAATGAGTAAATCAATTGAAACAACAAATGAAAAGATGATTAAAACTGAAGAAGAAGAGGTAGAGGAAGAAGTGGCGGACAGCAAGTTGTCGTCGACGACGACGATGACGACGAAAAGGAAGAATAAAAAGACCGATAAGTTGCCGAAGATATCGATCGACTTGAATGTCATTCCCAGTGTCGATGTCGAAGATGACGACTGCGAGCTACGAGGTCTTGGGATCACTGCATTTGATCAGCGAGTCTATGAAGAAAATGTTATGCTTCAAGTGGACAAAGCTTTGGATATTACCGGCGATGGTGTCGGTGCCGGTGGTGGTGACCACTCACAGTCAAATCAGACACAACAACATCAAAAACAGATGCAAAATATCTTAAATCTCGACACAACTAGTGATAATAAAAGTGATTATTTAGTTAAAGATATTAAAACAGAAATTGTTTCGATAAGCGATGATGAAGAAGAAGAAGTCAGTGGCGATAATAGTAATGATATTAAACCGTTTAAAGGTTTGGTTAAACAACTGGAAGAAACAGACGAAGAGCTAAGTGATGATGAGATCAACGATGAAAGACAAGAAATCAATGTTTGCGAAGAAGATTCCGACGATAGAGAATCAGATGACTGGAGACCGACGGCTGATGACTATGAAAGTGATGAACGAATTGATGATGAAGTGGTCGATGAAAGCGATGATCAATTGGATGTACAATATTCAGATGAAGAATATTTTGTTGATTTACCAGAAAGTTTACCAAAGAAAAAGTCAACAAAAATACTTAAACTAAAGAAGACTGTGATTAAGAAGAAAAAAGTCACCGATGATGGCGACGACAAGTGCTTTCAGCGAAGAATTAAGTAATGAATAAAAAAAGAGATAATTTTTGGTTTGTTTTTTTAATAATCAAAGATTTATTTTTTGATTTTCCAGAGAATATAAAAAACAAAGACTTCTGGAGCGACACGAAAACATTCGTCCGGACGGTACTGAAGTCAAAAATCTGGACGAATTGGTAAAACTTGATAACGGTTTTCAGTTACCGAAACGAATTTGGGATCAACTCTATGCCTATCAGCAAACGGGTGTCAAATGGCTGTGGGAATTGCACGGCAACGGTTGCGGCGGTATTGTCGGCGATGAGATGGGTTTGGGAAAGACCATACAAGTCATTTCATTCCTCTGCGGTCTCAGTTTTACCAAACTGAACGACTTTCGTGACACTCGTACCACACTGGGACCAGTCCTGCTTGTTTGTCCGGCCACTGTCATGCATCAATGGGTGGCCGAATTTCATAAATGGTGGCCTTACTTTCGGGTAGCTATACTTCACCAAACGGGTAGCCATTCGGGCAAAAAAGAGACACTGATTCGTACGATCAGTAGATCCAATGGTATACTAATTACATCCTATTCGGGTGTTTGCAGCTATCAGAAGCATTTGCTGCGCAATGACTGGCATTATGTGATACTGGATGAGGGACACAAAATTAGGAATCCATTGGCACAGGTTAGTAGTAGTAGTAGTGGGTTCCGGTAATCGTTTGATTAACCAATTGATTTACTACTGATCCATAGGTGACCCATACCTGTAAATTGTTTACCACACCGCACCGATTGATACTATCGGGATCACCCATACAAAACAATTTGCGCGAACTGTGGTCACTGTTTGATTTTATATATCCGGGAAAGTTGGGTTCGCTGCAAGTATTTACCGAACACTTTTCCATACCGATAACTATGGGTGGTTATGCTAACGCTACTGATGTCCAGGTATGTCTAACTCTACTATAGTTTCACCCAATTAGCACCGGTATGTTGTTTACAATTACTAACAATTACCGACAATATCTTTCACGGATATTCAGATTCAAGTAGCATTCAAAATGGCAACCATATTGAGGGACACAATAATGCCGTTTCTGTTGAGACGATCCAAACAAGAAGTCCAATCAACTCTATTGCTTCCGTCGAAGAACGAACAGGTATTGTTCTGTAAGCTGACAACTGAACAACGAGATCAATACAAGTCGTACATCGATTCCACGGCTGTCAAAGAGATTTGCAAAGGAAGTCATAAGATATTTGTCGGACTCATTAATCTAAGGAAAATATGTAATCATCCGAATCTGTTTCAAGTGAATCCAATCGCCGAACTGAAAGCAAACAAAGACGACATCGAGTTCTACAAACGGTCGGGAAAGATGAGAGTTGTCGAAGCATTGCTCAGGATTTGGTACAAACAGAAACATAAAGTTCTTGTATTCACACAAAGCAGAAAAGTATTTTCAATAAAAAAATCTTTAATTTAATTAAACAAAAAATTAATGAAAAATTGTTTTTTGTTTTATTTTTGTTTATCACCACAAAATCAACTAACAGATGATCTCAATATTGGAATGTTTTCTACATCTCAAAGAATATACCTACTTATTGATGGACGGCTCGACAAGTGTCCAATCAAGACAATCGCTAATCAAACAGTTCAATGAGGTTTGCCAGTGATTAGTGATACAAAATGTATTACCATTTAATTATAAGTGATTTAATGATTTTATTTTTTTTTAATTACTGGTAATTGAAAGGATCCGAAAATTTTTGTCTTCCTATTGACCACACGTGTCGGTGGTATCGGTGTCAACTTGACCGGTGCCAATCGGGTACTTATCTACGATCCCGATTGGAATCCCAGTACCGATATGCAAGCCAGAGAACGGTGTTGGCGCATTGGCCAAAACAAAGCGGTTACCATTTATCGGTTGTTGTCGTCGGGAACTGTCGAAGAAAAGATATATCAAAGACAAATATTTAAACAATACTTAACCAATAAAGTACTGAAAGATCCCAAACAGAGACGATTTTTCAAGACAAACGATTTGTACGAATTGTTTACATTGGGATCCGAATCGAGTGCTACCGAATCGAGCTCTGTATTTGCCGGAACCGACTCCGAAATTAAGTTGTCGCCCAAAGCCAAGAAACAAAAAACTGAAAAATTTTCAACAACTAGTGGTAGGAGTGGTAGTAGTAGTAGTAGTAGTAGTGGTAATAATAATAATAATAATAATAGTCAACAAACGATGAAGAAGTCCGACGAAGTGAAACTATCGGCAGAAAAAGTGGTAGAATTGCGAAATAGAGCGAAACTGTTGAGCAAATTGATTGCTGAAAAGTTTGCAAATAATAATAATAATAACAAAGAGATTACTTTGAGAGGTAATGAAAATAATGATAATAGAAAAGTCAGTGAAGAGAAAACAAATAGTGATAAAACAAAAACAAAACAAAAAGTCAAGACTATCAATGAAGACAACAATAATAATTCAAAGAAGTCGAAAAAAGGGACACAATTTGAGGGAAAACGTATCAAATATTTGATAAAACAAGACGTCTATAAAGACAAGACTACTGAAGAAAATAACGAATCGAAAGCCGATGACGAATACGTACTGAAGAAACTGTTTAGACGATCGAAAGTTCAGAGTGCACTCCAACACGATGTCATTGAATGTTCGTCGGCACCCGATTACGCTATTGCCGAACGCGAAGCCGAAACAGTGGCCAAACAGGCCATTGCAGCTCTGAAGCGATCGCGCGAAACCTGTCTGAATGCCAATCCGTTGACCGGCGTAAAAGTGGCCAAAAAGTTCGGTTTGAAACGTAAACTGAGCTCTGGTGCAACTACTGCCGCTACTACCACCGCCGCCACCACCGACGACAACAAAGTCTTCACAAGTAGTTCACTGATCAACGATATTAAGAGTCGCAATCGATTCGAAACCGAACTCATGTCAGCTGATTCTGAAGAATACAATCAAAATCAACAAGAAGTTCACATCAACAGCGAATACGACACACTATTGTCTGATATCAGAAATTTCATAGCATTTCAGTCGAAAAGAAGTGCCAGCAATGGCGGTGAGGCCACAACTCAGGAAGTGTTGGACGCTTTTCGCGATAAATTGCCGCCAAATCAGAGCGCAATCTTCAAGTCGATGCTCTACCAGTTGTGCCAATTCTATCGAACCACTGATGGTGTCGGTGTCTGGAAACTAAAGCCTGAATTTAGATAATAATTATTTTAATTATATTTACTTTTTATTTCTTATTTATTATTTATATAATTTTATGAAATAAAATATCAAAAATATGATAATTAGTATTTATATAAATACCGGTTAATCAATATGAGTGTGTACTGTATTAATGTCATAAATATCTATTTATATATAAAAATTATTAATATTATATAATATATTTTTAATCAAAGTAAAACTGTTGTATTATCCGAAAAAAACTAATAATTTTTATTTTATATAAAAAAAGATCAAATTGTTTATTATATTAAAAAAAAATCTTTGTTTTTGTGATTAATCACAGATTATTTATTTTTTTCTAGTTATATAATTTTACGCATCAAATAATAGTAATTTTTCTCAAAAACTGCTATTATTTTTATTTGCAGCATAAATATGGGTCAAACATAGTATTGTATAATGAGATTTATGTGTATTTATATATATATATGTATTGCACTTCAAATGTATAATCATTTTCTCTCTCTCTCTCTCTCTCTCTCTCTCTCTCTCTCTCTCTCTCTCTCTCTCTCTCTCTCTCTCTCTCTCTCTCTCTCTCTCTCTCTCTCTCTCTCTCTCTCTCTCTCTCTCTCTCTCTCTCTCTCTCTCTCTCTCTCTCTCTCTCCTAAAAAGTAGGTGAAACTCAACCGGATTTTCAAAATCTAAATGATTGTTTAAACTTGAAAATCACATTAAAATATATAATTTCAATTGTATTGTCTAACAGTATTATCTCTATAGATAAGCTAAACCAACTATAAATGAAACTAAATTTAGCACATAATTACTATTGCAGTGTTATAGTTATTATTATTACAGTATTATTGGTATACTAGTTGTTATATAAATTATTACTCAACACGCGTTTAGTTATTTTGTGGAAAAAACATTTTTGTTCAGAAACTTTTTTTTTGTTGTCAAAAAAACAGTACTAATAATAAATTTAAATCTAATGTCGGATCACTTGAAACATATAAACAATTTATTTACCGTATTTGGCCTCAAGTCTAGTAGTAGTAGTAGTAATAGTAATAGTTTTCATTTCATTATTGCTTTTCATTTTCAATAATAATAAAAAGATAACTTTCATTTAAATGATGTAATACACAGTTATGTCAAATTTAACTGTAATTTTTTTTATAAATCCTGTATATATTTTACTATTTTTTTTGTTTACATATATTTTTTAAAAAATAACAAAACTTAAATTGCAGTATTAATATGGAATATAATATAATGTAATATAATATATTGAATAATATAATTTAATATAATATATTAAATAATATAATGTAATATATTAAATAATATAATGTAATATATTAAATAATATAATGTAATATATTAAATAATATAATGTAATATAAATTATATATTCAAATATATATATATAGTGATAAATATTGTCTATACGTTAATTTATAATTAATCAATTTAATTAAAAGTTTATATATAAATATATATATACACATTATACACATAATGTTGAGAATATTTAAATATAATTGTTATTTTTAAATAACTATAAAAATAAAATAAAAATTTGTAAACATAATTTAGACCCAAAATAAAAATACAGGTATTTTATCAATAAATAAACAAAAAGTATTATCATTTAATAGAAAATTCAATTTTACTTTTTTTAAAGTTATTATTATTGCTAGTCATAGACAGTATACTACTAATGCTAAATATAATACCAAATATATCTTTATTTATTGAAAACTAAAAATATAATTCACTTAACATAACATAATAATTATGACAACTTTCAAGAACTCATTTAGTATTTACAGTTTAGTTAATAATAATAAAAAAAGTTTTTCTGGATTTCAGTGAAATCATAGTTTGGATTTTCCAGGTTTTCACACATTATATGATAGTTAGTAATAATAATAATAAAAAACATAACTGTTTTTTTATGTTGTTTTCTATACAAACTTACTGTATATACTAATAGTGAATAACAACATTATATACAGTATATGTAAACCAGAAGTTCATTAAACGATTGGTTTTTTTTCTTAAAGTGTGGTGTGTTTGACCTGATTCTAGACAATAGGGAACGGCATTAGGAGCACCGGTATATAAACTTAATCTCATAGACAGAAAAATTTTATGAACACACTGTTAAAAAGCCAATATTGTTTTTAAAAGTAAATTTTAGTGATACTAGTAGTGATACATCTAATTATTATTATTTGTATTTGACATCAGTTACTATACCAAAAAATACTACAGTTTAAAAAGTAAGTCAAACTTTTATAATAATAATAATAATACTATATATACTGTATATAGAAATAACTTTTCTGATACATTGAATAGTAAACTAATATATATATATAAAAATATTGATATATTAATTGGGAGAAAAAACAATATTTAGTAAAACAAATATTTATATTGTTTTTTTAAATATAAGTTTTTATTGCATGATATTTATAACTTTTTAAAAAAAATATATTAATTTGAATTGAACTTTAAAAATGAGATTAAAAGTGAAAAATACAATATAAAATTTTTTTTAGTAATAATAATAATAATTAATGTAAAGTTGAATGAAATATMTCTTTTAATATATATATAAATATTACTTCCCTTTTACTTCCCATCTCTTTTGAAAACTTTTTTTTTKTTTTGTTATTATTTGTTTGCAAATAAAACAAAAATGTATTCAAAAAAAAACTTTYTACAAAACAGTTCCACAACTTTGAGTTTCTATTGAAATAACAAAAGTTTATAAACTTTTTGTTTTTTTTAAAGAAAAAATATGTAAAATATATATTAATAAACAAATATATCAATTAATGAAAGTTTTGACATATATTTAACCAAAAAATATTTATTTATTTATTTTTCTTACTTTCAGATCATAGAAAATACATGTTTTAATAATAATTCAGATAATTCAGTGTATGTTTGAAAGAGTATCTCGTATTAAATATTTYATATTTTATGYATTAATATTTTGGACGATARCTTTTATAATGGGAAAAATTATCTACTATTTAATAACATTRTTACCACTGATGCCATATCTTAATGGTATGGATCCGATGTGGTATGAAAAGTCCGATTCAGATACAACAACAAATCAGACATCATTTTTCACAGAAAATAAACCATATTTTTTGACCATCGATGCAAATAATACAGAAAATTCTGATCAATCAAATCAAACAAATTTGACTGAATATGAGGGCCGGAGCGCTAAGTCYATGAATTTGGATAAATTAGTGGAAAACTATAGCAATAGGGATAGAGAGGCGAGAATTATCAACGATGAGAAACTGTCGATCAAGGGTTTCATACCGATAGTTGGTTTCGGTAACGATAAACACGACACCGACACTGACAGCAACGGCGAYAGTCAGGACAAACCGTTATCAGCTCAGGACTAYCCGATGGATATCCAACGGTTTGCCGATGCCTACAAACAGTACGCCCAGTCGTCAAATATCCAACAACAGCAACAACAACAACACCCGAAGCACCAACACGTCGCCGGTCCTGAAGATCAGCGTTTTATTGGAGCCGCTCTSCAGAATTTGGCCAACAGTTTCGGTAAAAAACCGWCCAGAAAACAGAGTTTTCATAGTGGATTTGAGTCGGCATATCCGGGACCCAATAGTCTGGCCAGCATTGTTAATGGTGGTAGTTTTGGCGGCGGCAGCATTGGTGGCGGTGGTGGTGGTTTTGGCGGTAACATCGGCGGYGGTGGCGGCGGCGGCGGCGGTGAATGYGTTTGTGTGCCGTTTTATATGTGCAAAAACGGCTACTTAGCCGAAGCCAAGTCAAACTCTGGTCAAATCAAATCGTCGTCAAACAATAATAATAATAATCTGCTGWCCGCTCAGTCAGTGCTCAAACAGTTTGCCGTACCGGCGCCGAAACCCATACGCCAGTATCAGCGTAAACCAGCCGCCRCTGCTGTTGTCCAGCAAAACCCGTACGAACAGTACCTACCGTTAGACGAAAGAAGTACWGACGACCTGTTGGGCGTAGCCAGCGATCAATCGGASTCATATCAGTCACAGTCGTCGGCGGCGAYGGAAGCGGCGGTCAATAATGTAAGCAATTATTATAYTTTTAATKSAATTTTAAATTTTAATAAAAATAATAATAATATATTGATATCTATATACAGTAACTATTTATCATAATTTATTATTATATTTTAGTTGTTTTAGTATATTAATAAAAAAATTGTGTGCAATTTATTATAATAATAATAATTCAAGAGTAAAATTTAGGCAATACTTCCCCCTTTGCTAATCCATGGGGGGTTCAATGAGTTTAGACTTATATATATATATAGGTTGTGCTTAATTTAGTTTTTWTTGTTGAATTAGATATACAATATTATAACAATATGATAATAAMAAAAATAATTAAATGATAATTTATGAAAATATTATTATTATTATTATCATAAATTAGTTATATCCATGTGATTACATTAAAAAAYAAATAATAATAATAATAATTTGTGGTTTTGTTGTTTCAAAAATTATKRTGTTTTTTAAAAAAGTTAAAAAAAAGGTTAATTATAGTGTAATTATCWTTTTATATAACAAGTATAGTAGAGTATAGTATTATATAATTTATTTAAAAAAACAAATTCAAATAATTTTTTATAAATAAATAAATTTAAATAATTTTTTATAAATAAATAAATTTAAATAATTTTTTTTTAATTTCATAGACCGCTCCTCAATATGCCGACGAAGTYTTGGCCCGAATGCTTGGCGTCCGATCCGATGGTTGCGGTGTTTTGCGTACATGTTGTCGGGCACAACCCCTATCGCCTGAACTTGAATTACCCGAATTTGCTCTGGCCGGACCAATCGACTATCCKAATGGTGGYCAGTTTTCSGGCGGACAGGATCTGGAATTTAACAAACGATTTACAAGTCCYTATCAGCCAAACATTCAACAAATACCCGAATATAGTAAACCTTTTGGATCGCATAAATAYGAGTTCCCGCAAACACAAAGACCACATCATCACCAACAACACCATCAACAACAACAACATCATCATCAGGTAGACGCCTATCCATCGCAAGTAGTTCAGGCCAGCTATGATTTTCTACCGAAACCGCTAAATCCTAATCATCATGGATTTGCACCCATACCGTCACGTCCTATTGCACCACAAATACCAGTACCRTTGAAACCCACTTACAATCCATCGATACGACCWGARCAAMCCRRTTATCAGCAAATTCAACCGTTAAAACCGGGTACCATWTATCCYACATATGGATCACAGGGACCTGTAGGTCATTCACTAGACAGYATTGATGGCGGTGGTAGTGGCCATTGCGGTAAACGACCAGCTGTCGGCATACACGGACGTGTCCAGAATCTCCAGTATCAGGACAGTGCTACCGAATTTGGCGAGTTTCCCTGGCATGTGGCCATACTCAAGAAACTKGGACCGGCCGACAGTCTCTACGTTTGCGGCGGTGCTATTGTATCGCCATATTTTGTGGTCACAGCGGCTCATTGTCTCAAAAAGTAATTATTTTTTTTGTTATTGAAAACTTGTATTATATTACTGGACTAAACAATAACTGATAATAATTTTTTTTTGTCCATCAGATTCACTGCCCACGACCTAAAAGTTAGAATCGGGGAATGGGATGTTCACAGAGAGGACGAATTTTATCCGCATATCGAAAGATTTATCGACGATATTATAGTACATCCGGACTTTTTTGCCGGTAGTCTACTGAACGATGCGGCCCTTATTAAACTGGATTCGCCAATTGATTTTCGACAATCGCCGCACATCGGACCGGTATGTTTGCCCGAAGCGTACGAAAATTTTGCCGGTCAACGATGTTTTGTTAGCGGTTGGGGCAAAAACGCTTTCGGCCATCAGGGAGAGTTCCAGAGTGTACTGACCAAAGTCGACGTACCGGTTGTAACACATGGCGAGTGCGAACAAGCACTCAGACGTACCCGACTCGGCTACGGCTATCATCTGCATCCGAGTATGGTCTGYGCTGGCGGTGAACCCGGAAAGGATGCCTGCGATGGCGAYGGCGGCAGTGCACTGGTATGCGAAACGCGTGGCGGTATCTTCAAGGCAGTTGGTYTGGTATCGTGGGGTATCGGTTGCGGTACACCCGGTATTCCCGGTGTGTACACCAATTTGGCWCAGTTAAGGCCGTGGATTGACAGCTATATCCAGCGATTTGGTGGTCATTCGCCAGTATTTGGATCCATTGGATCGGTCGGATCGATCGGATCYAATAGTTTTGAACAACAACAAGGTTTCGGTGGAATCGATGAAAGAAGTTTTGGCGGTTCGGCGGCCAATCAAAACAACTCGACGACAGCGACAGTTGAAGASTTGAAACTTGAAGACAATAGTGATCTCAATAATCATAATAATAATAATACTAACATAACTCATACTATTGTTGAACATAATTAAAATATTGTATAATTTTTTTGTGTCGTTTATATTAATTATTACTAATATTTTTGATTAGATATTTCATTAATTGAAATATTTAAAAAAACTAAATTATAATTATTCTATATTTAAGTTTCTTAAATGRAAAGTATATGTATTTATGCATAATTTTATTTTAWTTTTTTAAAATTAATAATTGTATGTAAATTATTATTTTAATTTATGTTATTTTTTCTAATTTATAARAAATAATTGTTTAATATTACTATTATAATTAAYTTGTTTTTTAACAGTTTAAAAACTTTATGATAATTATTAATTATTTATTTTTATAAAACAATTATTGTACATTACTAACAAGTTTTTTGTAAAATATTAAAATTATATTTTATAAATACGATAATAAATTTTATTYATAATWAAAAATGTTTCAAATAAAACATTAATATTAAATTAAATAATTTCAAAAAAGTRAAACATTATTYAAAATTATTACAGGTATTATAACTTAATTTTGTTATGTTTTTTTGTAATTGATTTCAATGAAATAAATTATTAATTATTAAACAATAAAACTAATATGTAAAAAATGTAACATTTTTTTTAATTTTCAATATCTAATACTAAATACATATATCAAATAAATAAAAAGTTATACATTAGTATAAAAATTTATTATTATTTTTTTATACATTTGAGTAAACTTATCTAATTAATATAACCTAAATGTTAATAAATATATGGAAAAAAATTTATTAGATATTAWCTACTAAACTATTAGATATAAATAGTATATAAAACTAATAAAATATATAATTTATAGAATATTAATAGTTTTTATAAGAAACAAAATTTATAAAATTATTAATAGTCTTTAATAGTGTTTATAATCAAATTGATGTGTTGGGTAACAGAAACCCAATACATTGATTTGGTATTATCTTTACAACCTTTTGTACCTTTAATTAAAGTCCGGCCGATATACACACCAACCAGTATTGCACGGCTCCGGTAGGCATCAGTATACTGGACTAAAGCCGAACCTTTATCATCCTTTATGATTAAATCAATTTAAAAAAACAATGTTTTGTTTTGTAGTCATAGATAATAATCTGTATAYACTGTATATGACTTACATCACAACCGGTCGGTTTGACAAACATCGACTCCGATGGCTTTGAACACAACAATCCTTCGGGACATTCATTATGTGGACTCAACACGAAGTCAACCTTTTGCATAATATCCGGTTGTATTTCCCATTCAAATAGACTAATAAAATTATATCTATATATATAAGTATTATAGACACCCCAACCAAACATTGTTGTCAATTCCCGATTATAGTAAACACTCGCATTGTTAGGCAAACAAACCGGTGTGTTGACAAGCGGTACTGTCACACCGTCCCATATATCTATATCCAGTTCCCATGGCAGTTTATACAGTGCAATATCATACCGGCTATGAGTGTCCGATTGGTAAACATAATCGGGATGACGGTAAACATTTTTGGTGGGAACAGTCATTGTTTTGATGGCCGTCCGGCGCATAACATCCATAAATTGGACACGAATTCGATAATAATTACTGGCCGATGGATTATCTTTATCCCCGGGCCTATATTTATTTATTTTTTCAACAAAACAATGGATTAAACTAATTGACTAAATTAACACATAATATTAAATTTTATTAAAATATATATTAAATTTTTAAATACCAAAAATTACAACTGGCGGCTGTCAGCACCCATTGTTTATGTATTATAGTTCCTCCACATTCCCAATAAGCGGACGAAACAAATTTGCCTCTTTTATTGTACGGCATATCGTAGTGAATGATGACACTCCACGGGGACTCACCATACTTGGCATTAGAGCCACCATATAGTCGATTCATATGGTTGTCATCAATTAGATAGTAGGCACCGATAGAGTCGATTATCTTTGTATTATTKACCGCATGTTTGAAACATTTTCGTTGCGGTTTGGCTGTTGTCTGACTGATGGCAAACTGATAGCCACAGTAGTCACTGGTTATACCATTGCCGTAATGACCGATACTGACAAATGCGGACAAATACAGTGATTCAAAAACAGTTATCAATAAATATATTTTTATGATTTTCATTTTATTTCATTCAATCAATCAATGTCTGAATTKTATATAACAGTTTTGAATTATAGTTTAAAGTATAACAAAATAAAGTAAAAMATTATATTTCTCGCACACATTAAATTAAAATRGTTTTAATTATATTATTTATGATATAATAACTACAGATTCACGTGTAATAACGTGTAATATTGTCAAACATTTATTATTATATATTATATTTCTATTCCAAACAAATAGATATTTTGTTTTTTTGCCAACACTAATAATACTTAGCACTTAATTTATACTAAATAAAAATTATCAAATAAATAACAATTAATATTTCTTATACAGAAATCTATTAAAATATAAATTATTTATTAAATTTATAGTAAAAAAAAAATTGAATTATATATTGTTTCTAATTGTATCTAAAATCCAATTGATATGTTTGGCAACAGAAACCCAATACATGGTTTTGGTATTATCTTTACAACCTTTTGTACCTTCAATTAAAGTCCGGCCGATATACACACCAACCAGTATTGCACGGCTCCGGTAGGCATCAGTATACTGGACTAAAGCCGAACCTTTATCATCCTTTATGATTAAATTAAATTTTAAATAAAAAATATTTAGTTATAATTAAATAAATTTAAAAAAAACAAATAATTTAAAAATTAATTTTTAAATAAAAAAAATCAATTTCAAATTTTTATTGTAAAAGTAGTACCTATTTTATGACTTAAATTTATATATATATGATTAAAATGCTAATTAAAATAGAAATATTTAAAACAGTTATATATATAATAATATTAGTATTTAAAATAATTTTTTATGTTTTTATAGATTAAATAGCAAATTTTTATTATACAATTAATTAGAAATATGTTATAAATTTTTTTTATAATAATAGATTAAATTTAATTCTAAATAATTTGTAAAACTATTTTTTTTAAACATAATTTATATATATTTTTTATTTTAAATTTAAAAAAAAACAAATATGTTAAATTTATATGTACATGTACTGTATATAATTAAAATGGTATTAATAGAATTAGTTTACACACTGTTATGTATATTATGTAGTATAGAGTGACCAAAAAATATTTTTAGATAACTATACTGTATTTGATTTCACTTTTATATAATATATATATATATATATTCTGATAATATTAATTTATAATATTTATTAATTTTTATGTACAAATGTATTTTTGTATAATGAAAAATAATATARTTAAATYTTAAATTATTTGTCTTAATTATATTTATATATTTTTCAAAAATAAAAATAAAAAAATTACTATTAGGTGTCATTATAATTATTTTTAATTTCATGTAATAATTTCATTTGWATTAATTTAATTWAAAAAAAATCTAATATAATTTTTTTTTGTTGWGTTTATAGTAACAGCAAAAATAATAATAATAATAACCAAAWATCAAAATTTATTTAGTTATACTATTTTTTTCTTAATWGAAGTTTTRCAAACAAACAAACAAAATGAAATTAAATTTTTTAATTAGCATTTATTTGATTATATTATTAATTATATTAATTKATGTCAATTTTAATGTCAATTGTTATAATAATAAACAAAGTGTAAATAAAAATGGTGGTTATGGCAAAAATAATGGACAAGGAGGCGAACACGAAGGTAAACAATTAGATTAGGGTAGGGTAGATTATTAATATATGGTGTGTCCAGGGTATTTAAATAAATATTTTAATTATTATGTATTGTTTATATTTATCATATTGATATATATATATATATATATTTATTTATATATATTATATAAACTTTTTTTTATAAATATTTGACAAATGATTAAAAAAAGTTTTTAGTTTAACAAATTACAATAAATTAGCTACTGTATATAAATAAATATATATATATAATTTAGTTAGTTTATTAATTAATTAAATTTAAATAATTATTTAAAAACAATATACAGATATTATTAATAATTACGATATTTATCCCGAATCATTAGTTGCTGGACAACAATACAATGGAGGACAGGGTGGACATGGAGGTAGGCTATTATGTTTGAGCTWATAATAATAATAATTAACTAAAAAACAACTATTATYAAGTTAARTGTTTGTTTATTTTAGTYATACATATTTAAAAAATTATGATATATGGTTTGTTATAATTTTTAAATAATAATTTTTTTWATTTATATTTTTATTATTATTATKCCTGGATCATTTATTATTAATACCCAAGTAATAAATGCTGGTATTAATATCAATGGTTTAGTAAATAGTAATGGTATTGCAAATGGAAACTCGCCGTCAATTAATACTGGRAACATAGTATATAATTAATTATAAATAATTAAAATAAATTTAACTAGATAACTAATGTATTTTTTTACTTTAATATATATATATATATATATATATATATATATATATTAGTAGTAATAATTAATTTCAATTTTAAATCTCAATTTAATTTTAACTATTAGATTAATAATCATATAAATGGAGGACATGGAGATTATGAAGAACATGGAGGACATGTAGGACATGGAGGCTATGAAGGTTATGGAGGACATGGTGGTTATGGAAAACATGGAGGTAGGCAAATATATTGATTATAATAATAATAGATAAAGGGAACATAAATTAACTATTAAAATACTAAAATAACATTAATAACAATAATTATATATATAGCAAATTAATWGTATCTATATATAAATAATAATTTTAATTAAGTTTAATATTTTTGATTGTTTTGATTTTTAATTAGCATTATTTATTTATTCAATTTTTTTAAAAATAAAATAATAACTATATAGTTTTTATTAATATTTTTATTATTTAAAAAAATTATCTTTTAATTATYTTGTTTTTGTTGTTTAAAAATTTATACCCAAGTAATAAATACTGGTATTAATATCAATGGTATATTAAATCGTAATGGTATAGCTAATGGACATTCACCGTCAATTAATACTGGAAATATATTATATAATTAATTTAATTTACCCCCCTCGGGTGGGGATTATAAAACATATATATTATTTTTATACCCACCACCAAAAAAAAAATTAATTTAATAGTTTGTATGTTTTGTGTTTTGATATTAATCTATATCTAAATATAAATTAATTATTGTTTTTTTTAAAAACATAAGTTACAGTACATGTAATACTAATACAAATGTATTTATTTATTTTTTATTTCAATAATCAATAAATGTTTATATTTTTGTTTAAATAAGTATTTTGCATAATTTGTTTTATATATATAAAAAAAATTATATTTATATATTATTTTAGCTTTACATTTAAAAAAAAAATTATCTAATTTTTTAAATACCAAACATTACAACTGGCGGCTGTTATCACCCATTGTTTATGTATTATAGTACCCCCATATTCCCAATTTTCGGCAACAAATTTACTATTTTTATAGGGACTATCGTAGTGAATGATGACACTCCACGGGGACTCACCATACACTGCATTGACGCCACCGTATAGTCGGTTATGGTTACGCTCATGGATTAGATGATAGATACCAATTGAATCATTTATCTTTGTATTATTGATCGCATGTTTGAAACATTTTCGTTGCGGTTTGGCTGTTGTCTGACTGATGGCATATTGATAGCCACAGTAGTCACTGGTTATACCATTGCCGTAATGACCGATACTGACAAATGCGGACAAATAAAGCAATTCAAAAACAGTTATCAATAAAAAGATTTTTATGATTTTCATGTTATCTAACAAAACAAAACACACACAAAAAACAGTGGAAAAATTGATTATTGAGTAAACAGTTATTTAAAGTACATCAAAATCAAAYAATTAATTAAATRGTTATTAATATTATTAATAATTWGATTACAGATAAATCTGCACGTGTTATAACATTTTTATTTTCAATGTCTAATATTTTAWTTAGCTCTGTATTCATACTAAAACAAAAATAWMAAATWAATAAAAAATAAATATATAAATATTTATATATTTTAATTGACAACTTTTAACAAATATAACAAAACTAACTTATAAGTTAAAAAACGTTATCTATAAGTAATAATTGAATTATGGATTGTTTTTAATGGTAGATAAAATCCAATTGATATGTTTTGTYACTGAAACCCAATATAGGATTTTGGTATTATCTTTACAACCTTTTGTACCTTCARTTAAAGTCCGGCCGATATAYACACCAACCAGTATTGCACGGCTCCGGTAGGCATCAGTATACTGGACTAAAGCCGAACCTTTATCATCCTTTATAATCAAATTGTTTTTGTTTATTGTTTTTCAATAATTATAGATATTTATTATGACTTACATCACAACCGGTTGGTTTGACTCCTGAGGTCGTCTCCGATGGYTTTGAACACAATAATCCTTCGGGACATTCATTATGTGGACTCAACATGAAGTCAGACGTTTGCATAATATCCGGCTGTAATTCCCATTCATATAAACTAATAAAATTATATTTATATATATAGGTATTATAGACACCCCAACCAAACATTGTAGTCAATTCTKGTTTATCGTTATAGTAAACACTGTCATTGTTAGGCAAACAAACAGGTATGTTGACAAGTGGATAGTTGATCCAACCGTCCCATATATCGATATCCAGTTCCCATGGCAGTTTATACAGTGCAATATCGTGCTGGCTATGTTTACTAGGCTTATAAAAATAGTATGGATGACGGTAAACATTTTTTGTGGGAACAGTCATTGTTTTGATGGCTGTCCGACGCATAACATCCATAAACTGGACACGAATTCGATAATACTCTTTAATTGTTTGGTCATCGCTAGGAGTAGGCCTATTTGTTTCATCAAAAAACAACAATCAGTAAATTTATCATTTTAAAAAATTTAATAAATTATTTATTTATTTATTATTATTATATATACAGTATATATATTGTATATGTATATATATAATATGTAATTTTAATACCTAATTTTATTACAACTGGCAGCTGTTAGCACCCATTGTTTATGTAYTATAGTTCCYCCACATTCCCAATTTTCGGCAACAAATTTATTATTTTTATAGAGACTATCGTAGTGAATGATKACACTCCACGGGGAYTCACCATACACTGCATTGACGCCACCGTATAGTCGGTTACGGTTRCGCTCATGTATWAGATGATAGATACCGATTGAATCAATTATCTTTGTATTATTAACCGTATGTTTGAAACATTTTGGTTGCGGTTTGGCTGTTGTCTGACTGATGGCATATTGATAGCCACAGTAGTCACTGGTTATACCATTGCCGTAATGACCGAYACTGACAAATGCGGACAAATAAAGTGATTCAAAAACAGTTATCAATAAATAGATTTTTATGATTTTCATGTTATCTAACAAAACAAAACACAAAACAACAAAAAAAACAGTTGACTGAATCATATAACAAATAAAATACTTAAAAAACAACAAAAATAAGATAAAACTATGAATAAAATATAAATATTTCTCGCGCGTAATAATTTAATGATAGTGCACTTGTAATAGATCTGCACGTGTAATAAATATTATATATCTATAGTCATCTGATGTAAATTACACGTGAAATATAAACTATTTTTTTTAAATTAAAACATTTATAGTTGAAAATTTCAATTTGAAACTTAATTACTATTTGTAATTACTATATAAATAAATAATTGTAAATACAGGTCATGTCATTGTCGCGACTATTTCTGCCGATTTGGCGGGACTTGAAAAGTACTAACGAAATGGTAACAGCACTGGACGTTGCACTSAGGGAACAGTACGAACTGATACCACTGACCAGATTTCAGCAGCTGTTGTATCGGTTTCGTACGGAAGACACTATGAATAATGTGAAAATTATTATCAAAATATTGCGAACAATCAAAGAGATGCTCTACGGATCCATTACCGTTGAACCCGAATCGGATAATACGACCTTTCATTTGGTATCCGAACTGATCAATCGTAATCTACTGGTGCTGTTGGTCGACAAACTACCGGAGATGCCGGTCGAAGGTCGCAACGATATTACACTGATCTTTGACTATGTTATTGGTCAACAAGTGGGCACTCAGTTGATTACTGTCAATCATATCCGACAAAATCCGTCAATACTTCAGCGATTAATCAATTACTAYAGCGATCCWGAATTGGTTCCATATGTCGGACAAATACTGCGGGGATTCTTGCGTTTCGAGTGTCTGACAAAACAGCTGTTTGGCCGACAAACCGACGACCGAAAACYRCAGACAAAATATTATCTCCAGTTCTTTGATTTGATTCTACAAACAGATCTGTTTGTTGTCAGCAGCGATGTCTTCCTGACACTACACGAACTGTTTGCCCGATTCAAGACAATGGCYAAAGTGTCGGTTCAAACCGATAGCGATRTTGTTATCAGAAAACTTAATCAATTGCTAACCTCTGATGACTATTCAATCAAAAGAGAAACAATTAGTTTGGTTAAGGATTTGCTTTACGATCGAAGTCATCAAACAGTTATGAAATTATACATCAAATCTGTGGATAACTTGAAGATTRTCGACACACTAATGAAATCTGATTGTTGTTATACAGCTATCGATGGATTTATTGTGTTTTATTTGTTTGTCGCAAATCCCGATAAGGATCCCATTGTTGAGAAATATCTGGCGGACAATAAAAAACTTTATTACCAGACAATTGACAAATTGTTTGATAGCAACAAATTGAAAGTAATTGGCAAACGATATGCCAGTCTTAAAGACAATATCTATAAGAGATTCAAAGGAGAAAAAATTGTGGCCAAAGATGACAAGGAAGACGAAGACGAAACGTTAATTAAAAACAATTGATAAACAATTTTGGCTATAATTTTGTTTTTGTTTATTGTTTGTAAATATTATATAACCATAACTATTATAATTATTTGATGAAAACTATAATATTTTATTTATTATTTTAAGTTATAATACTTTTATTTTGAATTTTATTATTGTCTAGAATTATAAATCGTTATCTATTTAAACAAAAATAAATAAATACAGTATTAGTAAACTAAAGTAAAAATATATAAAATATTTAAACACTCAAAAATAMAACAACAAAAAKATATTTTTTATGAAAAAAAATTTAGTACATAAATCATATRTATATAATATACAGCAAAATACAGTATATAAAAACAATAATATAGTATTTATATAACTTATAATAATTAGTTTATTTGAAAGTAGTTGAAAGTGTTTACTAAACAACTGTTGATCCAATGGCCGCATCAATGGTGACAACAATGACGGCCATCAATAGTGATAGTCTGCCGATTGGTACGGCGGTGGCGGCGGATGTTGTAGTGACCAKAAAACAATGCAAATACTCGTCACAGACACCACCACTTGGTTTCAGTGACAGACAATTGTCAGCATTGRSTGWTAATCCWTTGTCGGTACACTTTTTCATTTCTTTGTCAAACTCTTCATCAGCTGATCCATTAACACATTTGTTAATCTAATAATTTTAATTTAGAGAAAGAAAAGTTGGTAATATTTTTTTTGGGGGTAATAATAATAATATAGAGTATAATATTAATATTATGTATTATACCATTGGTTTAATTGCACAGTAGATCTCTTTTAGTGAACAACAGGCGTTAAGATCATTATCTCCCGGTTCCGATGGTCYCTCATTCGTATGCCATCTCTTTGTAAAACAATTGCTGACTTTTTCTTCCAATTTTTTGCATTCAGGTGTCAATGGCGGCAATTGATGTCCGTAGCCATGAGTTTCCGCTGATGATGATGTCGTCGAGCATATCATACAAGCGATTGATAACAATAACAACAATACCGACGATGACGACGACGACAATACAAACAAAGACATCAAAAGTTTTGTTAATAATTCAATTGAAACGAATTATACAACAAAATTGATGATAAAAAACAAAATAAAATTCAATACAAATATCAAATCGGTTATCAAATAACAAAAATATAGTAAAAATAATTTAGTTTTTTTTTAATGAAATAAAAGTCGAATAAAAAGTAATTTATTGATTTGCACGTGTAATATAYGTGTGAAGCGCGTGAGTTAGTACACTAAAACTTTTYATTTCATTTTTTTTAATATAATTATTTTGGCAATTAAATAATGGTAAAAAAAGATTTTTATAAATATTTTTAATTTATTTTATATATACCGGTAGATAAATRCATAGATTTTTTTAAGTACAGTATTACTAGAAATTTGAAAATAATAAAAAAAATATTTATATACATATATTTAGTAGTAATACACTAGTAAATCATATAAATAACAAAAATTTAAATAACAAAATATAAATTATTTGAGAAATGTTTGAGAAATATATAAATATTATCATATATTAGTAATGATTTTTCAGTCGGTGTGTTCACCTAAACAACCGATGYAACCGACCAAACAATGGTGACAACAATGACGGRCATCAATTGTGTTAGTCTACCGATTGATACGGCGACGGTGGCGGTAGTGGTGGTGGCTGTACTGACCAGAAAACAATGCAAATACTCGTCACACACACCATCGGCGACAGTCGACAGGGGTTTCAGTGGCAAACAGTTGTCAGCATTGGGTGTAAATCCTTTGTCGGTACAGTTTTTCATAAAACTGTCAAACGTTTCATCAACTGATCCATTAACACATTTGTTAATCTAATAATTTAATTGGTTGATTATTTTTGGTTAATAATAATAATATATAATATTAATACTGTAGTGTATATGGATTACCTGACCCAATGATTTAATTGAACAGTAAACCTCTTTTAGTAGGCAACAGCCGTTAAGATCATTATCTACCGGTTTTGATGTTCCCTCAGTCTTATGCCATCTCTTTGTAAAACAATTGCTAACTTTTTCTTCCAACTTATCGCATTCAGGTGTCGTCGATGTCGTCAATTGATATCCGTCACCATGAGTTGCCATTACCACCGCTGATGATGTCATTGACAATATCATACAAACGATTGATAACAATAACAACAATACCGACGACGACGACAATACAAACAAAGACATCAAAAGTTTTATTAATAATTCAATTGAAATGAATTATACAACAAAATTGATGATAAAAAACAAAATAAAATTCAATACAAATATCAAATCGGTTATCAAACAACAAAAATATAGTAAAAATAATTAGTTTTTTTTGAATGAAAGAAAAGTCGAATAAAAAAGTATTAATTTATTGATTTGCACGTGTAATATACGTGTGAAGCGCGTGAGTTTGTACACTAAAACTTTTCATTTCATTTTTTTTATATAATTATTTTGGCAATTAAAATAATGGTAAAAAAAAATTTATAAATATTTTTAATTTGTTTTACTGTATAACAGTATATATCGGTAGATAAATACATAGATTTTTTTTAAAAGTACAGTATTACAAGAAATTTGAAAATAATAAAAAAGTAAAATATTTATATACATATATTTAATAGTAATACACTATTAAATCATATAAATAACAAAAATTTAAAACATAAATATAAATTATTTGAGAAATTTTGAGAAATATATAAATATTATCATTATATTAGTAATGATTTTTCAGTCGGTGTGTTCACCTAAACAACCAATGCAACCGACCAAACAATGGTGACAACGATGACGGACATCAATAGTGATGGTAGTTGTTGGCCAACACCGGTTGATACGACAGCGATGGCAGGGTCTGTAGTGACCAGAAAACAATGCAAATACTCGTCACACACACCATCGGCGACAGTCGACAGGGGTTTCAGTGGCAAACAGTTGTCAGCATTGGGTGTAAATCCTTTTTCGGTACAGTTTTTCATTACAGTTTCAAAATATACTTTATCTGATTCTCTTAAACACTTATTATACTATTGATTCATAGGTAGAGTTGGATAATAAAATAAAAATTGGTTACTTAAGTGATAATATAAATGACTTATTATAGTATATTATCTGTATATATATTATCTTATAATTATTGTACCCATGGTTTAGATGCACAGTCATACTCGATATAATAGCAACACTTGTTAGGATCGTCCCGTTTTGTACTGTCCTTAATATGCCATCTCTTCCTAAAACAATTTTTTATTTTAACTGCTATCTGTTTGCACTCAGGTGTCAATTTCGGCGCCAATGTCGATATTTGGTTACCGTAACCATGAGATCCCATCATCTCCGACGCCGCCGCCGCTGATGATGACACCGACCATATCATACAAACAATTGATAACAACAACACCACTGTTGCCGATAATTCAGACAAAGACATGACTACTCTGAGTCAATAGTCACTGGATTTTGATAATCACTGTTTTTTTCACAAATAAATCACACAATTGAAGGATAATACCAAAAAAATGATAACAAATTCAATACAATTTCAAATCGGTTATTAAATAACTGAAAAAATATTTATTTGAATGAAAGTATAAGAAGTCGAATAAAAAGTATATTTATTGATTTGCACGTGTAATATACGTGTGAAGCGCGTGATTGAATGAATCTATACTACAATATCTAAAAAATATTTTATCTAATTTTTATTATTATTATAGCTAAACAAATTATACTAAAAAAAATAATTACAAAACTTTATATAATAATAATTATTTATTTACCGGTAAGTGTTAAATAAAAATATTGAGTAAAAAGTTTATAAAATAATATTCAGAAATTACAAACAAACAAAAAATTACAAAAATCATAGACAGTATTGTATATAGTATTGTATAAAAATTAAAATTATTAGAAATAGTTATAAAATTATGAAATTAACACATATTTTATATATTAAGAAAACAAAATTAATTACTAATTTATTAGTTGAATGTGTGGTTTTCAATAGACAGTAACCGACGATGAGATAACAACAACAATGATGACAATAACGTCGATAACAGAAATCAATAGTAATGGTAGTCCAAGTGTTGCTGAGGAACTGCTAATAGGTCTGACCAGAAAACATTGGGAAAACTCTTTACATTTGTCAACTGATTCATTGGGATTCAATGCCATACAGTTGGCATCGTTGGCCGTAAATCCATTGTCGCTACACTTTTTCATTTCTTTGTTATACTGATCCTCTGCTGTACTGTTCAGACACTGTTTGATCTATCATTTTTTGAATAATTGGGACACAAATATTGGATCAGTTAGTTGATTGTTTGTTTGAGATGAGGACCAATTGAAATAATGATAACTTACCCACGGTTTGAATGCACAGTGGACTTCCAGTATAAAACAACAGCCATTTGGATTGACTGTCTCTGATTCCCATTGATTATACATAAGACGCCATCTCTTCTGAAAACATTTGCCCACTTTTTCTGCGGTCTGATTACACTCGGCTGTCATAACCTGTCGCCGAACCAATTGGTGATGACTGTGGTGTTGGCGCTGATGATGATGTTGTGGTTGTTGTTGATGTTGTAGACTCACATGAGTTGCCGTCGTCGCCGATACCGACCATCCCATAGAAGTTATTGATAACAATAACATCAACAACAATACCGACGATACAATCAATGACATGACGTTCCGATGGATCATACAATTGATAATCACTTTTTTTGTTTGAATAATCAATTGATGAAAAAATAGTGATAATAAATATTTGTTACAATTCCTAATCGGTTGTCAAAACAAAAATGTGAAATTATTTATTTTTTAATAAATGAATAAAAATCCGGTAATTTTCAATTTGCACGTGAAATCAATTGAAAAGCGCGTGAGTTAGCTCTCAATAAAACTTTTTCAAAATGAAAATTAATTTTTTTATGTATAGCGAGATATGAATTGTATTATTAGGTTTGATTAATACCAGTGTCAGATATATATATTATATGAATTATTAACAACAAAAAATTAATAGTAAATGTATTTATTAATAGTTTTTACTGTTTTGTTTGATTATTATTATTATTATCAATATATCTAACACTTTTACCAACTTTTTGATGACATTTTGGCAACTATTTTAGGTATTACCAGTCATTACTATAAGGCGATTAAATATGTATAAAAAACTTATAACAAAAATCATAGTCAAAGTATGATATAAAATAAAATGTCAATAAATTTTGTTTAATTAACAAAATTTAATTTTATAGACAAATAATTATAAAATACTAAAAATTCATAACAATAGTGATATATATATATATATACTGTATTTATAATTATTAGTTGTGATTATGTGTTTTCAATAGACAATATATATAAATTAAGATATTTTTTATTAACTTATTAAAATTATGTTAACTAACTAATATTAAAAGTAATAATAATAAAGTTGAGCAATACTAATTACTGTAAAATTAATTAATTATTTTTACTTTAATTTTAGTCATATTATATTAGCTACTTCAAATACATACAATTAGAAAAATTAAGATTTATAAAAAATAATATATTTATTTAATATCTAAGTTTTGAATATTTTGAATTATTTTTTATATATTTAATAAATGAAAATTGAGCTTATTTTAATTATTTATTTAGTTTTTGACAACAAAATAGGAAAAAACAATATAATTAAATTAACAATTTATCGAGCAATTGTTATACTAATTGTTGTTATTGTAATAAGATTATTGCATTATATATACCCTATATATATATATATATATATATATCACTAATTAGATATTAATATATTGTATTGAATATATGAATGTATATAAAAAATTTTAATAATTATCATAATAAAAATCAATAGTATCATTAAACAAAAAAATTATTCACATTTATCTTAAAACTGCAAAATAAATTTTATTTAAAATTTTAATAAATTAACATAAAATTATTATCGTAAATAGAAACTATACTTTATTTTGTTGTTATTGATATATTTACAACCCTATTATCCTATAATTTATAAATATAGACTATTATGGATATAATATTGTAATTATTTACATATTTATATCTAAATATATTTATAAATCTAAATAGTTTAACATTATCAAGGTCAAAACAAACAAATAGGTACCAAATAAAATTAAAAATATTAATAATAAGAGATTATAGTATAGAGTCTATACATTTATTTTTTAAAATTAGTAACAATTACCTACTGTATTGTAATGTACTTAAATAAAAGCAGGAAAAATATTATCTTTTTAATCCATTAAGTAAATATACTAGGTAAATTAAGAAACTAGTTTCAGATTAAAACAATTTTATAAATATACAATATGTAAACAAAATAGGTATATATATAATAGGTATGATATACATTGTATACAATATATTCTGTATATAAATAGAGGTTTCAAATAAAATTATTAAAGTATTTATCTAAAAGTATTTTTAATGTAAAACTTTACAATTACTTTTGTTGTAATAAAAATAACTGATAATTACTTATTATTTTTTTTATATAAGTACAGTAAATATATTATCATTAAACTAATTTTTTAAAAATATATACGGTATATATAGTATATATTAAATAAACTAATTTTTGATAAATCTATATATTTGAAAATATACAGTTCATAGTAGGTATGCCTACTATTACTGGCGATAATACGGTCGACGATCCGCAAATAGATAGTACCGATGATAGGTTCAGTTTGGCGGCCAAACAATTGGCTGATGACCTACTATGCGGTATATGCCTGGAAATAGTGGCCGATCCAGTAGTAACACCATGTTGTCGGCAACTATACTGTCGCCGATGTATGAATCGATGGCTGCTAACTGGTTCCCGACTTAATATATGTCCATTGGACAGTAAACATCTAACTGTCCAACAGTTGATGATACCGCCTTTGATTATAACTAATCTGATACTGTTATTAACTGATGATAATAATAAAGGTATGTATATTATATATAAATATATAAAAGTCTATTAAATTTAATATATTATATATAACTAAATAATAATTATTTGTTTAAAAATATTTAGAAATTGACAAAAAAATACAAAACTATATCTAATATTTAATAAATTACTTAATTATTATTTAGAAATATTTAAATAAAAAATATTTAAACTCTATTTTTAAATAAATTATATATCAATTAGTATTTAGTTAGCTTTATTTTAAAAATAAATAATTAGTGTAAATATAAATTAAATATTAATATATAAAAAATTCCATTAGGAAATATACTATGATATATATATTTAACATTTAATACTAATATAAGTAATGATATTGATATTCATAATGATATATACTGTATATACAGTATATTGAAAATATTACTTATTATTAAATTTTTGCATTTGATATAAATTCAATTTCAATAAAATCAAAAAAAATCAATTGCAAATAGTTTTACAGTATTTTTGTAGTCTATACTAATATTTTTCATATAATTATTGTCTCCAAAAAAAAAAGCTATTGTCATGACTGGTAATATGAGACGAATAGTGTCCATCGGTAGTACACAGTCGACACCGACGACGGCTAACATTCCCGAGTGGACAGCGTTTCTATGTTTCGTTTGCTGTCACTATGATGAAGATAATCAACACGTGATGAGCGCGTGCGGCCACGAGCTGTTATGCCTGATATGTTTGGCTAATAATAATTCGTGTCACGAATGTGGAAATACTGTTGGCGCCGGCGGAACCCGAAAAACGCGTGCATCTAATAAAGCGCACATCCGACACGTGTTGGATATGATTACAATCAACTGCAAGTTTGCACATCAAAGTGGCTGTCCAACTGTCGGCACAATTAAAACTATTGTCGGCACTCACGAAAGTGTCTGTCAATTTGGTGTTTGCAATGCGTGCTCATTAGTACACACTATAGATGATGGCCAATGTTTTCATATAGTAAGGACCCGTATGACGGTTCTAGAGGCCGAAATTGGCCGGTTATCTGCCGAAAATGGGCGGTTATCTGCCGAAAATGGGCGGTTATCTGCCGAAAATGGGCGGTTATCTGAAACAGTAGGCAATACGATAGTTGAAACTATCGTCGCCGAATTTGAACGGCTGTCTGCCGAAAATGGCCGGTTAGGCGCCGCCGGACCCGGATATGGATTACTTGAATCGATCAGTACTTTAGGTTTTGTTTGCTTCTTAAGCCTTTCAATCTTAATATATTTGCTGTTATTTTATCAGTATTTAAAATCATTGATTAATGATTTTAATATTATTTTTAAATTAGATTTTTTAGACTACTAACCAATTATTATTATTATTATTATTTTTATCTAATTGAATAAAATTGAAATGCAAATTGATTTTTAATAAAAAAAAATATTTTGTTTGTTTATTAATTTTAAAAAAACAAAATTTAAAAATATTTTTATTGATATGCATTTTTTCGAAAAGTTTTTATTATTATCGTATTTTAATTTAAAAAAAAAAAATAATTTATAATTATTAGCTGAATGTATGTTTTCAATAGACAACCGTTGATGAGATAACACCAACGATGATGACAATGACAACAGACATCAAAAGTAATGTTAGCCCCGATATTGCGATAGAGGCTGCGGTAGGACTGCCAATAGGTCTGACCAGAAAACATTGGGCAAACTCTTTACATTCGTCAACTGATTCATTGGGATTCAATGCCATACAGTTGGCATCGTTGGCCGTAAATCCATTGTCGCTACACTTTTTCATTTCGTTGTTGAACTCATCATCTGCTGTACTGTTCAGACACTGTTTGACCTATCATTATATTGGATCAGTTGGTTGGTTGGTTGGTTTTTAGGACAACCAATTGACGTAATAGTTGATAACTTACCCACGGTTTGAATGCACAGTGAACCTCCAGAATCAAACAACACGCATTGGGATTGACATTCACTGGACCTACCGATTGTGATAGTCTAGCAATAGATCGCCATCTTTTCTGAAAACATTTGCCYACTTTATCGGTGGCCTGTTTACAATCGGCTGTCGCAGCAACTTCTCGCCGAACCAATTGGTGACGACTGTGGTGTYKGCGCTGATGATGATGTTGTCGTTGTTGTTGTTGTCGTTGTTGTAGACTTTCATGAGTTGTCATCGCCGTCGCCGACACCGACCATCCCATAGAAGTTATTGATAACAATAACATCAACAACAGTACCGACAATACAGTCAATGATATAACGTTCCGATGGATCATACAATTGATAATCACTTTTTTTTGTGTGTGTGTGTGTGTGTGAAGAGAGAGAGAGAGAGAGAGAAAAAAAATTATAATTCATATCAGTTGTCGACAAAATTTTTTATTTTTTAATGAATTGATTCAAAAGTAATTTTCAATTTGCACGTAAAATCACGTGAAGCACGTGAGTTAGCTTTTATTTAAAATTATTATTAATTTTTTTCGGTATATCAAAACATCAATTGTATTACCCGTAATAGTTTAGATGATTTGATACCGGTTTCTATATATATAATAATATCAAATAACAATAATTACAATATATTATTATTAGAGTATTTAAATGTATTCATTGAAATTGTTTTTACTRTTTTGTCTGATTATTTTTACTATAATTATCAATATATCAAACATTTTRTCAGCYTATGTTAAAATCGGTAACTATTCAGGTATTACCAGTCCGTACTGTGGCTATCAATGGATGATAAGTCGGACAACAGTGAAACCGCAATCAAAATGTTTCAAACATCCGGAAACTAATAGCTCGACAATACTTATCGATACAATTAGTACTAAACAACAGTTATTGTTTGCTAATACAACTACAACTACTAATAGGATATATGGTGGCAGTGATGCTGTTTATAGTGAATCACCATGGACAGTCTATATTAAATACGATTCATCCGGGTCTATCTTTACCCATGATTGCACCGGTAGTCTAATCAATAAACAATGGATCATAACGGCTGCCCGTTGTAACTATGGGTATGTTTTTTGAACAAATGTAGATTATAGACAGCCAGTAGAAAATTATTTGCCCCTAAACCCATCCCCCACCCACCCAACCACTTACTAATCTCAYACCCACACCTAACCAAYCTAACTAAATAATAATTGAGTAATAAAACTAACATTTTATATACTGTATGTATAACTGCATTAAAAACAATACTTTTTTTTGCTGGCTGTCTATAATATACATTTAAGCCGTATGTTTATATATAAATACAATGAATATATTCAACATTATAATTGTTTTATTGATATATATTTTACTGTATATTTAGGAGTAAAAGATATCCAAATAAATTTTCAAGAATACGTGTATTTTTAAGGTCCAGCAAACCGGGCCGGGAAAGTGGTGTCATGATACCGGTGCAAACCATTCATCTATTTCGACACCGACTCTACAATAATACACTTGAAATATGTCCGTACGATATAGCACTGTATAAACTGGAGCACAGTGTCGACGATAATATAGGTGATGGTCTAAATTATCCGCTACTAGTCAACCAGTTATGTTTGCCGGCCAACGATACCATCTACAATGCATGGGCCGAATTGGCCACAATGTACGGTTGGGGTGGCTCTGAGTATATACCAATTGGCATCGAACCGCTAGTTGTTTTCAAATGGCAAATATCGCCGACTGTCCTACAGAAGACAACTGTCCAATTGAATTCAAATCATGAATGTCGGGGTCATTTTCTATGTTCATACCATCCGAAAGGCTGGATATTGAATTCAACCGGTTGTGATGTCAGACAATATAATTATTATTATAAAAATCAAATTCAATGATTTGTTTTATGATATTTAATATTTATTTTATTTTATTTTATTTTTTTAAAATAATAGGGTGATCTCGGTGGCGGTTTAGTACAGTATATCGATGATTATAAGGGACGTGCCGTTTTGATTGGTATATATGTCGGTAGAGAGGCCACTAATAAGTGGACAATAGACTGTGCAGATAATACCAAAACAATGTATTGGATACCAGTGGCCAAACATATTGACTGGATTTTAGAAACCATTAAAAATAATTGATTATTTTGTATTTAATATAATATAGTAGAATCTAAAAAAAAATATAAATTAGTTATTTTTTAAACAATAATTTTAGTAATAAATCAAATAAAACCACATATTTTTTTCAAATTAATTTAACATAAAATTATAAAAGTAATACTTTTGTTGTCATTTTTGTTTTGTTTGTATGTTAACTATAAATATTTATATAACAAATATATCTTAAATTGAATCATTTAAAAATATATATATCATATAATATAAAAACTGATATCTTTTATATAGTAGAAAAATATTAATGGTTAAATTCAATGAATTAAATTGGAAAATAATTTAATTTTTTAAATAAATATAAATTAAATGTTATTATTATTATAAAGCAACTAAATTAGTATAGTTATCGGTAATTATAGCAAAAAAAATAGTTGCAAAATGGGATAACACACATATAATAGACGATATATGCTAGTTATAAACTTTTTTTTAAAAAACTTATACTTAATTAAATATAGTTCAAAAACTACCCATATTATTTTTAATAAAAATTTTGTTATTTCCAATAATTTAATGCTGATAATTAATTTTATTTAATATTATTTTTAAAAATTAAAACATTCTTATATAATTAATATATATATATGTATATAATTTTTTAAAAATATTTTATATTTATAATATACGAGATATAAGCAAATTAGTYAAATTATTATCTATTATTATTAATCTTTATATTTTTTCATAGTTTTATAAATCCAATCGACATAACTGACAACATTGGTATAAACAGTTGGAACTCCATCTTCACCGCAATAATTACCCATTGAAGTGATGCCCTGAACCACCCAAACACGGCTAGACCTTTGACAGTTAAGTGGTCCACCACTATCACCCTTACATGCACTACGAGAGTCGTAGTGTTTATAGCCAGCACATAGCTGAGTGGTTTTATCAATGTCAGCATACATCTTATAAGACGTTTTAAGCCATTCTGATTTACAATATTCATTATCATAAATAATTGGTAGTTTTACTTCTTTTAAATTAGATTGACTACTTCCACTAAATTTATCACGGCCCCAACCGGTTGCTGTACAATTGTAGACATTAAATTTGTCGCCATCATCTGGAAGACATATGGGTTGTATATATGAGTTTCCTTTAAAATGAAGCGGTTTAGCTAATTTTATTAATGCAATATCATGTTTGAATGTTGGTTGATAATAATATTTATAGCCAATAATCTAATGCAAAAAAATAACTAATTGTTAATTTTAATAATAATAATAAAATTATGAATGTTACTCGTTCAGTCTTTATTTTCATCATGGTATTTGATTTTTCATCTGCTAAATTGTGTTCACCGACCCATACTTCTATTAGCTCCTTATCTATTAGATTTTGATTATTATCATAAACACAGTGAGCGGCTGTCAAAACCCATCGGTGATCAATTATACTGCCGCCACAAATGAATTTAGGTTTTTCTAAATTCCCATTATTGTCGTAAGATTTAATATATATTGCTGCCATCCACGGCCAGGCTGTAGCCACTGAATCGTCTCCATCAACTATTCGCTTAATAGCTGATTGTCCGCATTCAAAGGCCAACAAATTTTGTGAAAATACTAATACTAATAATGAAATTAATGAAAATAGTTTAAAATAAATCATTTTTCAATAATTAGTATATATTTTTTCTCTAAAATATTTATTTATATATATATATATATTCTTAAATAAAGTAAACTCAATACTCATTCAAATATATATATAAATATATATTGTTAATAGTATGACAAAAATATCCGCTTTATATATGTTTGTCTATTTAAAAAAAAAATAAAAATTTTATATTCACTTTTTATTAATCAAGTAATAATTAATTACTTAAAACTAAGTAACTATATAACAAGTTTTAAAATTTGTTTTTAAAAATTAATATTGTAACGTTAATTAATTATTTTAAACATTTGTTTTATACTTTATTTTTATTTATTTTTAAATTAATAAACTTTAATATTTGAAAAAATATTGTATAAAATATTTAATAATTTTTTTTTAATTCAAATTTCATCATTGATTCTTTAGAGCAAAAAAATTTTAAATAAAATAATTTAATAGATTTGTAATATAATAGAAATTCATAAATCAATGATAATTAATTGAATTGTTTTTTAGTTTTAAACATTTGTTAGAGTCATTTAATATATTAATTTAAATTTTTTTTTAAATTTTATTTGAATACTTCATTAAATATTTTAAAATTAATTACTTTAAACAATTGGTTAAAAATATAATATTTTATGAAATAGAAATAATATACCTGTATATATATATATATATATAAAATATAATAAATTCATATATTTTACATATACATCTATAAAGTTTTGTTTTACGTAATAATTTGTTGCAAAACTTTTTAATGATTAAAATAAAAACAAAATTTATAATTGTTTTAAAAATTTTATATATTTTATTTTTAAATATTATATATGTATTTATTTTATATAACAGATATTATAATTTATCACATTTTTCTGAACGTAGTTACTATTTGAATGTTTAGTAATAATAATAAAAATGTCCGGAAAAAATTAATTATATAAATTTTATGACAATAATTGTAAAAACAAAATGTATAACTGATTTAAATTATACAGTAATTTATAGTAAATAATTAAATTTTATAACATTTTTAAATATATTGTTGACCTAACTGTAAATCATATCTTTATTTGTTTGTTTTTTTTGTTGAATAATTTGATTTCAAACTTTTTAAAATAAATTTATTCAAAATAATACAAATGTTCAAAAAATAAATAAATGATAATTTTCTGCAAATAATTAGATAGTTAGGGCCTAACATTATAATTATTTATTATTATTTTTTTATTGTTTTAACCAAAATACTGTAATTTTGTAATGAGACAAAAAAATTTGTTTAGTTTACTGTAAAATATATATTTAAAAAAAAATATTCTTTAAATTTATTCTTTAATAACTATATATTTGTATTTATATGTTTAATTGTGTTAATTTACTATAATAGTTACTAAATTGTTATTATTCTGTAATTATTTTTTTTATTGTAATCGTAAAACAGTTATTCATTGCCATTCATATAGTGATTAATCAATTGATAAATCCGTTTAGTTTAAAAAACATAAGTTTAGTGTATTTGTAGTTTTTTTGTACATTTTAGTTATTTGTAGTAATAAAATAATTAATTATAATTTTTTACTATTATAATAAACATTTTACTGTATTAATATTAATTGATTATCTATTTTATACTTTACTATAACTTTTATCAAAAATATAAATCCTTATTATATAAAATTTCAAAAAATTATGACTATTTGTCGACCAATACTCGATTAAATTAATAAACAAAAATAGTTTAACTATTTATATATAAATATATCTATAAAACTATTCAAAACTAATTAGAAATAAACTTAAACTACATGTTAATTATCAAAAGCTATTGAATATAATCTTAAAAATAACCTAAACTTGTGATAATCGAATAGTTTTACTATTAAACTTCAACAAACAATTTATTAATAATTATAATTAAATTAAATATTTAGTATAATTTATAATATTTATAATATATTAAATAATAAAACTTAAGAAAAAATAATTTTCACTACTCATAACTTATATTAATATATTAAATATATAATAAAAAAAATAAATAAAACTATTATTTTTCATTTTTCTTGTCTGTATTGTTAACCACTTTTTGTTCAACCGTTTTAATCAAACATTTGTTTAGTGCTTGAAAATCGCTATCAAATAGTTTTTTGGCATTTTGTCGGATACTATCGTCCAAAAGATATCGGATGACAGTCATTGCCAAAGCTGTTGCCGCTTTGATTGTATATTTTTGGGCATCGACTTTGGCCACAGCTGTCGAAAACTGCCGACTGTGGACATACGTGTCGGCGGCTTCTGGACAGCCGATCGCAAAAGCGGGGTAAATGAGCGGCACTTTGTGCGACACATTTCCTAAATCAGTGGTCCGGTAGATGATGTCCGAGTCGTTATCGTTGTTGTTGGCGGCAGTAGTGGTGTTGGTCTTGAAAGTGATGCCCAATTTTTTGGCTTCGTCTTTGAATACTTTGGCCAAAACGCTGTTATGATTGACCGAACAGTGCATATCGTCGTCGGGAAAGTGAAACTCTACTCGGGTTCGAGTGGCCAGAGCTGCCGCTTCGCCGCAGTCGACAATACGTTTGTTGATTGAGTCTAACTCGTGAAGTGTCGGCGCCCGTACACTGAACACTAGTTCGGTTTTTTTCGGTACCAGATAGTCAACATCGCCGCACCGTTTGATGATACAGTGGATCTGACAACGGGGCTGTACCTGTGCTGACAGTGCCAATGCATTGGTGTAGCAAAGAACCGATGCCTCGCAAGCATTTTCGCCGGGACTCACGTTCAGACAGTCGATGTGACGGGAAATGCCGAAAAAGTTTACCCGAATCTACAGGTTTTGCATTTTAAAAAATGATTACAATTAGCATATAAAGGCATATAGTTTTAAAAAGTTTAAATAAAACAAACTTTTTGTGAACAATAAAACTTTGGACACAAACTGTCATAATTGGACGGATGGACAGCAAACAGGGCGTCCATATCGTTGAACGCCCCCTCCTTCAACATACGTATTTTGCCGGACGATTCCTCCGAAGCAGGCGTCCCGAGTATGATCACTGTTCCCAATAATCGCGAATCGGCTTTCATGGCCTCACGAATACCCAGAAAGGTAGCAATCGTGGCCTCAGTCGACAAGTTGTTGCCCTTTGAATGGCCAAAACCTTTGACGGCGTCGTACTCGCAGATCAGGCCGACAGTGACATTCGTTTTACTATTCGGCTTGAATTCGGCCTTAAAAGCCGTCGGATGAATATAAGACGAATGGACAGTACAGTCCAGTTTGGCTAATAGGCCGCACAGATATCGGTGTATCTCTTTCTCTTCGTGAGCCACATCCGGATTGGCCAGTATTTCGGCCGAAATTTTTTCCAACTGTTTTGTTCGGGAAGCGATCTTTGCTTTGGCCGAACTGCTGGTCACAAACCAGACGTCACGATTGTAGTGTTTCTGTACGTCACTGGTTTGGTCCGTATTTTTTGTGTCATTAGTCGTTGTTGTCTTTGCATCCGATTTGATGTCTTGAGACAATGGCTTCTTCTTGCTATCAATTAATGTCTGATCAGTGGTGTTGTTGTTGTTATTGTCATTATTCCTCTTAGTCTTGTCGTCGTTGTCTAAGTTTTCCTTTGATTTTCCTTTCGTAGTCTTTGTCTCTGTTTTCATATTATTCTGTTTATTCTCTGTCAGCTCTTTTGGTTCACTCTTTACATCAATAGTTTTGGTCATAATTTAGTTATTTATTTTATTTTATATATTTTTTTTGCATTTAATATCACATAAAATTATAGTAAAACTATTTTTGTTGTTATGGACAAACAAACAAACAAATTTTGAAAATTTAAATAAATCTCGTGTTTGTTTTTAATTACCTATTAGTAGAAATTTTTTCATTGATTAATATCAACAATAATAATATTACTATTGATTTAATATACTGTATAGTCTCGCTATAAATCAAATTTTAAAAAATTCAAAATATAATTATTCTGTTAGTTATTTCATAAGTGAATTTTGTGGTGAAATTACCACAAGTATTGGTATTTTATTTTATTTTTTAAACACAAAAGTCATGTCTTTAATATCGTCTCATTACGGTCTTGTGGTAACAATGATGACAGCACTGGCACTATCGGCGTTCAATAAGTATCTGAAAAGATATCCGTACCGATTGACCGATCAATCGGCCAACAAATCGGTCGACCAATTGGCCAAAAAGTTGGCCGACAATGAATACAAGTCGTGGAAGTGGCGAAACATAACCATAGCATTCATGCATTCAATTATATCGTCGTTTTGGGGACTCTTTGCGTATAAATGTTTTGCTTTGTTTTTTGATTGAAATTATATTATCATTAATAAAATAATACAATATATGCTTTTTATATATATAGTCTGATAATAGATCCCGAAGTGGCACTGGATATGATTGACAGGACATCAGTAAACTCCTATTTGGTGTTATGCTTTTCAAACGGCTATTTCATCTACGACTTGCACCTGTCGCTGACCAATCTGTCCTATAAGGGACGGTCGGAGATAATACTTCATCACTTACTGACCATTTCGTGTCTGACAGTCAGTACTGTTACCAAACGTTTTAGCGGCTACTGTCTGACAGCCCTGACAGTCGAGGTGTCCAATATATTCTTGCATTGGCGACAACTACTATACCTGTCGGACGTACCCAACGATAGCAAAACTTATCGTCTAAATAGTATTATACTTATAAGTAAGTTGTTTAAGTTAAAGACATTATCAGATTTGATGTCATTTTGTTTGTTAGTTGTTGTCAATGACATGTCTTTGATTTTTTGTTGTTGTTGTTATTGGTTTCAGTATCGATGATAATAATGCGATTGTTTCCTCTGTCATGGATTATGTTTTGCCTGTATATGGAAAAAGAGTCGATAAATTGGTTAATACTGTTTTTTTCATACCTATCCGTTTTAATTATATTTATAGTCTCAATAGCAATGTTGGTCAGAGTGGCCTACAATGACTTTATTAGAAAATAATCGGATAAATACAAATAACTTACTATTATTTTTTTTAATAATTATTTTTTATTGAATTTAACAAATCGATTGATTAATTTTTAAAAAAATTATTATTTTCTTAAAACTATTAATACAGTACTACTAATAAACATTAAAACTACTAATAAAACTGCATTTTTTTTTAAATCAAAAACATTAAAGTCATGATCTATAGTCTTGATAAGTAAAGTGCTTTTACTGTATTATTTAATTAACTTTTTAATTAATTAATTAATTAAAATACTAATTATTTATTATTTATAATTATTCAAAATAAATTCTAGTGTTTGTTATCTTCAATCACCAAAATTAATGTTAATTTAATTGTTAATATTAAAAACACTACTTATTTAATTACCGGAAATTTATTGAATATATTTCTATACAATGTTTTTAGATTTTTGTAAAATTAATTTTAATAACTTGTATTTAAAAAAATAAATAAATTACAATAATTTGCTTCGTCTGAAAACAATATGTCTGCCGAAATCGATATCTTGAGGAACGACTACATTATCATTGATCCAAATGATGAACACATTGTTTTGTTTACGCCTTTGTTGGCATATCTCGAGTACAGAGACAATGATTTGTCGCAAATAAGTGTCATATTTAATGATTTTTGATTTGCTTTCAATTGATGTCCAATATTTCAATAGCAATAATCGTCGGATATTTGGATAATCATATAAACTGTTGACAAATGTGTCGGTTATGTCTTCAAACATAATGACAAGTGTTTTGATGGTTTTGGCGATAGATATATACTCAAAGCACAGGTTACGACACGTAAGACAACTGACCATATGATTGCCACATCTGACAAAATTGGATGTAAACTGAACTTTGGTGACAATCGGAAACAATTGAATCAATTGTCTCATCAGATACGCTGTCAGTATTGAGTCGTGAATTATCAAACATTTGACTTTTGACAGCTTCTGACGGCATTCAATGTAGTCATTTGGTCCGCAATTGCGAAATGTCGACCAATAGATACCCAATACTTCCAGTTCTTGTAGTTTGTTAGCCATTGTTGTAATGGCCGACCAGTCAATCGATCGACAGCTAAACCAGAAACGCCGTAAATTCATGTTTTCGGTAATAACTTTGAGTGAATTGGCGTTCAGATAGTAGTCGGCAATATTGAGACATTGAATCGATCGGATCTGCGGTCTATGAACAATGGTATCATTGAATGTATTGATGAGATACATCCGATCGAGTGACGTGTCCTCTAAATTTAGTATAACTTTTCGTACGGTTATCGGCAACGACTGGATTAATCTTTTCATTGATCGCTGTTTGTCGACAATAGCATACAGTGTATGAATATTTCTAAACTGTTTGATAAATATACCGATATCTATGACTTTGTTATGATTGCCGTCGATATCGTAGAGTCGATGGACAGACATGTGTACGATTCGGTCGAATTGATTGGAATAATAGGAATCATCGCCAGTGAAGGCTTTCATTGATATAAAACAATCAAATAGTGACAAACATTTCAAATTTTTCATATATTGACCGATCGTATTGATTGTATAGATATCCAGATAACAGTCTTTCAGTGCCAGACACTCGACTCGTATGCAATTTTCAAAAATTGTGGTCAAATTACCGATACTTTGGAACAGTTGAAAGATATTACCGGATCGACAGACAGCAGCCGTAATGTTGTTCTTGTAGTACTCGTTTGCTATCAATTTGTGATCACTTTTACCACAAAGAAACGACTTATAGGTCCAAACGCTTTCAAAACTATCGCTAATACCAATCGACAGTTGTTTTTGTATTTCAAGTACCGATTGAATGCATTGATTAAACTGTTTGGATATCACCTGATATTTGAATAGGTCTTGAATGTCGATATACGACAATATTTCCATCAGTATGTAGTCGTTTGTTACACGACTACGCTTAATGATGTCATCATCGGTTGGCTGTCTAGTGTTGACGAGTCGGGTATCACTTGTGGCACTAACTAATTGACACTTACTGTCCATAATTTTTTTTTGACTAGTGATCTGTACTTTATAAGTGTCTAAAAAAACGTTATAATTATATATATTTGTATTTTATTATTATTATTATGCTAATTATGCTAACAATAACATAATAATAACTCATTCACGTAATAATTATTTTTTTAATATATTAAAAGTTGAAATCCAATATTTATAAAATTAAATTTTAGTCCAAAATATTTATGATTTAAAATTTAAATACAGAAAATATTAAGCGATACTTATATTAGAATTTATGTTTAGTATAAATATAAATATCAATTGTTAAATACAATCTATACTTTAATAATTTAGGATTTTAAATGCATTTAATTAAAAACAATAATAAACTTTATAAATGATATTTAACTATAAATAAATAAAACTTTATTATTTCACTCATGGATATCATAAGTATTTTTATAGCTAAATATTAATAATTAATTGCAAACAAATAAATTTATTATTTGCTAAAACAGCAAATTATTGTAAAATAATTATTATAGAAAAAAATAATAGGTTAATCGGAAGTTTAAAGCCCAGTGATAAAACAGTGTTTTTTCAACGGAAAATGCTTGTTTTGGTCCTAAATAACATATTCCGATAAAAATAAAAGTGCGGAAACACCTAAAACCTACTCAAAACTGACCTAACATACCTGACCTGACATACATAGCATAACATTACAGTAATCTAACTAATTGTTATTGTAAGCGCGAGAATATTACTATTGATAAAACTTAATAATACTACATTATTTTTAGAACTAAGCGCGAGATTAATATTTTTAATATTAATTATTCGATAGAATAATTTTTTTTAAACCCCCAATATTATATAGATTAGGTTAAGTTACCATTGAAAATAAGGTTAGGTTACGGATCGAACACCAGGTTTGGTAACGGAGCGAACACTAATACATTAGGTTAGGTTAAGTTAACATTTGTGTAATACCATTATAATTAGGTTAAGGTTGCGGATCGAACACGAGGTTAGGTAACGGAGCGAACACTAATACATTAGGTTAGGTTAAGTTAACATTTGTGTAATACCATTATAATTAGGTTAAGGTTGCGGATCAAACACCAGGTTAGGTAACGGAGCGAACACTAATACATTAGGTTAGGTTATGTTAACATTTGTGTAATACCATTATAATTAGGTTAAGGTTGCGGATCAAACACCAGGTTAGGTAACGCGACAAACACTGATTCGGTAACCCCAGTCTGTATAGATTAGGTTAACATTGAAATTTAGATTAGGTTGAGAACGAACAACATGTTAGCTATTTATTATATAATTATATTATGAAAATGTTTTTATAATTATTTTATAATTGTTAATAATTATAATTTTTATTCTCGTGCTTTAATGCATGATTAATAATTTCTATATATTAAAGTTTGTTTTTTTACACTATGTTTATGTATGTGGGGTCAGTTATGTTATGTTAGATTTGAGTAGGTTTTAGGTGTTTCCGCACTTTTATTTTTATCACTTAATGTTTTTTAGGACCCAAAAAAGTATTTTCCGTTGAAAAAACACTGTTTTATCACTGGGCTTTATACTTCCGATCGGCCAAATAATATTTATATCTACAGGTTATTTGCTGTTTAAATCAATTAATACATTATCTTGATCCCATTATTATTATTATTTAATATATTAATTAATTAATTAATTATAAATATTAACTAATATGTTTAACTGTTTGTATATAAAAAGCAAATATGTACTAATTTTGCCTGCTTAATTATCATTAATAACTATATTTTAATAATAATAATATAAATAATACATTGGTTATTAAAAATCAAACATTAAAAAAAATTAAAATTAAAAACTAACAACAAAAAAGTGTCTAGGACACCCGGTATTCCCAGGTGGTCTCCCTCCCAAGTACTAACCGGGCTCGACGCTGCTTAACTTCGGTGATCGAACGAGAACCGGTGCTTTCAGCGTGATATGGCCCTAGACATTAATGTTAGATTAGCTAGATGCTTTTATTATTATTATTATTAATAATGCAATATGTATTATCAAGTAATAATAATAATTATTATTATAATCAATTGTACATGTGTAATAGATATTGTAGTATACATGTATAATCCTAATATATGATATATATATATACTGTATATCATATATATAGTATATATAAAGTATATATAAATTATATATAAAGTATATATAAATTTATTATATTACTTGATAATACATATTGCATTATTAATAATAATAATAATAAAAGCATCTAGCTAATCTAAAATTAATGTCTAGGGCCATATCACGCTGAAAGCACCGGTTCTCGTTCGATCACCGAAGTTAAGCAGCGTCGAGCCCGGTTAGTACTTGGGAGGGAGACCACCTGGGAATACCGGGTGTCCTAGACACTTTTTTTGTTGTTAGTTTTTAATTTTAATTTTTTTTAATGTTTGATTTTTAATAACCAATGTATTATTTATATTATTATTATTAAAATATAGTTATTAATGATAATTAAGCCGGCAAAATTAGCACATATTTACTTTTTATACACAAATAGTGTAACATTTTATTTTTTAAAGTTTAAATTGTATTTTATTATTACTACTACTACTACTATAATAATAATAATAATATGATATTAACTAATATTTATTATAATTAAACAACAAAACAAAAATCTAAACTATAATTTATTATATATAAATTAATATTCTTATATATATTGATATATATAAAAAAAAATTCATATCATTTAAGATGATATAAGCAACAAATAATGTTGAAAATTTGTTATATATTTTTTTTGACTAGATGATTTTTGTTTTTTTACATGACGTTACATATATTGATTATTTATATATACTGTATATGATATATATATATACACTGTAGTATATAATATGTTAATGTTTATACATGTGTTTACAATACAGTATTAATTTACATGTTATTTATACTGTTATATGATATACAATAAAATATTGTGGGACCATTTTTATTTCAGTAAATATTTTCAAACAAATAAAAAATTTAACTAATAATAATAATTTTAATCTAATTATCTATTAATTAAGTCATAGAAAAAAATAAATACATTAGTATAACATAGTATACTATTGTATTAGTAAAAGTGCTTTAATTATATTATAAATACTGTAATAATTTAGTGCTATTTTTTTAATAAAATATATAATAATTTCATTTCGAAACAACAATTTTTGTTTGTTTGTTAAGAAACTACTAAATAAAACAAAACTGACAGTAAAAATGTCAAAAAAGTTGGTTATTATAGATACCGATTGCGGTTTAGACGATTCGCTGGCCATATTGCTGGCCACATATTGTCATCAGCAAAACATGATCGACATACTGGCCATAACCTGTACGCACGGTAATACCAGCTGCCAGAATGTGGTCAAAAATGTTGGACTAACTTTGCGCGCTTCGGGTTTATTAGAGGTATCGGTAGTTTATTTTTAAAGGCATTTTTTAGTATCAAATATGATATATATATATATATATTAATATTATATAACTTATATAACCCTATAGGGTATCAAAATATATAAGGGCTGTGATGGACCTATTATTGGCAAATATTTGCCAGCAGATCATTGTGGTGCTGATGGTTTAGGCGACGCCACTAAAGATATGCCACCCATTGTTGTTCAATTAGAGAAGGAACATGCGGTCAATGCATTGGTACGACTGGCCAACGAGTATCGGAAACAGATAACATTGATAGCATTGGGACCGTTGACCAACATTGGACTGGCCTATCTGATGGACAACCAATTCTATGATAATCTCAAAGGAATTGTATTTTTAGGAGGAACTGTCGATTTCAGGGCATTGACAAACATGAGCCCTACACAGGAATACAATATTATTTGCGATCCCGAAGCCTGTCATATAATGCTAACTAATGCCAACAACTGTCCCATTACTATTGTACCGGTTGAATGCTCAATGGATACATTAATTACCTGGGTATTTATTAAACAAATCAAAAAAAAATAATTATTATATTTAATGATGTTTTATATATCAATATATATATATATATATATATTTATTTATTTATTATGTATGTATAGGAAATGTATGAGAAAATTATAAATATTGGATCAGAAAAATCAAATTTTATTAAAACTATATACAAAATGGATTACAATAGAGACAAATCAGGTATTTTAATAATAATATATTATATATTAATTTTAATCATTTTATATATTTAATATAATTTATATTATTATCATTATTATTATTATTGTACTGTATATTAGATCCCATATATAAAGGCATTATATCACCGGATATTTTAGCCATAATTGCATTTGTTTACAAAGATCTGGTTATTGATAAACAAAGCTATCGGACAACTATTGAATTAAACGGTCAATTATCGAGAGGACAGTTGGTTTTGGATAAGCGATCGGGTTTTAGATTTGAATCGCCCGACTGGCCATTGGTTACATTTATCAAACAAATTGACAATGATAAGTTTGATCAACTTTTACTAAAATTTATTGCCTAATTATTTATATTATTTGAAATTTTTTTTTTGGTAAAATGTTTATCAAATTGTTTCAAAACTTTTATATAAATTTTAGCTAAAAAATTATAACTTTGGAAATATATATAATGATGTCATTATATTTGAAAATAAATGAAAAAACGCTTATAAGTGTCAATAAATAATGTTTTTAATTATTAATAATAATAAAATAGTAACTTTAGATATATATGTGACTAAAATTCTGGTGGTTTTCGATTCAATGATAAATTTGCTTTAAAACATGAAAATATATGATTATATTTGATTAATTTTTTTTTAAAAAAATAAGTGCTTATAATTGCTTTGAAAAGTAAATATGTGATTATATTTAGGCAAAATCAATTAAAAGTAATTTTGTGTTTTTATATATTATATAATTAATGATAAAACAATATTTTATAGTTTTTTTATTTAAACTTAAAAAAATGCATAATATAAAAAAAATTTATAATAGCCATAAAATGTTGGTATAAATTATTAATTAATCTAAATAATGCTTTTACTCTTATTGTATATTTTAGTAGACATTAGGAAATTGTTGAAAATAAATCATAAATATTATTATGCTATTAATCTACAAAAATTAACAAATAAAGTTGCATTGATATAAAATACTATTTTTTTTAGATTGAACACAAATAATACACAATAAAAATGTAATTCAACTATTATTTTACAGTTATATGCGAAATATGTGCTAATATTTTGTTAATATATGTTGTTATATGTGTTTATGTGAATAAAACTTTTGCTTTTAATTATTAGTTTTCCAATCAATTGCTTATATATATATATATATCTAATTATTTAGTCTAATATCTTTAATCATTAAAAAAATATAAGTTATATGTGAAATAAATGCTCTATTAATAAATTTGTTTATAAAATGTTTTTAAACTTTTTTTTCCAGTAAATATCATTAATATGTTAGTATTTTATTTTTAGTTTATTAGTTTGTAATTATTAATTGCCTTTTCGATTCAATAGGATTTAACTAATAAAAAAATATTAAAAATTTATAAATAATTAAAATAAAATAACTTTAAATAAAAAAATAAATACTATCCAAACTAATCAGACAACAATAATATATAATAGTAATGCATTAAAATTAACTATTAGTATATTTGAAAATTACATAATATTAATGTATTGCATATACAATGGGTGTCTAACAAAATTTGAAGTAATCATGAAATATAACTATACTAACAATAGTGAGGTATAAGTAATTCAATATATGTACAAAATCTTCAATTATTATTTTTTATCAACAAAATATACATTTATTTGTTGAATTAGTTTTAACAATAGTTAAAAAATTTATATGATTTATTAGTAATTTTGAATAATAATAATAATAATAATAATAATGTTTGTAATAACCAAACTTTTGTATACTGGTATAAAAAATAAATAAAACAATTCAATGTATTGCATACCATAAAATTGCATTTGTACTGTATATGCAATAATTATTTTTGGTTACACATTGTTTATCATATCATATTATTCAATATATTATACTATATAATATTTAGTAGTATTTTTTCAATCAGCGATGAATCATTGATAGCTTTTTATTGTTATTTGATATTCAATCGCTGATAATTTAAACGTTTTATCATTTAAAAAAAAAAACATTTCAAAAACCTGTTGGTGTCACCCAATTGAAGATCACATCCGATATATTTCATCGACATTAGTAGTAGTAGTTATGAATGACAGAATTTTTCTACTATTGCTTACTTTAATTATCGCATTATTCAATGGTAAGTTTACAATTTAATACAATTTAATGTGCCCTTATAATATATATATATATATATATATTGATATAATTGATTGATCACACAATTGATCCAATTAAATGTGAATCCAATTATTTTGGTATAGCCGTGAATGGAGAGACATGTCAGACCACAGTCACCATCAATGGTAACGAAAATGTTACCGAAGTGTTTGATTGTCCGCGACTTTTCGAGTCCAAGACTATGAGATTTTGCTGTAGATTAACATCACTTGAAAAGCATTGCTGCGATTGGGATAAGAGGAGCAAAGAGTTTGGTCCGAAGGATAGACAACAACGAAAAAATGGGACCAAAAACTCGGATATCAAACTAATTGCTATCAATTATTTGGTTTGTTTACTAATTATCTTATATTTTAATTAAATATTTAATTTTTTTTTGTATAACATTCTCTAAATAACAAAATAATAATGTTTTATATGTATATACAGTATATATAAAAAAGTAAAACAATTTATTTGCACACATTTATAAAAAAAACATTGTATCGTTAATATACTGTACATTATTTTCATACCGATATATAATCAATAAAACACCGGTTTTTTAAAAAAAACAAACAATTTATACAAATGTTTTTGATTTTACTGTATATATATATTAAATGAGATCAAACTATTTGATTTTGAAGTGAACAGTAAGTCCCCAGTGATCACTGGGAAAGCATACGTGCGGTTTGAGCCGTTCTAAACCAATGAGACCAAAACGGATGGCCTCGACTTCGGGTGCCGCCGCTGCCACCGTCGATGGTCTCACATATATTCTGTCGAACCGAAGTCGCGGCTTGTATTTGGCGCCCATGAACTGCAAGTTGTCGTTTCGGGTCATATCCCATGTGTACTCCAGTTCTTTGCGGGCGCCGGTCTTAATCCAGACGTCGTATACTTTGTGAGGAATACCACATTTTGCTACCTGTTTTTCAAGCAATAATTACAATTATTAATTCAGATTTTAAAGATATAAAGATTTTGATCGACAGTATTATTATTATTATTACTTCATTGTCTCTGAGATTGAGATCACCGCCAAAAATGACTGTCGATTGTTGGTCTAATTCGGTCATCAGTTTGAATACTCTTCGCAATTGTTGGACACGAATGTCGGCAAAGTCTTTAGTACTTTCCAGATGTGTGTTCAATAGATAGACAGATTTGTTGCCAATAGAGATCTATACCATTAAAAAAATATCAAAGCTTTGATATTACAAGACAAACAACAACAACAACGACAACAACAAAATGACAAACTTTTGTCTTCAGTAGATTGCGACCCATCATCGAGTCATGGAATGGTATGATTTCATTGGTATCTAATTTGATTGACTTCTTGTGAATCAATGTTGCCGTATAGTAGTCGACAATCTGACTGTCACCGGTTAGTAGTTCATAATCGGGTAGTTGTTGGCGTAAAATGGATTCAGCCGTTTGATTCACTTCTTGCAAGAATACAATAAATGCTTTTTCATTTCGTATGAATTTACAGACGGCTTCCGTTCTGAGCCGCAGATTCTTCTCATCGATTCCGTCGATATTCCAGCAAATAAATCGAAGATCTTTGATATCGGTTACCACTTCTTGGTTTTCTTCTTCTTCGGTAGACTTATCGCTAGTTTTCAATGTTTTGGTACTTGATTTTGGTTGTTGTTGTCATTTAAGAGATCAAATTATGAGATCATCGTAACTGACAATCAAATAATAATAACTCACTTTTTGGTGTCAAAGACTATATCACAATCATTGCTGTTATCGTTGTCGACGTCGTTATCATCGCTGCTGACAACAACTTCATCGGCAATCGCATGACGTTTGCGGCTATTGTTTTGGTCACCAGTACTACCACTACCACTAGCTGTGGCCAATTGATCCAAATAATCGTTGACCGATCGATTGACATCCCATTGTCTGTCCTGTAGATAAAACTGTGCCAACGCTTCGTCAGTCTGTGTCAGCGCCACAAACTCTTCGACCAATTTCTGGCACTCGTCGGCCGTTAACTTGACTTCTTGGTCGTCCTCGTCCTCATCGTCATCAATGGTTACATGAGTGATGTCAGTACCGTTAGTGGCCATCGCTATATAAATAGTAGATTTTCTTCTGGGATCAGCTAAAAAAATAATACAAATAATAATAATAAGACTTTTTTTTAAATTGATTTAATTAAACGATGAAAAAAAACTTATTATTTGAAAAACATTTTGTTTACGTTTTTTCTAACTAAACACTAGAGTCTATAGTCACTAGAGTTATGCCGCCAACCAATAGGCAATTTGTAACCAAACCGCTCCAATAGTCACGTGTTGTTTATGGGATAAACCAAACTTTATTTATTATATTATATTTAAACACTAAATAGTAATAAAAAAAATTGTGCAAAAATTTTCCACTTTTCCAAATAAATTGACTCTCAATTCATAGAAAATATATATAAGTAATAAAAAAAAATAGTAATGTTATACTAAATTATAATATGATGATATAATTTCAACAAGGTTCAATTAACTAATAATATTTTTTTTATTATTAGTTAATTTATTTACTTTTTTTTATTATTTTATTTTATTTATTTTTTAGAAACAAGATTTTTATTTTTACTAATGCTTATGTTTAGTTAGAAATGTTAAAATTATGTTTAAAGTAAAATTATATTTTTGAAAATTGATTTTTTTAAATTACTGGTAAATATATACCGTATATATGTAACGCGTGGATCTGCGTATATTTAATCTGTTTAAATAGTTTACATATTAATCATTGTAATTTTTAATTATAATTTTTTTTTAAAAATATAATATTTTTATTGGCAAATTGATTTTATTTAGATTGAATTACTAACAAAAATATTTACTTTAAGTTGAATATTAATATTAATAATATATATTTAGTTTATTATAATATAAATTTATATATGATATGAATGGTGACATAGTTTGTAATATTTTATTTATAATTATTTATTAAATTTAATCATTTATGATAAACTAGTGTTTACTTATATTATCCAAATACATAGTATATATATAATTAATTTCAATAATAATTTCGCAATTTATATAATAATAGTAAAGTTAGTCACAATTAGATAACAAAATAAATTGTTTTTAAAAACAAATAATATTTTTTTTTATTATAAATATTGTTTCAAATATATATATATATACATAATTAAATAAATATTGCAATATTTTTTACAACAAAAAAATGTGCAAGCGTATTTTTTGATCAAAATAAATTTCAATTGTCATCTAGGTAGTTTTTATTTTATAATAATAATAATTATATACCATTTTAAAAACTTTTATTTAATTACCTATACATTGCGTGTAATTTTGTTATGCATACAAATACTATATATTAATACACTTACAGTACATGTGATATAATACAAATATAATAAAAATTAATGCAATGAATCAATAGTTTTTTTAAATAGTTATTTTACTTTTTGTTTTTAGTCAAATGACAAATATTATATAAAACAAAAACAAACAAAAAAAAGTTATTCAATTGTAAGGCAATACCTGTATATCATTACAGTACAGTATATTGCTATCAGACAATAGAGTAAATACATTGGTATTATTTTTTTCAAAGGCAAATAAACTTAATATTGCTTATAATTATCCTAATAATAATACTTTATAATAACTAACTAAACAAAAATAGACAAAAAGTTAAAATAAAATAATCATTAAAAACTGTTCAACTATGCAAATATAAATTTATAATTATTAAAAAGTTTACTTTAATATAATTTATTTAATGTATAAAAATAGTTGTAAACATTTGATGATAATATATAGTGGTATTTATTTTAATAATGTCGTATAGGGATTGGCTAATAATAATATAAGTATAATATAAATACATAGAGTTATCATAATATCACATATACACTGACTAATAAAGCATAGTCATAACAACATACACATACATACATACACATACAAACATACACACACATATACACATACACACACATATACACATACACACACATATACACATACACACACATATACACATACACACACATATACACATACACACACACACACACATATATATATATATATATACATACACACACATATACATACACACTCATATACATGCATACACACACATACATGCATAAACACACACATACATACACAGTGTTGTATGTTGAGTAAGTGAGTGACTGAGTCTATATGAGCTAAACATAGTGTCCGTAAGGCTCAACATTGAGTTATTGTGAAATTGAATGTCATATACATATTCAATACACACATACACTGTATAAACTACTGTATAGTACTGTACAGTACTGGGAGAGTGACAACTACTATAGTATTGAACTAAAAGGCAATCGTTTTTTGTTTGTTTGTTTCACTATTTGTATGCAATATATTGTATTATTAATAAAAAGAGAGTCAATCACAACATCAAAACTAGTGATTCATTTTGTTATATATTAATACTGAAACAAACTGTTAGTAACTGAACGCACATTTGGGATATATTTTAAGTGATTTAATCAAAATATTTATTATTATTATCAATCAATTGTTACCACAATTATCACATAAAGATGGTGTCCGGAGGCATGTCTTGCGTTAAATATCTATTGTTTGCATTCAATTTGGTGTTTGTGGTCAGTATATTGTCTATCACTTACTCTCTCTCTCTCTCTCTCTTGTCTAACAATACGACAGATCAGCCATTTGTGTGATACAAATGGTTGAACCAAAACGTCGTCGTAGTCATCGATGTCTTCATCATCAGTATTACTAATTATTACTATTATTATTGATAATTACAGATCTTCGGCATACTGTTATTGTACGGCGGCTTCAGTACACTGACCAAGTTTGGCAGCCATCACTTCGAGGTGATAATCGATGCACCGAACAATGTGGCCATTGCTCTGATTATTGTCGGGTTTGCCATATTTGTGTTGGCCTTTCTCGGCTGTTGCGGTGCCATCAAAGAGAACAGCTGTATGCTGACCACCGTATGTTAACGAAATTGTTTTTTTTTTAATATTAATCTTTTAAAAACTAATTGTCTTTGTTTTTTGTGTGTAACCACCGCTGTCACCACCACCACTACCACAACAGTTCAGTGCAATCATATTAGTAATCTTATTGATTGAGTTGATCGGCGCCGGACTGATCTTTGCCTTCAGAAATAAGGTATTATTATTATTACCGTAATATTATTAGTAGTTTTGTTTGTCTGAATCTGATTGAATCCATTGGTTTGTTTTGTTGATAATAGATCGATGATTTGGCTAAGACTGGAATCAATGAGGCCATCAAAAAGTACAATCAAACCATCGATGAACCGATTACCGCTGCTTTGGACGATATTCAGCACAGTTTCAAGTGTTGCGGCGCTAATAATGCTAGCGATTGGACGGAAAATCCTAGATATAGCTCAGGAGTTAATGTACCCGACTCTTGCTGTTCACACGATAAACTTGTTGGTGATGACTGTCCCGTTAAAAATGCCTACGAAAGAGGTATTTAAAAAAATTTTTTTTGGACAATTAGTTTGAATCAAATCAATGATTTGTTGTTGTTGTTGTTGTTGTTGTTGTTGTTGTTGATTAGTATTTAATTATTTTGTGTATGTTTTTTCCTAAAGGCTGTATCGAAGCACTGAAAGACGATATTCACGGATCAGTTGGCTATTTGGGCGGCATTGCCATCGCTGTGGCCATCATTCAGCTGATTGGTATCTTATTTGCCTGTTCTCTGAGCCGTAGTATTAGAAAGGAGTACGAAGTGGTGTAGACTGAAAAAAAAATGACAGATTTATTAATGACAGTCACTAAATGATTATATATTAACTGTTTATTAATCATATTATTATTATTATAACTATTATTATTATCGTTTAATTATTTTTTTTAATGATAATTACAAATTTAATCTCGTCGTATAAATAATGATAACAGAATTATTTATATATATATATACAGTATATATATATATATTTAATTTTATGGGATTCTTGATATTTGATAAACATTTTGTTTTGAGTCATTTGATTATTATTATTATTTTTTTAATATTAATTGATATCCACCTAAATCTTATTTAAGTTACACCAAACCACACCCACTTTTTTTTTATTATTATGCAATTTAAATGTTTAATCCCTTACATAAATTTGATTTAATTTAGTGTATAATTTTTTGTTTTTAAAAAACCAATGTTTTTTTTAAATAATTATTATATAATCGATATTGTCAGCAGAAAATTTTTTGCTGAATTGTTATTTATAATTATTATTATTAATGTGATAATATATATATCAACAATATATTAAACCCTAAAATATTAGCCTAATTTATAATAGTTTTATTATCAAAAATTATTGATTGGAAAAAATAATCTGTTTATACAATTTTCTTATATTAATAGTATGTAAATTTTTTATTGAAATTTTTATATGTATAACAAACAAAATTTTGGCCAATATTTATATATAAAAAAATTTTTTAAACTTTTTGTCACATACAACACGTTTTATTATTATATTCAATTGATTGATGATTAATATATTGATTATATTAGAAATTATTTATATATAAAAAAAACAGTTATACACTAATTATTATATAGGGTTTAATTAGAAATTTATTTATATTACATTTTTTTTTTAAATAATAATAATCATTTTTAGTTTAATTATTGTGTAATTTAGTTGAATTATTATTGTCTATAATCCAGTAATAAAACTATTGTTACTATAAATTTCATTGAATTTTTGTTGAAATAAATTGTAAAACAAAATTTTATAGTTTGTTTTGAGAGAAAGAGAGAGAAACAGATTATATTACTCCTATTGATAATAATAATTATTATTGCATATCCCTAACATAACATAATATTGTAATATAATATTACAAATACCTTACTTACAGTAAAAATATATATAATATATATAAAAAATAAAGTTTGAAATATCAGTTGAAAAAATTTGTGTGTTTTACTTTTTATATACACTTGTTTTTTTTAATTGCTTTAATTATGCACTAAAATTATGTAATACAATATATCTATGATTAATATATATATAATAACGTCGTATATATTATATAATGTATCAACAAATTTAATTTTGTGATCAGATGTCTTGTTTGGTTTAGTCAGGAGGGGCTCTGGTAGAGACCATACCATCAGATGGCAGACAACCAGCACCACCACCAACACCAACAAACCAACTGCTGGTGACTCTCTCACACATACATACATACACACACCTTACCCACTGGAATACCTGTTTAGCCACCTCTTCAAAAATACATGTATATTCAGTGAGTGTGTGGAGTGGACTGTACTACAGTGTGTTTGTACATACATATATAAGCACCTGTATTTTTATCATATTACCTACCGTACCTCTCTCGCACACACCAGAGAGTTTATATGAGATATATAAAATAATGTTGACTTATTTTTAGTGTGTGTGTGTGTGTGTGTGTGTCTGTGTATTGTTATCTTATAGTTCATTATATATATATATATATATATGTATGAGAAGCGTACGCCACGTACATCAGTCCGTCCCCATCGTTGCAATCTTTTTATATATATATAAATAAAAAATAAATATTAAATAATAAAAATACTCTATATATATATATAATATTTATATTTAATGTGATTAATTAACTTTAAAAAAAAATTGTTTTTATTATTTTGACTGTTGAATTTTCAGTGTATTATATTTATTAGATATATATATATATATATAGATATATTTATATATGATTTGACTAAATTTATATGTGTGTGTCTACCACTGTGTGTGTGTCAGACCAACAACAACAACATGATATCAATAAGACAATTATTGGATCAATTGACAACTACTATAACAACAACAACGAGAACATGGATGTATGTCTTGTTGGTGGTGGTGTTACCACTTCTCAGTCTATTACCTCCAATTTACACATTGTCATCGACGACATCGTCGACGACGACGATGATGACAACTATCACCATCAATACTACCGCAATCACAAGTATGTGTTTATTAATATATATATATATACATATAATATATATATACTGTTATTTTTTTTATTAAATTAAATTAATTAATTTTTATTTAGTTATTTATAAGTTATGTTTAATAATGTTTATTTGTTTTATATATTAGTTTCCTACTAAATGTATAGGTAGAAATGATTAGTTAGTATAATAATAATGATAATAATAATAATAATGATAATTTTTTGATGTATCATAGTCTATATATAAATTTTAAATATATATATTATTAGTTATTATAATATTTATTACATATACTGTATCTATAATTAGTTGTCAGTGTTTTTATTATATATATATACTGTATGTTTATATACCTATTCAATACAAACACCTTATCATAATATCATAAAAATATTTTCATATCTCTATTTTAAATATTTGATATTAAATTACTTCCACTCACACACAAACACTCTTTTGCACTTTGATCCCATCCCAACCACCAACACCACCATCAAATGTCTAGACGGCACTACCACCTGTCAGCTGAATGAGTTTTACTGTATAAGCGCCAACAAGTGTATAGATGAGACCAAAAAGTGTGACCACTGGAACGATTGCGGTGACAATTCAGATGAACAGGATTGTGACTTTCCTCCATGTCACGATGGCCAGTTCAGGTGTTCAAATGCCATCTGCATCCCGCAGGTATGTATGTCCACCACCACTACTAACCAACCGGGGGTTGTCATTGAAAAACTTTTACCGGTAATTAACAAACTTTTATTTCATCACAGAGATGGAGATGTGATGGACATTCCGATTGTACGGACAGTTCAGATGAAAGCAATTGCAGTAATAATTTATATTTTTGCTTTTTTCTCATAAATATTATTATATTTTACTAATTTGTTTGATTTGTTTGACACCACCAACAACAACAAAAGCTATGATCTCCTGTCCCGACACAAAGTTTTTGTGTCCAACAGAAAAACAATGTATCAATAAGGAGGAGCTCTGCGATGGAAAGCAGGACTGTAAGGACGGTGCCGACGAAAAGGAGGCCTGTTGTATGTGTTGTCGCACCCGATAATTATGTTTTTTTTAAAAAAAAAAATTAATTAATTAAAATTGGTTTGTTTGTCACACAATTAGCCTCAAAACTATGCGAATCTCTATCCTGTGAGTACAAGTGTCGGGCATCGCTGGACGGCGGTACCTGCTATTGCCGAGACGGTATGACCATCAATCAGAAAGATCAGCGCAGTTGTGTAGATCTGGACGAATGCAAAGAGTGGGGCTATTGCGACCAAATCTGTATCAATACGCCCGGCAACTATCGGTGTAGTTGTGAACCCGGCTATACACTGGTACCGCCCCGGCATTGCAAAGCAGATAATAGTTCGGATATGCGGCTGATTTTCGGCCATCACAGTGCTATCTATCGAATCGATGCTAACGGTGCCACCACATTGGATACCATAACCAATACGACAGCTGTCAGCGGTATTGACTATCATTATCAGAAAAATCTGTTATTCTGGTCGGATGTCGAAACTAGAAAGATCTATACAATGCATTTGGATAATTGGCGACAACCGAGAACTATCAAAGACATAACTGTGCCGTTCCAGTGGAATCCGATATCGTTGGCCATCGATTGGATCAGCAACAAGATATACATTTGCGATACTCATAATCAGAAAATAGATCTGATGGAAATGGATGGCAGCCGACATACGATTGTCATCAGTCAGAATCTCACAGCACCACTGGATATAGCACTGGATCCGACCAAAGGTCTGATGTTTTTTACCGATACCGACAACATTGATCGGGCACTGATGGACGGCACACTGCGAAAGACAATTGTCTCGAATTATATTTATAAAGCATCGGGTCTTACCTTGGATTATGTTAGCGAACGTGTTCTGTGGTGTGATTCACAATTGGATCAGATTGTATCGGTTGACTACGAAGGACAAAACAGACACGCCATCATCAGAGGCAGTACCAAAGTACCGGCACCCATACGGCTGACTGTTTTCGAAAACAATGTCTACTGGACAGACAGTACCCGACAGGGTGTGCTCAAGATTAATATGTATAAGTCGAACGACTCGAATGTTGAAACCATTTACCGTGAAAGACGACTGGCCAAAGAGCCGCGTGCTATCAAATCGTTTCATTCGTTACGTCAACCGATAGTTCCTAATCCGTGCGGTGCAAACAACGGCGGCTGTCAACATATGTGTGTCATCACCCGTAACGGCGACGGTAGTTCCTACGCACTCGGCTACCGATGTACCTGTAATATTGGCTACCAATTGGCGCCGAATCAGAAAACCTGTGTCCGTGTCGAAGAATTTCTAATGTATTCGCAACAAAAGTTTGTCAGAGGAATACTACTCGATCAACAATCGCCCGGCTTTAACGATGCCATCGTACCGGTGGTCAGCCGATCGGCACGTTTTGTTGGACTTGATTTTAATGCCCGAAACAACTATATCTTCTATTCGGATGTCATACTGGATGTAATCTATAAGATCAAAGTTGACGGCACCGGTAAAGAAAGTGTATTAGCCTCGCAAAACGAGGGCGTTGAGGGACTGGCCCACGACTGGGTGTCCAACAATCTCTACTATATTGACAGTCGAAAAGGCACCCTAAATGTGATCAATGTGTCCAACTCGACCTATCGGCGAGTGTTGCTCAAGAATCTGAAGCGACCACGTGCTATTGTTGTCCATCCCAACAAAGGTTACGTATTCTACTCGGAATGGGACCGACCGGCCAATATCAGCCGTGCCTATCTGGACGGTACCAATGTAATGATCTTTCGCGGTGTCCTACTGGGCTGGCCAAACGGCCTGAGCATCGACTACGCATCGGATCGTCTATACTGGTGCGATGCCCTACTCGACCACATCCAACACGCAAATCTTGACGGCAGTGACGTCAAGACAATCAACTCACCCCGTATTAAACATCCCTTCTCGTTGGTCATTCACGCCGAATGGCTTTACGTTACCGATTGGCGATTGGATGCCATCCTCCGGATGAACAAAGAAAACGGAACTAACGAAAAGATTGTGACCACTGTTGAAGAGGGCAGTCGTCTATACGGTATCCGAGTGTTCAGTAAGGCTGCCCAACGAGTAGACAATCGACATCCGTGTCTGTACGACAACGGTAATTGTCAAAAGTTTTGTTTTCCAATACCGCAAAACGACACCCAAAGTTCGGGTTTGATTGCACAGTGCGGCTGTCCGTACGGTGAAAAACTGTCGGACGACAAGCGCACCTGTATGTCTGATCCGGAAAAAGAACCGCCAGTTCAGTCGTGTCCCAATTCCTGGGACTTTACCTGCGATAATCAACGATGTATACCGAAAACATGGGTCTGCGACGGCGACGACGACTGTTTGGACAACTCCGATGAAAAGCAAAACTGTACACAACCGACCTGTAGTGCCCGTGAGTTTAAGTGTTCGAGTGGCCGCTGTGTACCGATCGGGTTTAAGTGCGATTCGGACAACGATTGCGGTGATTATTCGGATGAAACGGGTTGCGTGAACGTGACCTGCGAGGCCAATGAGTTTTCCTGCGAAAACGGCCGCTGTATACCGCTGTCCTGGAAGTGTGACTCGGAAAACGATTGCGGCGACGGCAGCGATGAGGGCGACTCGTGTCACGAAAAGACCTGCGCCTACTATCAGTTTACTTGTCCCGGAAGTGGTCACTGTATACCACAGAGTTGGGTTTGCGGTAAGTTTGTTATCATTATTATTATTGTTTGTTTTTGGTGTCGGGTTTTGTGTGTGTGTGTGTGTGTGTGTGTGTATTATTCCCTGCGATTTTAGTCTATTATTATTGATTGTTGTGTGAGATATTATTAATGTTGTACAGTATATATACTATCAATTAAAGTGACATTTTTTTTATAAATTTATTTATCATAAAAAAAGACAATTAAATTAAGTGACATATTTATGTTCCGGTTATTATGAGATAACTAACTCTATAAGACAATCACACAATTATTGCCATACAATCGAAACACAATGTTGTGTTAGATTTTTATTTACGGTATTATTATTATTAGAAAATAATTTTTTTTATTTAGTTTTTTTTCATTAAACCTAGTATTGAATATCATTTGAAGAGATCATTGAATTAGTTTTTTTCTCTCTTTATATATATCTATCTGTGAGTTAATAGTTATTATACAAACAAACAGATCTAAGTTTCGTGTTTTACAATCTCACGAGTCATCTGTTTATTGTTTTTTATATATATATATATAGTTTAGTTGAGTACAGTATTTTTATATTGATATAAATATAATTAAGACTATAATTTATATGATTAATCTGTTTATAAGTTTATAAAGTATATACAGTATATATATGTGATATATAACTATATATAACTTTTATATCATATATCGCATAATGTTTTTTTTGTATAAGTAGATACTGTGTGTATATATATATATATAAATTATAGTTAAATTATTTTATTATCATTAAATACAATCACGGTTTAAATAAGTTATTTAGTTAATAATAATAAATATATTATTTGATATGAATTAATGTTAACGTAGATTATTATTATTATTATTATTTTTCTTAAGTACCAATAATTTGTACTTAAAATCAATTTTATTTTTTTTTTGCTTATAAATTATTACTGTATAATTACATTTCCAAGTTATTATGACGCTTTATTATAAAGTAATTATAATTTATATATATATTATTATTATTAATTTATTATTAATATTTGAGGAAAAAATTTCCCAAATATAACAGTTTTTTTTCTATAGTAGTAGTTATTATGTATTTATTGTTATTAAACAATAATATAAATCATTTTGAAAAATACTTTTTGACAATTCCTGGAATCAATTCAAGTGCTAATAAAATTCATTGCTTAACACAACAAAAAATAAAAGTGTTTTAATAATATTTGTTTAATACTAAATATAAATTATATATATATATACAGTATAATGTATATGATATATAAATATAATAATAATAATAATGTTATTATATATGTGTTTGTCTTTTTTTAAAAAACATATTTTTTTCACTAGTATTACAATATAGTTGTACATTATAATATTATCAGTCATTAAAATTCATGAAATTTTTTTACCCCAAAAAAAACATTAGCAACAGAGTAATGGCATTTGATTTTTTTTTTGTTTTATTTTAGTTTATTTTATTGTATTGTAATTTTATTTTTAGGTTTATTATTATTATTATCATTTTCTTGAAACAAAACAAAAAAATATATATACCGTATAATAATAATACTGTAGTAATAGTTTATGTTTAAATGTCTTAAATATTTATTCAGCTGAATAATCTCATATGCATTTTTAAATAAATAAATTTATACAATTGATTTTTTTCATTATTATTACTATTATTATTATTGTATTACTACAACGAGACAATATATATATATATATATATATATATRTAGCTTATAATAATAATAATAATAATAATAATAATAATAATAGAAATTAATTTTCATATGTGACAAATAAATTGCCTTTTAACTTATTATTATTATTACGGTATTATTATTTTCATTATTATTAAACACATACTATACATACATACACACATAAAAAATCAAATGTCAGTGTCTCGCAAATAGTAGATGTTTTTGACCCCAACTACAGGTAAATAAATACATATTATATGTACCTCTCAATTATGTACACACACACAGTGTGTATATACACATTAGTCTCAATGATATCATTTTATTTAGTAGTGAATAAAAAAAACATTTATTTATTTATATTTTCATTTGTCATATCGTTTTTTTCTATCATTTCTGGTATAAACATAAAAACATATAATATTATAATAAATTGTCAATTTTTTTTTCTCTCTCTCAAAGCAACCGTTATATTATTATTGCAACTCTTTTATGCCAATGATTTAGCTATTAATTTACTAATTTATTTATATATATATATAAATAGCTTAACATAACTTTATGTTTATTTCAATGATAATTAATTATTTATAATAATAAAAAAATTACATATTTATTTCGGAGACTTAATTTTAGTAACATTAAAGTATAACTACAGTATATAAATATACTGTATAAATGCATAAATACATATTTTATTAGAAATTATAAAAAAATAGTAGTAATTTAATAATATTGCATTTTAAATAATAATTAACAATTTAATTACAAAAATTTGTTTGATTAAACTGAACAACAAAAAAATTGCATGCAATATTAATAATAATAAAAATAAAATTTATAAAAAAAAATTGATGGTTGTCGTGAATTAATTTATATTTAATTTTCAAATATTTAAATATACACAAAAAATGTATGTAAAAATAAATACAAATCAAAAAATAATAAATAAATATTATAAATTGAATGCATACGATAACCTTGACCAAAAACATTAGATAACATTTTTATAATATTATATATATATATAGTTATAATGCCATTGAATTTTTTTCCCTAAACATAAATTAAATAAATTAGTAATTTGCACAAAACACTTACATATATATATATATATATATATATACAGTATATATACAGTACATTGAGAGAGAAAAAAATATTTTTATTATTATTCACTGTATATAACAGGTATTTGCATATTATTATAATAAATAGTTGTATTATTAGTAGTATTATTATTATAAGTAGTAATAGTATTATTTAAGAGATTCAAATGAGTTTTATCTGTGGAGAGAGAGAGAGAGAGAGAGAGAGAGAGAGAGAAAAATGCATTGAAAAAAACTGAACCAATTTTTATTGACAAAATAATAGGTTCATGTAATTTGGAGTTTGTACTCAATTTTTTTTTATTTTAAATATTATTTTTAAAAAAAAATAAATAATACTTACTTTAATAAGCGTGTAATGATTTTTATTTATAGTACTATCGAGAGAGAGAGAGAGAGAGAGAGAGAGAGAGAGAGATTGAAAACTCGTCTTTGAAATTATCATTTATTCTGAATTTGTCTTTATTTTTCTCTCCACAATATAATTATCAGAATATATATATAATATTATATAACATATATATATATATACCATACTATAAAATAACAGATCTTTCGATCTAATCATTTATAGCACATTAAAAACATATACTATATATATATGATATTATTAATAAAAAAAATACTTGAATTTTTTGTGACCCTTTTTATTTATAAGAAAATACACACACAGATACTATACTATACATACATACATACACTTACATATAATCGATTGATAAAATAAAATTAGTAACATTAAAAATTTAGGCAATATTTTCTTGTAATATACTACTATCTCATATATAATACTAAAAGTAATTTATATTATATACAGTATATATATATAACTATTTTTATATAACATTCAAATTGTGTGTTGAGTTTACTGTTAGTTAACCTCATTCTCACGTATTAATCCAATATACGTGTACAGCAAAATAAAATTTTTATATTATTATTATTATTATTATTATAAATAATATTATCAAATAATAATTATTTTTTTTGTACATTGCTGATTAATTTTGCGTGATCAAGTTCGTTTTTTAAAATTAATGAATAGATGAGAAAATAAAATATTTATTTATAAAATTTTTCCTCTATTACTAACATTGCAGTAATATCTTCAATGTTAATAAAAATTTATATTTATATAACTAAAATAATATATATATATATTTAATAGCCAATCAATAATTGAAGGGCAAAATATATGAAAAATTACTATTTCATTATAATAATGATAATAAAAATAATCAATACATATGGCAACAGTTATTTTTTATTGTTATTAAAATTTTTTCAATTTATAATATTATATAACAACAACAACAAAATATTTTATCTATGAATAAAAATATTTAAATGATTAGAGTGAAAATTACCCGAAAAAAATAAATAATAAAAAATAAATAATAAAAAATAAATAAAACAAAAAAAAAATATTATCAATAATAGAAATTTATATAATTTGCATAAAAATTTATATTTGAGCACAAAATTAATTATACAAATATTTATTTATTTTTAATTTTACGATTAAGAAATATAAATAAATACTATAGACTAGAATAGACATATAAATTAATTATTAGTTTTAAAATCCAATTAATTAATTAATTATTATTATTGGATTTTTTGAATAGATGGAGATAACGATTGTTTCGATCAGGCAGATGAACATAACTGTCCACCGATAGCCTGTTCCGCGAGTCAGTTCCAGTGCGCAAATCTCAAACAATGTATACACGAAAGCTATCACTGCGACGGTGTTAGCGACTGTTCCGATGGTTCCGACGAAAAAGGTTGTCCATCACTACTGGCCAATCAATGCGATGTCGATAAACAATTTCAATGTCAGACCTCACGTATATGTATACCCAAGTCGTGGTATTGGTATGTAGTTGTTTGATCCGATAATAATTTAGACATTATTTTTTTAAAATATTGATTACCAATTTCAGTGATGGAAATCCCGATTGCGAGGACAGCAGCGACGAGCCGTCCACTTGCGGCGAAATTGAGTGTCCGTCCAATCACTATAAGTGCAATAATTCCCGTTGTATTTTCAAGTCATGGATCTGCGACGGAAACGACGATTGCGGCGACAATTCCGACGAAGACCAACGACACGCGTGCGGTCCGACTCATTACGACTGTCCCAGCGGTCAGTGGAGATGTCCGAATATTACCGACCGATGTATTCCCGTTAAAAAGATATGCGACGGACAGCTGGACTGTCCGAACGGTGCCGATGAGGGGCCGGCATGCGATCTGCAGACTTGTACGAACAACCAGTGCACCCATAACTGTACCCAAACACCATTTGGTCCGCTGTGTACCTGTCCTATGGGTGAACGGCTCAACGATACCAGAACTTGTGTCGACATTGACGAGTGTACTATAGTTGGCAGCTGTAGTCACAAGTGTTTCAATGAAAAGGGATCGTTCAGATGTCTGTGCGAAGACGGCTATCAATTGGAGAACAAGACTCACTGCAAAGCCATTAACCGGACGATTGCCTATCTGGTGATATCCAATCGTCGGTCGATTCTTGTGGCAAACATTTCGATGATATCGCTCGAAAGGGTACCGATTCGTGTAGAGAATGTTGTGGCCACTGCATCGGAAATGTCGACGGGAACTATTTACTGGTCGGATATGCACTCCAAGAAGATCTATCGGATGAAAAAAGGATCGACAGAACCGGAGATTGTTGTCGGCAGTGGTCTGGATCTGGTCGAAGGATTGGCCGTCGATTGGATTGCAAACAATCTCTATTGGGTCGACTCACGGCTGAAGACTATCGAAGTGTCGACGATTAACGGCAAAAATCATATCGTATTGTTGTCGCAAAATATTAGTCAACCGCGCGGTATATGTTTGGACCCGCGAGAAGACGCCCGGATTATGTTTTGGACAGATTGGGGCGAAAACCCGCGCATCGAACGGGTAGGTATGGACGGCACCCAACGCAAAGTGATTGTCAATACGAAAATCTATTGGCCAAACGGTCTGACTCTGGACATACCGACACGGAGAGTGTATTTTGCCGACTCGAAGCTCGACTATATTGACTTTTGCAACTATGACGGCACCGGTAGACAACAGGTGTTGGCTCATAATCACTATCTATTGCATCCGCATTCGTTGACCGTATTCGAGGACACACTGTATTGGACAGACAGACAACTGAATCGTGTACTATCCTGTCATAAATACCGGGGTCACAATCAGACAGTTGTCTCGCATCTGGTTAGTCAACCGTTAGGCATACATATCAATCATCCGCTACTGCAGCCGACAGCACCCAATCCATGTGCCAAAGCTTCGTGTTCTCATTTGTGTCTGCTGTCGCCCGGAGCCGAAGGCTATACATGCAAATGTCCGCCCGGTTATGGACAAGACCGAACAGCATCGGGTGGCCGTTGTATACCAGTTGAAACACCGTATCTGATGGTCATGAAGGGTACGCAGATTGTCGATCTGAGTCTGACACCGAACGAGAAATCTGTCGGACATTTTACGCCGGTTATTGGTGTAGAAAATGGTGCCGATTTTGATTACGACAAACAGGAAGGCTTTATCTATTGGGTTCAAGTCAGGGAAGACGACAAAGAAAACGGAACTCTATTCAAAGTCAGTCTAAAAGGCGGCAATCAGACCAAGTTCTTGCCGGACGGTATTGTCGGCGCACCCTATTGTATAGCATTTGATTGGATCGGTCGTAATCTATACATTGGTAACAAAAAAGCGTCGAACATTGGTGTCGTGAAAACCGACGGCGAAAAATACTATCGCCGAACAGTCATCAGCAACGATGGTACCGAAAAAGGTGTGGCCAAACCTAAATCAATGGTATTGGATCCGCTACAGGGTAAACTGTATTGGCTGGACGAAGGTGGTGTAGGTGTACCGCAGAAAGTGGCCCGGGCCAATATGGACGGCTCCAATGCTACTATACTAGTCAGAGATTCGCTACATCACGTCGAAGCCATTACGTTTGATTTGACAAACAAACGATTGTATTTTAGTCAAAGTTATTCGGGAGTTATCGAAAGTGTGGACACCGAAGGCCGAGATCGTCGGACAATAGTGACAGCCGGATCGGGAATTGCCCGACCACAGGGACTGTCCGTCTATAACAATCGATTGTATTATTTGGATTCGGTGTACGAAAAGATTTCTCGGGTCAATCTGCCCGAAGGTGTCAACGCTATTACCATCGAAGAGAATACGCCCGGATTGGCCAACATCAAGATCTTTAGTAAACGGCCCGGTATTGAGAACCATCCGTGTCGTAATGGTAACGGCGGGTGTCAGCAGCTGTGTATTCCGGCCGACAATAATCAACGCAAGTGTCTGTGCAGTACTGGCTTCCGAACTGATGGCGAGACCAACTGTCAGCCGTACAAGTCGTTTGCAGTCGTGTCGTCGCTGAACAAAATGCAAGGCTTCAGTCTCGAAGATCACGCCGAAGCCATCCAACCGTTGGCCGGTACCGGACATAATATATTGCATATCGATGTCAATGTTGTCAAAAGTCACATCTATTGGGTTGAGTATAATCCGGGCGAACGAAACGGTATCTATCGGATCAAACCGGACGGAACCGAAAAGACGCACATCATTGCCGACGGAATCGGCAGTAACGGCATCCGTGGCATTGCTATCGACTGGATTGCCGGCAATATGTACTTTACGAATGTCTTTCCGCACGAAACCTACATAGAGGTCAGCTATTTGGACGGTTCCAATCGTATGGTACTCGTCAAGACTACTACCGATGCTCCGCGAGAAATAGCGGTCAATCCTATCAAACGCTACCTGTATTGGATAGATTACGGACAGTTTCCCAAAATCGAAAAGGCATTGCTCGACGGTACCAATCGGACACCGATTGTGGTCACCGGAATCAGTAATCCGCGCGACTTGACCATCGATATCGCCACTCACGACGTCTATTGGGTCGACGCCCGAGAAGATGCCATCCAAAAGGTTTCCTACTCAGGCGGTCGTCGGCAGTATATCTGGAAAAACTTGCCGACACCGTACGGAGTGTCCATTTTGGGCAATCAGGTCTATTGGGTGGACAGAAATCTGCGGACTATCTACAGAGGAAACAAATACGGAGACAATAACAACAATAGCGGCACCGGTACAGCCATGTCGTACGAGTCGTTCAAATCAAATTTGGATACATTGAGGGATATTGTGATATTTGATGCAAAAAACCAACCGCCCGGTGATTCGCCCTGTTCTCGATTGGGCGATCGTATGTGCGAACAGTTATGTTTTGCAATGCCCGAGTCGGCAACTACACCGCCAAACTATCGGTGCGCCTGTTCTACTGGTGTATTGGCACCCGATCGCAATAAATGCAAAAATGTTGACGAATACATCATCTATACGACCAGAAAAGAGATACGTACTGTCAATCTGGATCCAATGTTGACCAGTTCGCCGTTTCCGCCGAAAGCCAATCTGACCAATGTTGTCGGCCTGGACTTTGATTATGCCGACAAACGATTGTTTTTTACACAAATACGTCCGGACGGTAGCATTTCGTGGATCAATGTCGACAAACGAGACGACGTCAATGTTATACTATCGAAAGGTATTAATCCCGAAGGTATTGCCTACGACTGGACCAGTCATAAGATCTATTGGACCGATTCGGCCAACCGGTCAATCTATTCGATGAATATGGACGGCACACAGATTGTAATGATAACCCGTGTCGAGAGACCCAGAGCTATTGTGGTAGATCCGTGTCAAGGGTTTATGTATTATACCGATTGGGGTAAGTGTGTTGTTGAGTCGTGTCGTGAGGCACCTGTAGTTATCATTAATGGTTATGTTATTTGTTCAACAAAAACAGGTCGATTCGGTAACTCCGGTAAGATCTACAGGAGTACAATGGCCGGCAACGACAAGATAACTATTGTCGAGCACGATCTGACACAGCCAAGCGGTTTGGCCATCGATTACGAGGAGAAAAAGCTCTACTGGACGGATGCGTTGCGCGAAAAGATTGAACGATCGGATATGGACGGCAAAAATCGGGAAGTACTGGTCGCTGCTACCATCTATCCGTTTGCTATAACCGTTTTCGGCAATTACATCTACTGGACTGATCTACAGTTGCGCGGCGTATACAGAGCCGAAAAACATACCGGTGCCGGTATGATCGAAATGGTCAAACGACTGGAAGAGTCGCCACGCGATATCCACGTGTTTTCATCGCAACGTCAAAAATGCGATAAAAATCCGTGCGAAATCAACAACGGCGGCTGTGCCCACTCCTGCCATCAGGCGCCTAACGGTGCTGTCGAGTGTCGGTGCAATACCGGTTACAAGTTGGCCAACGAAAATCGTATGTGTGTACCCGAAAACGTTACGTGCGAAGAAACCAAATACGCCTGCAGTAACTCCAAGTGCATACCCCGGCTGTGGGCCTGCGATGGCGATGACGACTGTGGAGACAATTCAGATGAGGATAAGATCTTTTGCTGTAAGGACTGACTGTTAACTGTGTTTATAGTTTTATCAAATTTAGTACTAATCATATAATGATTTTCCCGATTTTTTCCGCCCGTCCCCCACCCCCGACAGCTTTACACACTTGTAGTCCGAATGAGTTCCGCTGCGGTAACGGTCGCTGTGTTTTCAAGACCTGGAAATGCGGTAAGACTTTATTGTTGTCTATTTTTGTTGTCTGAATCATATAATCATTTTTCCGATTTTATTTTCTCCCACAAAAAAAACAGATCACGAAAACGATTGCGGCGACAGTACCGATGAGGAAGGATGTCGTATGTTTTTTCTTGAAAAATTTTTACGATAATTTTTAAGACATTGTTTTTATTTGTTGTTACGATTTTGTTCACAGAATACCCGGCCTGTGCTGATGGAGAGTTTACGTGTGCCAACCATAAGTGTATACCGCGTTCACAGCTGTGCAATGGTGTCAACGATTGCAAAGACTCGAAGACATCGGATGAAAGTCACTCGATCTGTCCGAACAACAGGACGTGTCCGGGAAATCATCTGAAATGCGAGAACACCAACATCTGTGTTGAACCCTATTGGCTTTGCGGTCAGTTGTTTTTTGGTGTTGTTGTTGATGTCATATATGTATTATTTGATGACTCTTTTTAAATACCATTTCATTTGATTAACAGATGGAGACAATGATTGCGGTGACAATTCAGATGAAAATTCGTTGATATGTTCGCAGAGGACGTGTCCGCCCAATAGTTTCCGTTGTCCGAACCACCGATGCATACCCGCCACCTGGTATTGCGATGGCGACGACGATTGCGGCGGATCGAAAGCCGACGAACCTGAAGAGTACTGCAAAAGCGAAAAGCGGACCTGTTTTGGTGATCTGTTTACCTGCGATAATGGCAACTGTATTCCGCGTATCTATATCTGCGACGGCGATAACGATTGCTTGGATAACTCGGACGAAGATGTCCGGCACCAGTGCGACACTCGGCAGTGCGATCCCGATCGTGAGTTTACTTGTTCGGCCAACAAAAACTGGGGCCGAGCTCAGTGTATACCGAAACGATGGATATGCGACGGCGATCCCGATTGTGTGGACGGTGCCGATGAAAACACTACTTTGCACAACTGTCCGCCAGCTGAACCGTGCGAAGTGGATCAGTTCCGGTGTAACAATAAGCGATGCATTAATAAGGAATGGGTTTGCGATCACGACAACGATTGCGGCGATGGATCGGATGAACATCGAAACTGTACGTTCAGGACGTGTTCGCCGGAAGAGTTTTCCTGTCGTAATACTAAGTGTATTCGTAAGACCTATCTGTGCGACGGTGAAGACGATTGCGGTGACGGTAGCGACGAAAATCAGCCACAATGTAAAACAGAAGCACCCACTTGTGCTGGCGGTCAGTTCAGATGCAAGAGTGGTCAGTGTATTACGTATGAACGGGTATGTAATAAACAGATCGACTGCGATGATGGTAGCGATGAACCGGCTCATTGTAATGTTGATGAGTGTGCGAAAAGTGAGATCAATGAATGCGAGCACAAGTGTGTCAATACGTTGACCAGCTTTTACTGCGAGTGCAATGAAGGCTACTATTTGCTGAAAGATGGAAAAGCGTGCGAAGATGTCGATGAATGTAATTCGTTGAAAGGCCGGTGCAGTCAATACTGTTTCAATACTCCCGGTTCCTACTATTGCAAGTGCAATGAGACCTACTATGAAAGAGAACTGAATGGACATACATGTAAACGAAGAGACGATGTCGAGCCGTGGATCATATTCAGCAATCGTTACTATTTGCGTAATATTAGTACCGATGGTTCAGTTTATAATCTGATACGAATGGATCTGAAGAATGTTGTAGCTCTGGATTTTGATTACCGAGAAGATCGGGTCTACTATGCAGATGTCGGCAACAAAACCATTAACCGTATCTTTATCAACGGTACGGGCGAACAGAATGTCATCCGACACGAAGCCCACGGTTTGGAAGGTATTGCCATCGATTGGGTCGGACGAAAGATCTATTGGATGGATCGGACCAGTAAGCACATAGAAGTGGCCGAACTGGATGGCCGTCATCGGAAAACACTGCTCGGTCGTAGTGTATCGGATCCGCGTGCCATTGCCGTACATCCGGGTATTGGTTATGTATTTTTCACTGATTGGGGACATCACGCCTGTATCGGAAAGATGGGAATGGATGGCCAGAATTTTAGCCGAATTGTTACCTACGAACAGAAGCTCGTCTGGCCTAATGCACTGACCATCGACTACTTTAGCGACAAATTGTTTTGGGCGGACGCCCATCTCGACTATATCGAGTACTCCGATTTTGATGGCCGCCACCGACACGCAGTACTGAGCGGTAGTTCCGTACCGCACGTGTTTGCGCTGTCCGTTTTCGACGACTGGCTCTATTGGACCGACTGGAATACCAAAGGTTTGGTTAAGGCACACAAGTTTACCGGCGAAAATCTACAGGTGCTCAGGAATACATCGCACAGACCGTACGACATACACATCTATCATCCGCTGAAACAGTTACCGTACGATAACCCGTGCGGCGACAACAACGGCGGCTGTTCTCATCTGTGTTTGATAGCACCGGGCGGCCAGACCTACAGCTGTGCCTGTCCTAATAATTTTATATTACGCGAAGACAACAAAACCTGTATTGCCAACTGTACGAAAGGTCATCACCGATGTCAGGCACCGGACGACCGTTGTATACCAGCGTTTTGGACGTGCGATGGAGACAAAGACTGTAAGGACGGTTCGGATGAAGTCAATTGTGCGCCGTTTATGTGCAAACCGGGAATGTTTCAGTGCCGCAACAATCACACCTGTATATCAAGGATCAGGATATGCGACGGAATACCCGACTGTAGCGACAAATCGGACGAAAGTTTCTGCGACACCGATTGCGGCGAACATAGCTTCAAGTGTCGATCGACTGGACGCTGTGTACCCGACTCGTGGCAGTGCGACGGCGACAACGACTGTTCCGATGGCTCTGACGAAGATCCAATCCATTGTCATCATCGGCAGTGCGACAAAGACACACAGTTCCGGTGCGAAAACGGCAAATGCATACCCAAACTATGGTACTGTGATTTTGATGACGACTGTGGCGACAATTCGGACGAACCGGCCCACCGGTGCCGCAATCGTAACTGTAGTACTGGTTGGCAGAAGTGTCCGACAAGAAATAACTATCGCTGTATTCCCAGTTGGCTGTTCTGCGACGGTAAAGACGATTGTCGGGACAATTCAGATGAAAGTAATGTCGAATTTTGTCCGAAATGTCACGAAACGGGAGATTTTAAGTGCAAAAACGGCAGATGTATTCCACTCAGATGGCGATGCGGTAACTATTTATAATCTCTAGTCTTTGATGGATCTATTGGATATAATTTTGATTGTCTTTTTTTATAATTCTCAGACTTCGAGGACGATTGCGGCGACAAATCGGATGAAGATCCGACTATGTGTGTCGATCTCTATCGGGACTGTTCGGAAAGTGAGTTCCAGTGCGGCAACAAAAAGTGTATACCGTCGCGATGGCGCTGTGACCACGACGACGACTGCGATGATGGCAGCGACGAAAAAGATTGTCTGGAATATCGCTGCAAAGACGACCAATTCAAGTGCCGCAGCGGTCACTGTATACCGCAAAAGTTGGTATGCGATGGAAACAAAGACTGCAAAGACGTATCGGATGAGACCAACTGTCCGACCCGTTATCCAAATGGACGCTTCTGTCAGGATTCGCTGTTCCAGTGCAACAATACTGTCTGCTTGAGACCGGACTTCTTGTGCGACGGCGACGACGATTGTGGTGACGCTACCGACGAACTGGAGTCCATGTGCCAGAACTTCGAGTGCGATCTGACCCGAAAGTTTCAGTGCAATAACAAGAGGTGTATACCGTTGTGGCAAATATGCAACGGACAGGACGAGTGCGGCGACGGCAGCGATGAAAACAATCATACACTGTGTCGAAAGTGGCCGCTGCCGTGTATGGCCAGTCAGTTCAAGTGTGCCAACGAACAGTGCATTTCAATGGACAAAGTCTGTGATCATAATGACGATTGCGGCGACTTTACCGACGAGAAGGGCTGCCATAAAGGTGTTTGCAATAAGGATACAAAGGGCGGCTGTCAGCACAACTGTTCGGCCGTCGGTGACGGCGGCTACATATGTGTCTGTCCGCGTGGTTACCAAATAGCCCACAACAATACCAAACAGTGCGAAGACATCGATGAATGTGCCGGTTTTGGTCACAATTGTTCCCAGATTTGTGTCAACATTGAGGGCACGTATGCCTGCAAATGTAAGTCCGGTTTTGAAATGGTCGACGAAAGGTGTGTCGTGAAGAGCGAAGTGTCGCCGTTTGTCTTCTATACGGACGGACCCGATATCCGAGCCGTTGATCTGACTCAACAGCATCAGTCGTCGCTGATTGCCGGCGAAAGTCGTGTCCAATCGCTAGATTACGATCCAATTACTGGTCAGTTATTATTTAGACAAAAATCGGACAAAATTTTGTTTTTTCTGAGAAAAGAGTTTAACAATTTTTTTGTTGTTGTTATATTAGATATACTCTATTGGACAGACACTTACGATAAGACAATAAAACGAGCGGTAATACCGAACCCGAGTGATCCCGAACACGGAAATGGTTTTTCGCAAAATCTTGATCTTAAGGGCCTAACAAAGCCGGTCGACATCGCTGTCGATTGGGTCGGAAGGTTAGTAGTAGTAGTAATAATAATAAATTTAAACCGTTATTATATACATATGGTTTACCCCTTTTTCTAGGAACCTGTATTGGATGGATATGGACTTATCTAATAACAAACCAAAGGGACGCCTATCTACCAGTCTTCTCGATGGCCGATACCGTAAGGCTGTTGTAACAGTTGGTTTGGAGAGACCGACATCTATAGCATTAGATCCAGAATTAGGGTATAATTTTTTAAAAAAAATTATTAGTATTTTTTGTTATATTTAATAAATTTTTTTTCACCAAAAAAACTAGTCGTATGTTTTGGGCGGACGCCGGACTTCAGCCGAAGATCGAGTCGAGTTGGATGGACGGCAACCGACGCAAACTGATCATCAATGAAAAACTCGGTTATCCGACCGGACTGACCATCGACTACGAAGCCGGCCATCGAATCTATTGGTCCGATTCGAAACTCAATACAATAGAATCGGCCAATTCGGACGGTACCAATCGGGTGACAGTGATTAGCGGCGATTTGCATCATCCGTCCAGTTTGGATATGTTCGAAGATCAGCTGTATTGGGTGACCCGCGATACCGGCGAAATCTATCGTCACGACAAGTTTGGCCGCGGAGTCAAAGTTCGGGTCCGAAGATCGCTAGAACACGCAACCGATGTTAAGATCTATCAGGAAAAGAAGTACAACACATCACGTAAGTCATCCATTATCAACCAATCTTAGGAACTCCTAATAACACCATTTTGTTGTTGTTGTTGTATACCATTTCCCGAACGATTTTTAGTGGCCAATCCGTGTCAAACGGCTTCCTGTTCGCACTTATGTCTGCTAATACCCGGTGGCTATCGTTGCGCGTGTCCCGACTCGGGCACGTCGGTCATCAGTTTGAACAGCAACTGTAATACAGCCTACGAACAGCCGAAAGCGTTGCCCCATCGGTGTCAGTGCCGTAACGGCGGTTCATGTATCAGGAGTTCCGATGGCGACGACTCATCATCAACAGCTGGCGGCGCCGCCTCCTCTGCCAAACTTGTCTGTAAATGTTTGGAAAATTTCGAAGGAAACAACTGTGAAGAATATATACCCAGAAGTCAGATCAGTGGCGATACCGACAAAGTCTTTGCCGAAGTTGTTTTGCCCATAATTATCGTTTTGATGACATTAGTGGTGGCCGTCGTTCTCTATACTTATTTCAAGAAACGAAATTTGTATGTCTTTTATTTGATATTATTATTATTATTATTTGTTATTGTCTTTTAATTGATCCATTAATTTGTTTGTTTTTTTTGTTGAATTATTTTCTTCAGCAAATCCGGTATCAATCAAAGCGTGTCATTCCGTAGCGGAACTAATGTCGAGTTCGGCGGCGCCGGCTTTATGCATAACGGCACCAATGATGGCCAGCAAACGGTATAACAATATTTGGATCAAATGATAGCACAGGGATTATTATTAACAAACTATTATTATTATTATTATTATTATTAGGAGCCAATCGATGGCTACCATTTGGGCACTTTGGGCGATAAGTCGACCGATTTTGCTAATCCAATGTACGAAGAAATAGAAAACGGCGGCTCCGATACCATGAAAAAAGTTGGACCCAACGATTCAAGCGGTCTGTACGAAGTTCCCGACAACGATAATATGTATAACAAAAAAGTACCGATCGATGTCAACTCTGCGGCCGTCGCCGACAACAACAAATCCATGACCACCACCACCACCAACGCCGCTGCCAACACCACCGGTTCGGCAGTGTTGCCCCCATCGTCGGTAATACATCGGTCATCACCGCAGGTTCACATCAAACAAATTACATTAAATCCGACGTCAGTGGACACCGACAAAGACACTCAAAATCTTGTCGAAGAAGACAAGAGTGAGTGTTGAGTTAGTAGACAAACAAAAAAACGACAACAAAATAAATGAAATTAAATTCAAGAATAAACACTGACTTTAATATTAAATTATAATTTAAAGAAAAACAAACAAATGAAACAAAATTAAGTGCTAATAATACAACTGTGAATATATATATATATATAATTTTTTTTTTGGACTAAACTAATGGTTATTTTTGAAACTTATTGAAACAACAAAAACCTTAAGCATTATAAACTACTAAATAATTATCTCAACTAAAGTGCATTATTATTATTTTTTTGGAGCCTAATTAATGACAAAATATTACTATTATTATTATTATTAAAATATATATAACTTTTAAATATTGAATATATATATATATATATATATATTAAATTTGTAAATGACTTAAAATGATATAATAATATTTGAGTGCAACTAAAATAATAATAATAATATCAAGAATTTATTGTTACATTTTGTGTGTGGCCTTATATATATTGTTAAATAAATTGAGAGGAAAGTTATTATTATTATTATATGTGAAATATACTGTATATTTGTTTGAAACAAAACAACTAAAAAAACAAATCAGAGGCCAAGTTGTGATATTTTTTTCAAAAAACAAAACAAAAAACAAAACAAACTTTTAATTAGTATTTTTTAAAAATGATTATTATATTAAATAAATATACTTTCATTCCATATATTATAATATTAATAATAATAATTGGACTAAAAAATACAAATTTTGTGAAGTATTACTACTATAATATTATTAGTATAATAATCTGTTAAATAATTGAAAATATTTGTTGATCTGTTTTTTTTAAAACAATATAATTATATATAAAAATAATATTTAAATGCAATTCCTAAATACTACATAATTTTAATATTAATAGATAATAACTACATTTTTTTCATTAATTTAAATATTTGAGGGAATCTATGACTACTTTTTTTTGTACCAAATCTCAACGTTTTTTTCCAAAAAAAAAGTTTTTTAAAATAATAATAATAATAATATTTTATTATTATTATTATTATTATCACTGCATCTACACATCAGTTATTATAATGTCGTCCCATCTCTGGTCATGAAATTGCCATTTGTTTTTGAAATTTAGGTTTTTATAAAATAAAATAATAATCTCTTATACTTTTTTTTATTTGTGTAATAATTGACTTATTTATAGTTTTTTTATATTTATATAAATAATTTTTTATATATATATTTAACTTAGTTTTGCAATAAAAAAACAACCATAGATTTGATTTAAATTTTTATTATATACATACATATATTTTATATGAACTTTTAAAAGTGCACATAATATTATTTTTAAAAACTTTTATTAAATAAGCATTTAATGCATTAACTATTATTATTATTATTATTATTATAAAGTATATATACTGTAATATCAGAGATGATAGTAATTTAGATAATAAAAACTAAATTTTCATAAATATTTCATTTTTATTATAATAAAGTAAATGAGTCACAAATATATATATATTAAGAATCTAACTTAAATGTTAATCATGTTTATAATAAAATAATTTTTAAATTAAACAAATAATCAAACAATATAATCAAATTTAAAAATAATAATAATAATGGTTAATGTTTTTTTTTAGTCATCATTGATAGAGTGTGTGTGAAATGTTTTATTTAATTAAATCAAAACAAAAATAATAATAAAATCAAAACAAATTAAGGTTTATATAAATATATATATATATATATAATTTGTACACTTTATACCTGTATTTAATTTACTACAATAAATTAATTAAATAGAAAATAATAATAATAATTTAATAAATAAATTTGTAATGTATAAATTATTTTTTAATTATTAATTAATAAATAAAAATTTTTAAATTTAAAAAATGTAATGAAAATTTATTACGCAAAATGTTTTTAATGAATAAAATATAAAATGAAAATAATAAAAATATTGATTAGTATTATTATTATTATTATTACTGTATATGTACTGTAATTGAAAATAATTGCACAATTATTGTTTGATAAAATAAAATTATATTTAAAGAAAATTTTATTTGATATTTATTGTTTTACAAGTATATAATTAAATGAATCAATAAATTTAATGGCAACAAAAAAAATAATAAATATATTTATATAAATACTGATGTGTTTAAGATATATATATATATATATATATATATATATATATATAAATACCTTATTATTTCATTTTTTACAATTAGTACCGTATTGTACAACACATACATACAAGGCGTGAGTATTAAACTAAAGTAAACGTTATTTTAATAAATTGTTTTTTTGTATTTTATTTTTTTATAGATAAAAACTATTTAATTTTATTTACTTAAGTTAAAAGATATTTAACTTTTTATTTTTTAAAAAAATAGCTATTATTCAACCACAACAACATAATAGATTTTATATATATGACTTATTATTAAATATTATTTATAAAAATTGAAGGTAATATATATATATATATTATATACTGTAATAATATATATCAAATGGATGTATCTTTTATTTACACAATATTTAGATTATCAAAAACACGATTTATTAACCAAAAAAAAAAAACATTTACACACAAAACAAAAGCATCACATTTTTTTGATGAGATTATTAGATAAGTACTCTTAATAAACATTATAAATACAAAAAAAAAGTTATATTATAGTACACTAATTTATTTTATTTAATATATCACACACACACATACACACACACACACACACACACACACACACACACACACACACACACACATAGAAATCTTTTAATATTAATTAATGCCTGTTTTTAAAAAATATATATAATACTAGTATAGATTATACGTGTTTTATTTTTTAATAGATAAGCGTTTCCTATATGTGTTTAATAGATATAAAATAAATTTTATACAATTAAGGTATATATATACAGTTATATATAATATAATTTAAATATTTTATATATAGATATATAAGTTATATATATATATATACAGTATAAGATACATATAAATTATAAATATAGTATATTGTAATATTATTTTTACCGCTTTTAACATATCGGTTATTTTAGTTTAAAATTATTATTATTATTTTCTTACAGAATATATATATATATATATATATATATTACTGACAAAATAAATGATTGAAAACTCATCACAAATTTGAATATATACAGTATATATATATTATATATATATAAACTATATGTAAATGTAGGGTTTAAAAAATAGTTAGAATTTGTTAAACAATATTATGATTAAATCGTGATTCACAGTCTCTTTTAAAAAAAWTTTTTAGTAAAAATTTTATTTCATATTATATTTTGTGGTTTTTGTGGTGTTTGTGTTGTGTTCAACAGTTATTTTTTTTTGTTGGTTTGTTTGTTGTGAACATCAAATGAGGAAGTCTTATGTATAGCGAGTGTGACTTATGGTTATATACACTTTTTTTTATTAACATACCATACCATACCATACCTATATACACCAGACATACCATACCATATAGCAAACCGTACCAAATAATACTGTACTAAATGATAATCATAATAATAAGCATCACTACTATTATCACCCATTCATTTGTTACCCATAAAAAATCTACAATTGAATTAGATTTTTCTATATATATAATATATATACATTATATAAACTGTATAAAAGTTTTCTCATTAATTAAGCGCAGTTTTTTACACATTTTATTTTATTTTTTTGTAGAGATCATATGGTATACTATATAATTTTTTTTGGCACAATATTATCATTATTATTATGTTTTTATATATTATAGGTGATTGACTGAGCCGATCATCGATAGGTCAGACATTTGTTACTATTGTTAACAAATACAACAACAAAAAAAGATTTAAAATAATTTTTGCCAATAAATATAGATTATTATGTTTTATAACGTTTCAAATAAATTTTATAGATAATTGTATGCTATATTATAAAATTTAGTATACAATATACATAGATATATATATATATATATAGATATTTTTAGTAAATGTCTAAAAAATTGTAAATGCATTAAACATATTTAGCAGTTATACAGTATTATAATATAAAAAAACTATTATTACGCTTATCATTACATTATAACAACAATGACAATAAGTATATCATATATGATATAATATATTCAATTTATGATAAATTAGTTGTTAGAAAAAATACATAATAATTAAAAATCAATTCTTTATATTAATAATATTTAATTTAAATCAACAATTGTGTGTAACAATTGTTAACACACACAACATGTGCTAAACAATTAACATTAAAAACAATATACCAATAATTTTGTTTGAAAATTTGGTGTTTGAATAAAATTTAAATATAATACTAATAATATTATAGTAATAATAATAATAACAGTCGGCGTCTAATTAAAAGTGATTGACAGGACTTAGACATTATATATAGGAGTTGCCGATGTCTGAGACAGCCATCAAACGTTTGCGACGCGATCTCATAGAAATCAATGCAAATCGGCCGACGGGAGTGATGGTCGGACCGGCCGACGACAACAATATGTTTCGCTGGGAAGGTATGATTGTCGGGCCGGAGGACAGTGTCTACGCCGGAGGCGTCTATAAATTTACGATAGACTTTCCGCGAACTTATCCGATGAAAGCACCGATATTTCGATTTAAGACCAAAATATATCATCCGAACATCAATCCGACCAATGGATCCGTTTGTGTGGATATACTCAACGAAAATTGGTCATCCGTTCAGACAGTGTCCAACATTGTATTGTCCATATCGTCGCTGTTGACCGACCCGAACCCGGACTCCCCATTGAACAGCGAAAGCGCCCGATTGTACATAAAAAATAGGAACGCCTATAATAATCGGGTGCGAGAATGGGTCAAACTATATGCCAGTCCTGAGAGCTTGTAATTTATTAGAGGATTTTTTTTATAACTACAATATTATTATTATTATTAATATTATTATTACAGTACAGTATATTATGTAATGATATATTAAAAAATGTCATAATAGGCTGCGATTTCTGCGAAATTGTTGTTAAAATTAAATATTAAATAATATTAATAATAAAAATCACACAATTGGTTCATTAACCCTTCGAATTGTTAGTTTATTTTTTGTGTAAGTAAAAAATTTTTATTTTCTTCTAATAGTAATAGTAATAATAATAATAATACTAATATAAATACAATCGGTTTGTGTTTTTTAGTTTTGTTTTATTAACACAAAACTAAATAACTTTTGAATTGTTTGAAGAGTATATATATATATATATATATATATATATAATACTTTTAATTATATTTATAGAAATGCTTATATATTTGCTTTTAATTTGTTAAATATTCAATATATAGTGAGAAAGAAAGAAAGAGAGAGAGAGAGAGAGAGAGAGAGAAGAGAGAGAGAGAGATTAATAAAAATATGTTAACACATCAAAATAAATTATAAATGCAATTAATTTTTTATTATTTATCTCTTATTTTACTGAATTAAACATCAAAGAGGAGAGAGAGAGAGAGAGAGAGAGTCACTTATATATACATATATGTACTAAACTTATAGTGGGATTTATAAAGTCGTAAATTTGTGCTAATATTAAAATATTACTTTAATCCATAATTTGAATATACTGTATGTTTTTATTTTTTGTTTTATTTTTACTTTTTGAGTGCAATATGTGTCTGTTTTATGCAATTGTTTGCAAATTTTTTTCCGACAAATCCCGACACAACACACACACACAACAAGTGTTTGGGTTTTTTTTTTAATAAACTAATAAAATATTGCGAGCTTTCGGGTCAAACCTGTCATGAAATTAGTTTTTGTGTTAAATACTGTATTAACGACTAACTGGTAATGCCTTTGACAAGACATCTATATATATATATATATATATATATATATATATATATATATATATATATATATATATATATGTTGTGTATAGTAGAGTACAGACAAAGTTGACCGACAAAAGAGGAGATGATAGAAGTCATGTAATTATATCATAAAGTTTTTTGTTTTATTTTGTTGTGTTTTTTTTTGGAGCTCAGAGTTAGTGAACTAAACAAAAACCCCTAACTCTTCGCACAACAAGAAAAATATATATAGTTTTAACAAATTTATTATATATAGCAGTTGTAGTAGTAGTAGTAGTAGTCATAACTTTTAACGCAATTTTTTTTATTGATACTAACTGTAAGGTATGGGAGGGGAGGGGAGAGAGATCAGAGATGAGAGAGAGAGAGAGAGAGAGAGAGAGAGAGAGAGAGAGAGAGAGATGAGAAGCGCTTTGATGATTGAATGCGAGCGCAAAATGCAATCAAATTGTTTTTTTTCTTCAATGACATGACATGAGGTTAAAGGAGTTACCGCTTCGGCAATAAATTTTATCGTTAAAGTCAATACACACACACACACACACACACACACACACACACTAACTAAGTAACTAAACTATACGACAACCAACAAATACAATGCCTATCTGTCAATTGTTGCACTTGTTTGTTATATTTTTTTAATGTATGTATGTGTGTGTGTGTGTGTGAGAGAGAGAGAGAGAGAGAGAGAGAGAGAGAGAGAGAGAGAGAGAGAGAGAGAGAGAGAGATGATAAAAGAAGAGTAAAAGCATTTTCTTAAGTTTAACACTATGAGAGTCCACCCAATATTAGTATATAATATAACCCGGGTATGTATGTACTGTATATATACCTACAGTACAGGTGAACATCATATCGGATAATAGAGTCATTGCTCACCAAATTGATAGCACCTGTACTCTACATATAGTAGTCTATCGTAAAATAAAATATTTTTATACCACCAAAGACTGTATATATATATAAAGTTTATATACAGTATGTGTGGTGTGTTTGACAAGCGATGAACTCTTCAAATGATAGAATAATCTTTCGGAAAAATAAGTAAATTTCTATTTATTTTATTTTCCTATTATTTTTTTCTCTTTCTCTGTACTTAAAAAAGTTTACTTTAAAATTTTCAAAAAAAAGTATTTTATATATATATTCAAACAAAATCAAAAAATCAATTATTCCTATATATATGTGTTGTGTATTAAGAGCGCAATACAACAATTGTGGTCACAATATATTGTATATATATATATGATATTTGTTGTAATATAATTGTAAATGAATTTTTCTCTGAATTATAATTTAGTTCGTGACCCTCTCTCTATTACCAGCACTTATATGATAGTATGCTATCCTATTATATAATACATACCAGTGCTCAGAGATATACAGTATATTAAACAGTATAATATGATGTGCTTTATATGTATTATATCTTTAATTAAGACTACAAACTATCTCTCTCCTCTCTCTCTCTCTCTCTCTCTCTCTCTCTCTCTCTCTCTCTCATCGCTTATGTATTCAATACAAAAATAAAATACAAATTTTTGTTGTTAGTATTTTTGTGCAATAATTTCTTTCATCATATATATATATATATATATATATATATATATATGTATATAATACCGGTATATATATATACACACAAAAAATATTTTTTACAAACTCTATGAATGAATAAATGAATGAATGACTGAATGGATGGATGACTACAACAACAACACATATATTATATATATAAAATAAATCCAATGAATGACTGATAGCTTTAATAATGTTTTAGTATAGTTGAGGAGTCACTCAGTTTTTTTTCGGACGATTAGACATTAAATTTAAAATTTTAATTTTTTTCTCCTCTTCTTCATAATCATCATCTTATTCTTAATTTTTTATTTAAAAAATAAAATTATAATACTTTAATATTATAGTACAGTATTATAGTATAGTTATATATATATATATATATATATTATTAATATTTTGTTTGTTTGTTTGCTAATATATTTAATATATTACGAAAGCCTTATTGTTATTATATCGGTTTTATTGAATAATATTATATAACTTTACTGTAGTATACAGTACAAGGAAATTGTATTATTAAATAATAATATTATATTATTATTATTATTTGTGTTGTGATATACTAAAGTTGTATTTACATTATTAATGAGTTTTTTTCATAAGTATATATTATGTTAAAAACATTATTAATAATAATAATAATATATTAAATATTAAATAAATAATGAAATATAGTTTCATCAACAAAATAGAAATATTTTAAAATTTACTAAACATTTCTTTTAAAAAAAACTGATATTTAATTAATTTTTTAAACGAAATTTCATAATAAAGTACATCAAACAAAATTCATAAGAAAAATATTTTTAGTCTTTTTTTTGTTGTTAAGAAAAACAATTGATATTTAACATAATATTGTATGTATATAACAAAATTATAACGAAAATAATATACACATATGAAAAAAGTATATAAGTTTATATATATATATATTAAATGTTATTTCATAATAATTATATAATTAAGAAAAATAATATAAATTCCATGAATTTATTTTTAAAAGAAAACTTGTATATTGTTTGACAATAAAAATGTTTACATAATAATTATATTAATTGTATGCAAAGTATGATATATAACTGTATATTGAAATTTATTATAAGCTAATATCTTAATAATTTTTATAATACTATCATTATATAAAAATTTAATTCACTTTTATTTAATAGACACATTTGAATATATATTTTATTATTATGTGATAAAATTCAATTTTCAGAAAAAAAACATTATTTATTTGTAAATTAAAATACTCTCTCTCTCTCTCTCTCTCTCTCTCTCTAAGATTATTATGTAAAACATTTTATATTTTATTAAAAATTATTATTATTATTATTTATTGTAAACTTTTCCGTATTTCATCTCTCAATTATTGACATTCAATAAAAATCTTTTAAAAAACGTTTTAATTTTATTTTCTGTATATTATTATTATATAAAAATGAATTACAAATTCAATTATGAAATAAAATCAAACACAACAACAACACAAACAAATAAAATAAAATAACGAAATAGATTTGTGTGAACAACACATACAGTACAGTACAGTACATGTTATGTACTGAAAACAAAGTTTTAATAGCAATTGATTTGCAAAACTTTTTACATATCATAGGGAGAGATAATAAAAGATGAAAAATAAAGTAAAATAAAAAAAATTAATAATAATAAAACACACACACAAAGTAAAACATTTTTTTAAGCTGGTTTTTTATTTAATAATAAAAAATTATTATTAATACAGTATTATCATTATATTGTTATTATTATGATTATTATGAAATAAAATCAAATAACAACAACAACTACAACAACAACAACAACAACAAGAAAACTGTATGTGAAATGAATACAAGGAATCGTTTATATATTTAATAAAGAGAGAGAGAGAGAGAGAGAGAGAGAGAGAGAGAGAGAGAGGATAATAGAAAAAGTAGAAAAAAGAGATATAAAGAAATGGAAAATATTATATTTATATTAATATATAATATATTTTAAAAATTTTAATAAATTTATACCGAAATAATGATATTTTTGAGTCAAACGGATAAAGAGAGAGAGAGAAAAAAAACTTATGAGTTTCGTGACTGTTATGAGTGCAGCACTTCAATGGACACGACTTGTGTGGTCATTACAAGTTATATATTATAATTTATATATATATAAATTTTTATATAAATTTTTATATAATTTTTATATATATAGTATATTTAATATTATATTGTCGACTTTTTTTTAAATATTGTATTTATAGTTGATATTATAGTTGTATACAAAAAAAAATACTAATAATAATAACATCAAGAGATGACAGGAAAATATTATCAAAAAAAATAAAATAAAAAATAAAATAAATACTATTCATAGAAAATAAATTCTCTAAATTCATCTCTTTATTATACAATCCCTTTTCAGTTATATATATATATTAGTAAAAAAAATCTATTATAAGTAATATAAACAGAATATAAAATTTATTTATATAATAGT